ACAGAAAAGCCAGTATCTCAGATCCTTGCAATTGACTCTCACTGACAATCATCGCAGATCAGATCACACATACACCATCAAATCTTGGCGCTTCAGAATAGATAACTCCTCCCTCCTTGAACTCCTTCCTCTCGATCCCAAAGGCATCCTGGTTTGACATTGACAATTTAATATAATAGTTCGTCCTCCTCAACCTCAGTATATCTCGATTTTTACTGACGATAGTCGTAGCTATCCACGCAAGATTAGGACACTGCCGATTTCTTGCAACTACAGCACCCATCCTAGCTTTCTCACCCTCCTCTATACATCCCGACCATCTCGTGCACATCCGTTAATCCGCGCCCTCTCTGTTCCCAAAGATATCCTGGTTCGGCATATTACATCTTGTTAACACGTGAGTCATTTCATGAGAGCATTCTACTGCGGCGGACAACAGTGGCAGGATAGTAAGATTGTATTGAAAGGGTACAGACATAATGAAAAGGATGCGGGGGAGAAGGAAAGATCTTGGAGGTAGCTAGGAAGTTTTGGGGCTGGAACGGTATGCAAAGGTCTCGTACACACGCATTGTGTGAATGATATCTTCTTCGAAGTACCATGAATCTTTCAAGATACCTTTCTTCACTCCAAGACTTGATACCCGCTGTCTCGGCGATGTTTGTTCTCGCAGTTCCGTCTTAGACTTCCCTTGTCCAAGTCTTTGTGTATGTCTCGGCTGCGCTGCTTGTGGTTCACAGTTTTGAATGCACATACCCGTCGCAGGATTACATATAAACACTGCGCAAATTCAAAAGGCTCTCTTCTTTAAACAGAGCACAATCTAACAAGACCACCGAATTGCCAACGATCCTGTAGAGCATTCCTCGACCAAGTCTAACACTCTTACCATCCATCCTTCCCCACAAACTCAAGCGTAATGAACAAACTTCCCACCGAACTCGACCTCAACATCATAGAGCACCTTCAAGACGATCTGCTGCGCGCACCGGAGTTTACGAACGATGATCAGATATGACAATTGTCACCGCCAACCGCGCAGACCCTTCAAGCCTTACTCAACTTGTCGCTGACAAACCACTACTACCACAACATCGTGACACCAATCCTCAACTCCTATCTCGACAAACTCATAAGCAACACCTACCCCCCTCCCTGGCACAGCAGTCACAACCCTCAATCCTACCATCCTGATCGACGACGGACAATAAAACGCCAGCAACTCAACCACTACATCATGATCAACATAGCGAGTCTAGATCGCAGACTTTTGCGCTGGGTGGTCCGCAGAACGGCGCCAGTGACGCCGTTCAGATTCAAAGCTTCCTATCGTGCGGATTATACGCCATCTGTGTATGTCAGGCAGTATGTGTGGGACTTTGTGGAGGGGTTGCCTGAGAGGTATGCTGGATCGCATGAGGTTTATAGTTTGTGTTTCTTGAAGTGCCATAATCCGGGAGCGATCTGTTTGAGATGGCTTGAGGCTGGGGAGGAGATTGAGGTGTCGAGGGTGTGATTGTCACGTAGGGGGGTGAGTAATATACACGAAGCAGGGTGTCAGTGTATATATATATATACTCAGCGATCGATTCAGAGGTATGTGAAGATCTGAGTTGAACTTTTCCGCGTTTGTAAAATCATGTGTCATGTGCTGAGAACTCATCGGTAGTGTGATATTTCGTTCTCTGTGATAGTGTCGTAATTTTTAAACACATTGTAGAACAACGATATGCACATCCACATATCTCTAGATGCCACGGTTTCTGTCTTTCACACATTCCCACGTGTGACATTCACTGCTTTTATTAAACTTAAATCGTTCCTACTTCTTTACCAACCCACCTTCTCACCAATTTTGGAACCAGCTCGTGAGCTTCATAGTCGCCACCATGGACAAGCTCCCCCTAGAACTCCACAAAATGATCCTCGAAACCTACATATCTGACCCCGCCTTCTCCTCCTCCTCAGACCTAACAGCCAGCCACGAAGTCATAACCACCGTCCTCAACATCGCGCTCACAAATAAGTACTACCACGCGATCGCAGCCCCAGTCCTCTCCGAACTCCACAAAGGCATCGTAACATACGCCCGCCTAGCGCCCTGGCACCACGAACAAAAACTCTCCGCAATCCACGGCACAAAGCTCGAGCAATTCAACGCGTACGTCACAAGCCTCGCTTCCCTCCCCCTATCTTCCGCAAATTCGTGGTGCGCATGACGGCGCCGTCGCGCTATCGGCTCTTCCATATCGATCGGCCTATCTCGCCATCTTATTTCGTAGGCCAGCCGTACTTCAATAGTGCATGGGTTGAAGATTTGCCGATGGAGGTAGTTGAGAAAGGGCGTAGTAATATTGAGCCTGCGGGGATGGTCTGTATGCTGAAGAGTTTTAATGAGGAGGCTGTTTGTTTGGGGTATGGGCAGACTGCGGCTAGAAGGCCGTTCTTGGAGATTTCGAGGGTGGAGGGGATAATGGTGCAAGAGGCTGATTTTTCGTCGAGAGAGGTTTTGAGGAAGGCGAACGTGGGTGCCATGACGAGTGATACGTGGGGCAGCAAGGTGTCACACCTCCTTCATCAATCGGCCGAGTTCCTGAATTCGGTCACCTTATTGATCAGTCAGCTGGCTGATTGATCAACCAGCTCTTATTAATCAATCCGTGTTTAATTGATGAATCAATTACTTATACGTTAATAAGGTAGCTAACAAAAATGGCTCTATTAAGGGATATAAGCTAATCCTCTTACTCTAGAAGCTTTTAGTTAAAGTGTATTAAAGCTTTCTATATTACTATTAATATTATGTATTCGCAAGTTGAGATGATGCTTGTCTTCGCCGTTATTATTATAAAGCAATATCTTGCAAGAGATAGCGAGGTTTGAAGCTAATAATATTTAATTAAAAAGCTTTGAAACTTATTTTGATTGAAATTTTAGAATTCAAGATAAAATTAAAAAAAAAGAATAAGGAATCTGGCTTCTTAATGTTAAGAAAGCCTTATTTAAGATATCTTGATTGACAGATAAGCTGATTAGTCCATCAATCTATCTTATTGGTTAAAAAGACAGGCAATTCATGAATTCGACCGATTGATGAAAGAGGTGTGACTGGTGGCTCGAGAGTGAAAATAGTAGGGGTAAGGAGGTTGTGATGTGAAACTGATGGTTGGGGGAACGGGCTGTGAGAGTATGGTAACGTGGCGGACTATATGGTGGACTTTCAGTTGATCAAGAGCGAATATCATGAACTGCTTTGTTAATATCTAATTTCCGTGCTACTTTCATTGCCAAGATACGCTCTCTAACAAAGGATCTCTTCCTAAGTGTCGTTCAAGCTATTATTGACTCAATAGAAACTATAAGGACCTTGAGGCTCAAACATGAGAGACGTATAGCCGGAATCTCCCATGTCATTCAAAGGCGGTCTCGTGGGCCTCTTTCATGAGCAGCTCCCTCGGGTTGGTCTATTGGAACATGGCCACGCGAAACTCGCAGGGGCGAAAGAAGGGCAACTTCAACCTTCGAGGCCTGGCTTACAAGGCACTATCTAGGATCTATCTCCCTAAAATTGGCTATAGGACTTGGCGTGGCCATGCAACAACCAACCCTCCAGATGAACGAACCGGAAGATATATTTTCCGGTCCGGATGCTAGGCAGCAGTATCATTGTTCCAGTGATGCCTGTCGCATCAAGGACAAAACAATCCTACGAACGCTCATTATTCAGTTACTAGTCTCGTCTCACAGTGTACAAAGACATGAACAAGCTACCAGCGGAGCTGCAGCTCCAGATAGTGAACAGTGTTACGCAAACCCCTTTTTCATACTATCCATCCAAGTCAGATGCCTGCGACTTCTTGAAATACGCATGGGTCGATCTGGACTGGGATGAATGCGTAGGTTGGAGTTTGATAGCAGACATAAAAAGTATGAGGCCTTGTGAATGGGACGTAGCCTTCGAGACTCTACGAGCCGTTTTCAACTTTTCGCTCACGAATCACCATTACCATGCACTGATCACGCCTCTCCTAACCACACTCCTGGAAACCGTTATTGGATCTCTTGCGAAACATTTGACCTGCGACGATACGTGGAAGGACACTGCGGGCCCTGAGGGTAGGGCAAAGTTGGCGAATTATTTCTTCAATATTATTCGTCTCGACGACAGGTTCCAGGCCTGGACAATGCGAAAAACCGCAGAGTATTGTCCATGCAAACCTTTGCCGACAAAGGGCAGAAGTCTTCCTATGTATCGCAAACCCAAAGGTATACCTCTAGACATGGAAACATTCAGGTTGAAGTCATGGCGCTCTGTGGAGGGGCGAGAAGTTGTCACATTCTGTCAGCTTTCTGACGCAGGTAGACAACGATTTGCGATTACATTCAAAGAGCACGTCGGCTTGTATCCTTACACGATGGAAATTGTACGACAATTGATATTCATAAAAGGAGATAAAGCTTGGAGGATGCGAAAACTTACTTTCGGCTCGCTTGAAACGGCTCAGAAGCCGTTGATATTGCCCCACCCATTTCCTCACTGGAGACCTCGCAACAGGCCAAAGGTACCTTTGCATATCTCGACACTTACCTGAGGAAGCAATATCACCTCACCGTGGAATTTCTACTCCCTCAGCATCTCGATCGCTGAACGCGAGGTCATAAAGATTAGAAGAGACATGTACTTCAGACAAATTGATCTTTTACGGGATATTTACGAGCCGGAAAGTTCAAGTGGCACAATATACATTCCCATAGTAACAGGTCGGGAATTGTTACAGTCACTACAGCATCTTTCTTGGGCCAAGAGCATCGCCTGTCGTCATGGCAGTTCCTTTGACAAGTAGACACAATTTTATGCAAAAGGCGCACTGCCTGACACTGAAATAGCAAGCTAATGTATGCCTCTTTTCGCTGATCACATCGAGCATACGTATTGCAGACCTCTAAATCAAACCGCCTATATCAAAGTCCTTTCAACCCCAACAGAGATCCCCATTCGTTCAACCCGTCGCATTCTCTACTTGAACAGCCCCATTCTCCTCGCCTGCAACCGCATCATTCTCTTTCTCAACAGTTGAGACCTCAAATACATTACTCTCTTCAACAAACTTCAGAGCAATCAAATCCGGATAGTAGCTTTTCAGTTTACACAACAAAGCCGTCTGTTCATGCCACATGTACGTCTGTAAATCGTCTCGCAGGCCGGGGACCCAATCCGGGCGGATATCAAACTGATTCGTCCAAAGCCCCGTGTATGCATCGTAAGCGAGGGAAGCTGCCAAGGAGTCTTGGGCGCTGTCAGCCTCATGATCCACTTTGTGAAAGGGCCAGCGAGACGGATATTCTCGACATATTCCCTCAGCTGGATCGATTTACCACGCGTGTCCAGTTTGGGCATATTCGGATGCCAAGGAGGTAGGAAGAGTCTTATAATGGCAATGAGAACGCTGTTCAACATAGGCATCCCGATGGCGTGATGGCGTCGGCTGGTGAGGGACATGTTGAGCAGATCAGTGAAGGAGCGCTGAGTCGAGTCCATTGTACTTTCCATTGTACTCTTACCTGGTTCCTTACGGAGCTTCCGTACTTCTCGGACTATCATAATGAGAAGTTCCTCGGGAAGATCGTTCAATGTCTTCGCCATGATGGTGTGCTTTATTTGTTGCAAGAAATGAAAGCAAGATGAGAAATTGGCAAGGAACAATCAACGTTAAGTAGTACGAATCTTGAGAGATGTTGCTAGGCTCTCACGGCGAATGTGTCGCCACAGAAAGCGAAGATATTGCCATGCTAGGCGACCACACAATGCCTCGACACGAGGGTCACACGCAAGATGTGATGCGATACCAGTCTTGCATTGTTCCAGAGAAATCCAACATTCCGGTGTCATACATAGCAGTCAGCGGACTTACTTCGTCGACACATCCCTACGGCGTGTAAAATACCGACATCCGTCAAGTGAACATTGTCCTACTTTGTCAATGAGATTGCCGCGTCAAAGCGCCTCGTTTGCTAGTCATATGCCATATACTGCGCTCGTGCTCCGAATAAATCAATCAGTACCACCAGCCTTGATTTTGCACAACCCAAATCGGCCATAGCATCAACATACGCGTAGCCGACGAAACCCGGACAGACAAAACGGACAGATCAAGCCGCATGCTCCGATATAGCTTATATCAAACCCAGTACCCTCATCTATAATATATACTCACCACAAGCTCCTCCAATCCCCTCCCAAGATTTCCTACGACGTCTGCACCGTCCCATCCCCCTCTCCCCCTCCCCCTCCAAGGTCACACTTATACTGATACCCAAAAACCCTACTAAGCGGGCTAAACCCCGTACTAACAGTCTGCACATTAAAAAGCCCCAAATGCCTCCTCAGCCTATAATCAATCGGATACGGCTCCCAGCGGCCCGCATACCAGAAAATCTGGCCACTGCCCACATCGAGCTGCACGCTCGCCTTCCCAACAATCAGCTGCACGACGGCCTGCAACCACAGCGCGACATCACTATACCGGGGCACCTCCATACTACTCTCCAAGAAGGGGCCGAGAGCGATATGGCCGTAACAGGGCGAGGTCTCCAGATAGATGGCGGTGTTGCCGTAGGCGAAGGGGGTGATGAGGGGAGCGGAGGAGTTGGAGGAGAGGGGCATGTAGATGTTGGATTCGTTGGCGATGCGCTCGGAGAGCGTGGTCGTGCCGTTTATTACGGCGAGCATGAGTTCGCCCAGGTTGACGGTCGCGGGGACTACAGGGCGTTTGTTCTGGAATTTCATTTGGATCACGAGCGTGTTGGTGGGCGAGAAGGCGCTGCGCGAGGGGAGGGTGACGGGGATGTAGCATTGCCAGAGTTCGGGCTCGCCGAAGTAGGCTCTGCGATGGGGTGTGGTTAGTTGGGGTGAGCTGTCAAGGATTGTGTAGGTGTGAGTAGGGTTCGTAGGGGTTTCAGGGTTTTTTTTTTTGCAATGAGATATTATAGATGATGGGAGGGATATCTTGAGGGCCATCATGCATGTATGTGCGTCTCGGTTGATGGGGGAAGGGAGGTTCTAATGGTACGTACGGCTGTGCTGGTTGGAGGTCTTTCGAGTCGCAATATAGTTTTGTCGGATCGAACGTTAGAGCTGAGGATACATTGGAAGTGCTGTTTCCAGCTGACCAATCTATTGGTCCTTGATCAACATTTGTAGTTGTCGAATTGATAGGATCTGTGTCGTTGTGAATTTGGACGCCGGCATCTGTCTGGCCTAAAGCGAGACATGCAGCATGAACAAAGAGCCAAATGAGCCCGCAGATCAGTGTACAGACATGGTGCATTGTAGACTTTGGCGTTAGGGGTAGTCCAGGCCCCAACTGCAAGGACCGAAATGATGAAGGGGCTGTGAAACGTGCATTTACATACTTGGAAGGCGTCTGTAATAAGTCACCTCGAATATAGCGGGTGAGGAAGATTTGTTCAAGTGATGATGTTATCAATCAATGCACTGCCTCCAGTTTCATTATTCGTACCAATTTTAACAAGGTCTCGCGGATAAAGTTGACGATTGACGCACTTTCTGTCAGTTTCGCGCATGCGCGTTGGGCGTTGGAGCCGTCCACACGAATCGGAACAGAGACCGGGAAATAATGAGCGAGTCTGTGCTGCTAATAGCTTGAGCATCGAGATAAGAAAGAGCCGCGAATGCAGGGTCAAGAACGAAACATGTATGATTCTTGTTTCTGTGTGTCAAAGCTTGCAGCTCGACGCAGACATTGGTCCAGCCACATTTTCTCGCGAGCGTCATCCAAATAGAATTGGCAAACAAAATCGCTGAGGCTTCGGGGCTTTCTTGATTTTTTCTTCTGTGGACGAATTTACCTTGAAAACATATCGAAAGAGTGTGAAGTCATTCCAAAGTTCCACAACGACGCAGATAGTGCAAAAATGAATGACGTCCGGTCCTCCCACTCGCGATGAATGTCGCACGACGATGGCTCCTTTCTAGCATCCGAGCGTTGTGAAATCGCCTAGAAGACTTCGCATGACCCACTCACTTGTGGTTGTGGTGGCCCAACATCAGCTGTGGAGTCTCCAGCCAGCGTAGTACTGCTGCCCTCTGAGCCGAAAACGGTGCAGATGACTTCGCCCAACAAGCTGATCTTTGAAACGCTGACATTTGGATGGTCTACACAAGAAAGGATTAGTATCATCTAGGGTGTATTGAGGTCATGAGGAGACGCTTTGACGTACCGATGAAGAAGGTATTTGGTGCATTGGTCTGAGCAAACACTACATATGAGTCTGCAGCATCAACACCAGTGAAATTAAGTTCGGCCTGGAAGTTTAAAGCTGGAGTGGAAAGTGTACTGGCAGCCTGGAGGGCAATAGCGGCGGCAATGGTGAACTTCATTGTGGGTGTCTTTGGGAGGGCTAAAATACCGAACTGAGAGAAAAGCTGTGGTGTATTTGATGTGTTGATTCAATTAGTAGTGATGGAGCTTCTGGGGGAAACTTGATGGCAGGAAGAGAACTCTTTATATGTCAAAGATGGGCTGAGTGAAGTGCAAATTGGTAGTACCAACATCCTTTTGGCTGTGCTCGGGTTCAGAGAGTGCGTGATTTCTGATCAAATCACGTTCTGGAAATCGCAGTATTAGCAGGCATGACTTCTCAGGCTGACAACGGGAGAGAGAGAGAGTTCAGAAATACCAGTATTCGTCGACCGATTCCGTGTGGTGCGTTGCATTAAAGGGTACCATAAATACTAAGTGATGCACCCGGACATCAAGCCCCAATCCTATGATTGGAGGCTCGCAAGCTTTCAGGACCCCAATACCCCACAAATATCGTCGTCAGGTATATATCTGTATTTCCAGAAATGGCAAAGTGGTATGTGGCAAGATGTTCTTATCCACTTCACGTGGTTGCAATTATCTAGCTGCATGCTTACAGGCTGATTTTCTGACCTTTGTCCATTGCATATCCTTTCCAAACGGGCAGATATGCATTGAGGGTATACTCGGACGTCTGTCTTTCTTTCAGAAGTCATGTAAGAATGTCACAAGGGGCGGTGGCCCAGATCTGTCCGAGAAGTTGTACTGCTGACTGCACTGAGTGGTACTGCCAGAGGCGATGGATATACCGGCAAATGCGAGCGAGTTGCTGGACATAGCATTCCTGAACTATGGTTTCGAGCGGCTAAAAGAGCCGATCTCGAGGATTTCCAAGTTTCTTTCCAGCTCCTTGTAGAGGAAGATGCAGGGAACTCGAAGACCCCTCGGACAGCCATGTCTTGGCACTGGCATTTCTTACATTAGGTGCCCGGCGCTCGACCGATTTATTTTTAGCACGCCCTCATTCACTCAACGACCGTCCTTGACAAAGCGCAAGAGGGCCAGCTCTGATCCTAACGATTACATGAGTATACCATGACATCCAAGCCCTCCCTCTATGGCTTACCCCGGCCCCCGAAATCCTCCACCACTAACTCAGCCTCCAACTCCGCCTTTACCTCGACCCTCTCCTCCCTCCTCGCCTCCTCCACAACCACGAAACCCCACCCGACGCGCCCCTCAAAACCAAGATCCAAAGACGACATCTTCCACACCTCAAACCGCAACACCAAAAAGCGCGCCCTAGCAGACATCTCCCAAGATGGCTTGCAACAGACGCACTCCACGACTTCCCAAGACGTGGACGCCGCATCCTGGCATCGCTCGAAGCGGAAGATGGAGGAGAAGAGCAGATTGTACGCGAGTATGAAGAGAGGAGATTACGTGCCTACTACGGGGCACAGGGATAAGGAACGGGACGGTCTGGTGGATTTTGATCGGAAATGGGCGGAGGGGCCAGAGGGGGATGGCGAGGGGGAGGAGGGGAGTAGTGACGACTATGCCACCTCTGGCGACGAAGACGCCGGTGCAAACGGTACGGAAGAGATGGTAGAATACGAAGACGAATTCGGGCGCGTGCGGAAGGGGACTCAGAAAGAGGCCGCGAAGACAACTCGATCCATGAACGCGGCGAAATACGCCGGAGAAGAACTAGCGGAATCCTCTGCCCTGCCTCAGAGGCCGGAGAATTTGATTGTGGGGGATACAGTGCAAGCGGCGGCTTTCAACCCGGATGAGATGGCGCAGAAGCGCATGGACAATCTGGTGGGGAAACGGGATCGGAGTGCCACCCCGCCGGAGGAGGTGCATTATGATGCGAGTAGTGAGGCGAGGAGTAAAGGGGTGGGGTTCTATAGGTTTAGTAGGGATGGGGAGGAGAGGAAGGGGCAGATGGAGGAGTTGGGGAGGGCGAGGGAGGAGACGGAGAAGATGGGGCGGGAGAGGGAGGAACGGAGGGAGAGGAAGAAGAGGGAGGTGGAGGAGCGGAGGAAGGAGATTGCGAGAAGGAGGGGAGAGAAGATGGCAGATCAATTTTTGGAGGGGTTGGATGTTGGGTGAGTGTGACTGGGGAATTGTTTCCCATCTCAAACCTGCATTGAAGAGGGCCGAACGAGTGGCTTCGCTGAGATACATGGCTTGATTTTGTTATGGGAGATTAAGTGCACTTATGAGCAATTGCAGTTCCAAGTCTGCACAGGGCAAGAGGGAACCGAGGAATGTGCAGAAATCAGCTCGTTTGTATTCTATCATGTGCCCAGAGAGCTTTCAAATTCACAAACCTCATTAATCGTTTATATTGTTGTGAAGAATCGACCAAAGATAGGCAGGAAATTCGGACTGAGTTGCTAAGTGAGGAAGCGGTCTTGAGTGATATGAAGCTGAATGGCCTCAAGTCTTGTTCCAGGCTCCGCTACTGACCTCATTCGCGCAGATCCATCGAAGTTGAAGTAGAACCAGGTTCATTGAGGTAGTACTCTGCTTCCAATTGCGGATTTGCAGCAATACATTCCTGCCATATTTTCTCCTCTGCATCGGAATTGTTTCTGCACCTTGAATCGATCAATTGATCCCGCCGTCTCTGCAACTCGGTGGCTTCTTCTGGTCGACCTGATTCTTCCACAAGATCTGCCAACCATTGCATATGGCGCATTTCCTGCGTGTCATTCCATCCATAGGCTTCAGCCCCATTAAAGGTTGCCTGGCGCATGTATTCCTCTGCCTTGGCATAATCTTGAAGCCCGTCATAACACCTCGCCGCGTATGCTAAAGCGCTAGACCGGATAGTGGAGTCTACAGACTTTTCATTCTTCGCTCGCGCCTTTGAATCAAGCCTGAGAACCTCCTCGCAGACCTCAAGAGCCTCTGCAAAGCGTTCAAACTGCATGAATAGGTACGAAACATCCATCTTTATGGACAAGCACCTCGCGTGAGTCTGTCCCAAGTCACGCGATGAGGTCTTGAGCAACTGATAAACAGCGTCCAAAGTTCGTTGCTTGAGGGTCTTCGAAAAGCTCTCTGCTGCCATTCCTTCGAGCCAAATGATCGTTTCATGGGCATACCCAATGTGCACGCTGCAACGGTCAATGAAACTCGATGCGAAGGCTTCGCCAGTTTGTTCAAACTGGTCATCATCGAGCGCTGAAAGATCTGAAAATATCGAAGTAAGAGGATGCTCAAGGTTTCTCAGCGCACAATTCATGGCACAGAATTGCTTAAGTAGTGTTTTCGCAAAAGTGCGACCCATAGGCTCCTCGATTAGGCAAACACAACTTACTACCACCCTTAGGACAATCTCTATTTTATTGCTGACCAGTATGCCCTTTATGCCTGATAGTAATAGATCAAAAAGCTGAGTAGCCTGTAGAATCCGGTTCCGGTGTAGAAAGTCGGCCATTTGCCGGCAGTTCGCATCGAAATCTGACAGCATCCCCTGGTCTCGATCATTGACGTAGTCAGAAGTAATTTGGCCGTTCCAATTTACTGACTCGAAAGATCCATCTACGAAGTTCTGACCAATTTTCAAGATTCGCTCTGGTATTCCGAGAGCCGGCGGAGTTGTAAGTGGAGAAGCTGGGGGTGTCAAAACACTCATTCCTGGAGGCGTTGCCGCTTCGTTGTCAGAGGTAAAGGTGACTCGTTTACGATATCGGTTGAGTTTATGTCCAGAAACAGTCCTACCATGGACAGTGATTGTTGATGCTTTACCTTCCATCGACCGTTGCGTTGTCTTGCGAATAGCTGCTTGCATCTCAGCGCCTCTGACATTCTTTGCGATATTCCATTTTCGAATGCGGTCTTTGTACATCTTCCGACTACAAATTTAGTGAGCATCTATGGATTGAGATAGAACATAGTGACATATACCTTGCCCTGAACCCGTATCGGTTTTCCATCATCTCCATGACATTTTCAAGCTTATTTGCGGCGTACAGTTCCGTGATTACTGGTCTGTACTGCACCCAGTCGTCTTTGTTCATTGTTTTTGTCACTTTTCTGATATCATTCGTATTGCATTCGGCAGACGCTATCAAGTCCGCCTCCATGATTTCCGATGGTTGAAGCATACTTGGACAATAGCTGACAGTAAACGAAGAGCTTGGAAGATCTTGACCATGTTGCTCCACTATCAAGCTCTCATCACCAACCCTCAAAGAGACCGGGTAATTCTGCCACTGCCGCTGCGTGACATGGTGCGAGCCTCATCCAACCGGATCTTTCTCGCCATCATAAGATAGCAGTGGCTCTATGGCTTGAGAGAAATCATCCATGGGCTTTTCAAGAAGAGTGCTATCCATGATTGAGGACTCTTGGTCTGACAGAGAGTCTGAGTCCCGTAAAGTGATATTGAAAGCGATGCAAAGAACAGGTAGGACAGTCAAGAGCCAGCCGGTACGCAGCCGGTTTTTATGTGATTCGGAAAAATAGCAGGCACTGCCTCAGAAATATTTTGTCTTCGCATCCCCCGAGTTGGCGTTGAGACCAACAGCATGCCTGCGGCAAGGCTGAAAAACCGATTGCGAAAGTACCAAAATCCTGCATGTGGCTTGCATATGCCAAGGATCTTAGTAACGAATGAAGATGCAACCTATCGCCCTGGTTCTTTTGTGAGATTTGTCCCTTATTTAGGAGCCGCGAGTAGATGTGAGGCAGAACGAGCGCACCGTAGCAGTCCCTGCAGACCCGCAACCTGTAGATTGAAGGTCGGACTGACTGTGGCCTCTAGATCAGAAGAGGTACAGGGCCAAGATTTCTCCAATGAAGTGAAATTTGGCCGTTACACAACGCGTCATATGTTGGGAATATTTTGACACCCGCGTTTGCCACATTTGACAACACTTCCATCATCTAAAAATCCGTCAGATACTCATCAGATACTCCTGACTCGTCCCCCATAGACATAATGACCCTGTTGCTGATGATTCAGCTGGAGACTGCAACACTTTCATATTGATGGTTACAAGCAAAGTCGCCTCACCCGATACTCACCGACAATTTCGCGGCTCCCCCACCATGGTGGGATTCCTAGATCTACCATACGAGATCCGTCACGAAATCTACACGCTCTACTATCTCTCGACAAGACCCGAATCACTTCGTATCAAGCTATGCCATGAGCAGGACAAGTCTCCCACAACACTTAGAGCCCCAGTACCGAATGGCAGGTCTGCTCTGGTTGCGACCAGCAAACTCGTCAGCCAAGAAGCACAGCAAGTCTTCTGCGGAAGCTCCACTTGGAGGATCAGCAGCAATCTATCCGACCTTATTCGGCCAATTCAAAATACTTCCTTCTTCGTCATCGACCGCTCACTCCTACAACACGTCCTCATTGAATTTGACATTGTCCACATTGTGACCATGAGACTCACATCTCACACCGGTTTGTTTCAGTCCTTCAAATCACATCGGCTTTCGGAGGACCATAACCGCTTCGTCCGCTCTTCAGACTTGCTGGATAAATTGCGCGTACTCTCAGGCTGCCATTTCAAGTCACTGACACTCGACACAACCTACGCATCCAGAGAGGACGGAACCCGTCGTTACGGTCTGAATCTTTTACCCGGAGCGACCGACATCCTCTCACTCGACTTACGATCCTCGCTCACGAAAGACACTCCAAAAGAAGAGAAGCTACCGTTACTATTATATGAGGCATTCGGACTGTACAACATACCATGCTTCTCGGCAGAAAGAATCCTTGTCCTAGGAATGCGCAAAAAAAGAGAATGGAAAATGGCGCACCACCACGGATTCGGGTGCGATCATTGCCCCCTTATCGAGGGCCAGTACGTGACAGACGCTTGTGATTGGGTGGCAGCGCGGAATGAAGTTCGTGATGAAGCGTTTGGGTGGCATGAACGGTATGATGTTGATAAGAAGAAGTACAGTAAGAAAGTCAGGGCACGAATGAGGCCGTTGGGATTGTATTGAGAAGGAAGGACTGAGGGAAAATAAGAAGCACGCTTGATAGAATTGATCGAGGGCTGTTCAGCGAGGTGAGGCGTGATTAAGGCTTCCGAAAGAGTTGGACATGCGTAGGATGATAAACTAGCGGCATGTCACTGCAACGGTGAGACAATGTCAGTAACCTTGTACCCAAGCAAGCTCGGCGATAGTGACTTGGTAGCGACGTTGCCAGTTTTGATGGGACGTACGCCAAAGCCACAGCAAGCAGAGAAGGACGTGATACCATATTTTTGATACGGCTGGCTTGGTGATCAATGGGAGACAAGCCTAGAGCATTACGCTCGCGCAATTGGCTAAAAGACTCGACAGTCAACTAGAGAATTCAAAAAGAGGGATGACACTCATCTTTTTGGAGGGTCTTTTCATCCTCGCAATGTTTTCAAACCCCGAACGTCGACGTCCTTCCGTACGTGCCCAATCTTGCTGTTCTGCGACACCAGATAGGCCGTTGATATCGTATTCATGGCCTGCTCCACCAAAGCCCAATCTCTGCACTCTGGATCGAGCAAAGCCTATAACAATCAAAACACATCACTTGCTTAGCAATTTCTTCGCCCGTAACCAGGGTTTCAATGAAGATATCATGTACACACTACCCCTAGCATATACACGCCCTCTCCCTCATATCTATAGCCATTATTGATATAGCATATCCATGCCCCTCCTCCCCGTCCTCTTGAATCATGCACGCTCATGGTATGGAAGCCCAATTATCCCCCTCTTCACCCCTTCTCATCCACACCCAACCCTCCACCCCCCTCCCCACGCTCCCTTCTCTTCCTCACTCCCACCCCCTCATCATCTTCTTTCCCCACTACCTCACCCCCCTCACCCCCCTCATCATCTCCCTCTTCCCCCTCCTCAGCCACAGACCCCCAACTCACCACCCTCGCCAACCCTAACCCCCCAGCCCCAGCCCCAATACCCGCACCTATACCCCCACCAATATCCCCGCCCAACTCCCCGATCATCGGTCTCCTCGGCTTCCGTCTCCCCCTCGCCCTTCCACCCACGAAGGGTGTTTCATGGTATATGCTGCGCAGGATGTAGAGGAGGATATCGTAGAGGATTAGGAGGAGCCAGGGCGCTATTGTTGCGAGGGCGAGGAGGAGCTGTGGGAGTGAGGGGTTGGTTAGTATGGTGTGTGATGGGGAGAAGGGTGAGAGGAGACGAAGGTGTTGTGGGGGGGGGGGGGAAAGAGGGGAGGGGGGATGGAGAGAGGGCGTACGAAGAGCCGTATAATCCACGTCTCAAGTATCGCGAGGTATGGTGGTAGGATGGAGAACCATGACATCCCGCTTCTCTCCCGCCTCACTGGAGCGTAAGCGGGGAAGGTGGAGTGCGGCAAAGGATGCCAGAAAGACAAGAGGATGCAAAGCTAGGTACTTCGTCTTGCTGTGACTGTGGAGGTTCTGCGTAAAGGGAGAGGTGTGAGAGTGGGCTGGGTGAGGATGGGTCGGGTGGGACAGTCGAGATTTGTGATACTGTGACTTCTATGATTGAGGAGAGACTAGTCCATGCCCCTGAAGAGATGGGAATGAGGGTCCATATTTGTAATGAGCATGCTTTGGTCAATTGAGAGGTGTAGATGGAATTGGAGGCGTGTGGGATGGAAGACGCGAGGCGGGGTGAGACTGCGGAAGGTTGCGGGCGGAGCGGGGCGGAAGGATGACAGTGGTGAGCTGTCATGCCGTCGATTGATCGCAGGGTCGTTGATGATATAAGATTGTCTACAGCGGACTTCCTACGAGAGGGACACGAGTGTGTGTATTTATATTCAATTCGCGTGTGCAAACAGGCAAGGCTACCTCATCTCTGTAAGGTAAGGGATAACTATGTACGCTATGCCACCGTTCCAGCGCTGTCATCATCCGTTCCTAGTCATAAATAGCATGCATATATATACAATCAGCTAGCTCGCTCGCTCACAAATATTCATCATCCATCATTCCATACGTAGGTGCCCCGCCCGATCCGAGAACTGGAGCCTGACCAACGAGTGGTTCTCCCACGGTGTCAGTGCCAAACATGAAGCCCACAAGATATCCCACGAAGGAGCCCACCAATTTCACCCCAATCCTGAACAAGACATAGAACGGCGCAAGAAGACTGCCGAACGCGGTCTTCTGGTAGATGACTTTGAACAGCACGAACGGCGGGCGGGGAGCATGGATGTCCACTCCAAAACCTTTCATGGAAGTCGCGTATCGGGGTTGACAGTACATTCCTCTGGCTATGAATTCGCCAATGAAAAGTATCCATGCTAGAAGAGAGATCAAGCCGAACCAGGTCAGCCTTCGCCGTTCGTCGTCCCGCCTCCGATATAAGAGCTGTGGAATCGGGATGCGGATATGGAGCGTGGTGATGGCATCTCGGAGATCGAAAAACCCGTCATGGGAAAATGGCTCTGTGCGCCCACCACAGCCGCATTTCTTGCATGGGAAGATGAAGTCATGAAGTTCACCAGCTTCGTTGCAATTATCATCATTATCTTGAGGACGGTTCCGGTTCGGTTGTTTCGAGTTGGAGTGGGACATCGCTCGTTCGAGCGATGCGAGCTGTCTCTTAGAATCTCTGATTGAAGGACCTAGTGTTGTCAGACGTGAGAGAACAGCTGTGTACGACTGTGGATCAGACTCTCCGGGAGCTTTCCGTTCAGTGTCGGATTTAGGAGATGGATCTGAGCTCGGTGGGGAAGTGACTTGCGAGGAAGGAGTTGTTAGCATTGTTGATACGTCGGTGTCATTGGCCACAAGTTGCTCAAGAGACTGAATAGTGTCCTCGCCGAGCTGAAGTGTGGGTTCATCTTCTGAATACGGAGTGTGGGTGAAAGGAAGCAGATCGCCACCCTTAGCTTCATTCAAGACACTCTGCAAAGCAGACTTGGGCAGTGCAGATCCAGTATACTTGAGAGGCTCCCAATGCTTTGGTTTACGATTAGATAAATGAGCGTTTGGGCTCAACTTCTTCACCAGATCAGCAATGGTAGATGTAGTATCCATGTCTTCGTCTTCTTCAGCAATAGGCGGCTGCCCTGTAGATGTGTCTCGTTTCAAGCTTTGATACGGCGTCTCTATCCAGCCGCCAGTCACAAAAGGAGTCTTCATGACGGTGCGTGGAGGGGAGATGTCGCGATGTTCAATCTGGGATTGATCAATCCATGCGCCGGTGACGACAGGCGTCTTTGTGTAGATCTTTGGCCTAGAAACTTGCGGCGTCTGCTCAACCTTGGTCTGGGCAGGACCTTGACGCTGAGGAGGTATGTTCTCTTTATCTGGTCGCGGGCTATCGCTAGCTGCTCTGGAAAGCCTTCTTAGGAGATCATGCGAATCTTGGCGCTCCTGACTTGGCCGTTGCATCGAAGCAGTAGGTTGAGAGGCAGAGTCACGAGGATCATGGTCGGGGTTAAGGGAATCTCCTACATCTGTCGAGGAAGGCTTGGAATGTAGAGCCGGTTCGTGACTGTCTGACTCAGGGTTAGTTCCTTTTTCATTTTGAAAACGAGCTTTTGCTCGAGCGCTCTGCTGACTTGGCGCCCATCCATTTAGTAGGTTAGGTCGATTGGGTGAGGTCCCTCTCTGCTCCTCCTCTTCGGACGAGCTTTGATGTAGGGTTTGTTGCGAAATCTTCACTTCCGGCTCGCTCTCTCGATTTGCTTTCTGTGGCTGTTGGGGGACTTCTGAACGTTCTGGACTGTTCATACCCTCATGACCATCATGATTGAATTCAGCGCCTCCGAGGCGCATTGGTGGGCTGTCTGACACTTGCAATGAGCGGCCAGTGAAGTCATCCTCAATATTCCAATTATGTTGATGATTTGTTGGATTTTCTGATGGCTTCTGAGTTCTAAGCGTTGAATGGGAAGATGATGTAAGTATGGATGATCCACGCTCACTGCTGGGTAGGGGTACTTCAGCTGCGGCGGAAATCCAATCGTCAATGCCATCTCTTTCGCCGTTCCGTTTTTGACTTCTCGGGAGGATTTCTTCCCCAGCCGAGTGACGGTGAGAGGGAACTTTGCCAGCTTTTGCCTTACGTTCATTGATTCGGCTTAGCCAGTCATTGCCAGGCCTTGCTTTCCTCCCCCATGTCTTTGGGATGTTCATGCTTGGTTCGGATCCTGTGAGGCTGAAGCTGCCGGCACTTCGAGAGCTTCTTAGTGATTCACTGCTTCCGTTCTTTCGCCGCAAATTCTCAAGACTCAGTCCTGGTCTGTCACTTAGGTGCGCCTTACTGAAAGCTTTGGGTCTGCTCTTCAGGACTCTCTGTAACTGTTGTAGGTCTTTTCCATATTGCGACATCCCACTGTCCAAGGACGATGTGTTGGTGTCATCACTGGACATCATGGCTGGCCTGTTTTGTTGGTCCCCGTTGATAATCTCATTGTCTTCTGTGTGATCGTCATCGACAGCCCCGTCGAAATGAATCTGCGGAGACGACTTGCGCGACATCTTTGAAGCGGGCGGTGAATCTGAATTGTGCCCTGGTGAGGGAAGCGCTGAATCCGGCGCTTTTGGAGGCTCAGCCTGATACGCCTGAAATTCCTCCAAGTCAGTGTCGTCCACTGTGTCCTCATGCGCAAGGTTCTCTTCCTCAACTATGCGTTGATAGGCTTCCGTATATCCACGTCCAGGCGAAGGTTCCGAGGTGGCGGGGGAGTTGTCAAGCAATTGTCGCCCCCTTGGAGGGGTAGGTGTTCGAGGTCGTGTTGGTAAATTTTGCTTTGCGGTCGACGCAGAAGTCACCTGTGGAGAAGTTGTAGATCGATGAATCGGATTTCTTTGAGCTCTGATTCCACCTATTGGCAACGCCGATGACTTTCTAGGCTTGCTCCCCTCATTGTCTATGGCTGTCCCATGGAACGCTGCTGACAGCGAGTGGCGTGGTCTATCTTTGCGGGAATTGGCTTTCCCATATTTCTGTGTCAATGGTTTACGAGGGCTTGGGCTCGGGATCAAGGAGTTGTTAAGGCTGTCGGTCAAGAAGTCAGGAGGCTGTTGCAAGGTAGGCGCTGAAGGACGTGAGCCAAACAAAGGACGGTCGCGCGTCAGGTTGGCGCCGTTTGTAAGCTGCTTTCGTTTCTTGCTCGGGCTCTCCGGACTATTGGAGGCCATTGTGTCGCGTAAAGTGTAGTATCACGAAGACACTTCATGGCATTGAGATGGCAAACAGCGTCGACAAGTGAGGATGCCGTCAACACATCAAAAATGCGACGATCACCATTATGCGATCTGCACAGCCAATCAACGCGCCGGCAATGCTTACTCATTCAAAGTCTTGGCAAGAACCTTTAATCTCATACGTCACCGTTGAAGTCGCGTTAGCACCTTCCCCAATTCCTCCCTTTTGCATCTTCTACCATGCGGCTTAGGACTTGACCGTCGTTGTATCCGAAGTAGCCGACTCTGGGACGCCAATGGATCCTGCTTCCAGGGTCGCGACAGACTGCCGACCTGACTACCGGCGAAAAGGGTGCAACCTAAGACGATCAAGCATCGTACCATCCATCTGCGGGGTAGCATAGTCTCCGCACCAGGCACATGGCAAAGCTCCTTGCATACGAATCCGACTATTATGTGCCGAGCTCTGAAGATGTGCGGTCATGGTTAAGATACATTTCATGATGTCTGCCCCTTCTGCCTCCTCGTCTGCTTTTCCTTGCCTGCGATTCTCAGCAACCTCTATCTCTCGCACCGTCTCTTCCTTTTCATCACGCATGCTTTTCGAAGATGGAACTTCCCAAAATCTACAATGTCTACTTTCTTGCCATCATTGCCACCGTTGGCGGCATGCTCTTTGGATTTGATATATCTTCTATGAGCGCTATCATTGGCACAGACCAATATATTACCTACTTCAACAACCCTCATGGTGTGACGCAAGGCGCCATTGGCTCAGCCCTCGCTGCTGGCTCAGTTGTAGGTGCAGCCTGTGCTGGTTACTTTTCTGATTTGATTGGACGTCGAGACTCGATATTCTTTGCATGCTTCTTCTGGCTGGCAGGCACCTCTGTGCAGGTACGCGCGGTCAACAGATGCTCCATAATTCCTGCTTATCGAAAAATAGGTTGCCTGTAATGGTGCTGGTATGCTCATCGCGGGTCGTATCCTCAATGGTGTCTGCGTCGGCGTCACATCCAGTCAGGTCCCCGTCTACCTCGCAGAGATCGCCAAGAAAGAGAAACGTGGCAGCATCATCGTCATTCAGCAACTTGCCATAGAGTGGGGTTCGCAATCTGGTTTTCTTTGAGGCGTATATCCAATTCACTTACATTTCCATAGGCATCTTCATCATGTTCTTTATTGGATACGGCTGCAGCTTCATCGCCGGAAACGCCTCCTTCCGCACTGCATGGGGCATTCAATTCGTACCTGCCGTGTTCTTGATGGTTGGGCTCCCCTTCTTGCCACGGTCGCCGCGGTGGCTTGCAAAGAAAGGCCGAACGAAAAAGGCCATCAACGTGCTTGCCAAAATCCAGGCACACGGCAATATCGATGACCCGCTAGTCGTAGCGGAATGGGAGGAAATTACATCCACATTGCGAGCGGAGCGAGAAGCACTTCAGGGTTGGCGAAAGTTCATCAAAAATGGCATGTGGAAGCGTACGTTTGCGGGCATGTCAGTGCAGGCATGGCAACAATTGTCTGGTGCGAACGTCATGACTTATTACGTCGTCTACGTCTTCTCGATGGCCGGGCTCACTGGCAATATCAACCTCATTTCCAGCGGTGTACAATATGCGCTCTTCATCATCTTCACCACCATTGTCTTCTTCTTCATCGACAAAACCGGCCGCAGACCGCTCTTGATCTTCGGTGCTATCGGTATGGGCACTTGTTTGTTCATCGTCGGTGGCGTGCTTGGCTCTTACGGCACCTATGTTCCAGGCGGCGTGGGCGGTAACCTGAACGTCATTGTCGAAGTCAAAGGCACCCCAGCCAACACCGTGATTGCGTTTTCATACCTCCTCATCATTGTCTACGCCTTGACCCTCGCTCCGATTGCTTGGGTCTATGCAGCAGAAGTCTGGTCGCTCGAGACTCGGGCTACTGGAATGGGTCTGGCCGCTACCGCGAATTGGCTCTTCAATTTTGCGCTCGGGCTGTTTGTCCCACCGGCTTTTGGCAATATCAGCTGGAAGACATTCATAGTATTTGGGGTCTTGTGCTTCGCTGCCGCGGTGCAGGCATTCTTGACGTATCCGGAGACTTGCGGGAAGAGTCTTGAGGAGATTGAATTGTTATTTTCGAAGGACGGGCCATGGCCTTGGAAGACGAAGCCAGGGGAGAGCAGATTGGATAGACGGGTCGAGGATGTGAGGACAACAGGTAGGGGTTTGGATATGAATGGGGAGAAGGAAGGAGTCGGTGAAGTGGAGGAGATGCATAAGGAGTTGAGCGTTTGAGACCTCAAACCAATCTTCGATTCGAAGCTCAATTTGTTGGCGAATTCCCATGTTCACATCGCTTGGTAGTGTGATATATTGCTCGTTTTCGCAGCAATTTTAGACTACCTCATTTACCCAAGCGAATCGTCTATTCTAGGATGATGCAATCTTGAGGTGGCAAATTGCGGCCTGTTCAGGTTGTACAACACACAGCAAGAACTTTATGCCCCCCACTCCGCAGAATTTTCCATCCTTCCTGCTCCTCCATAGTCAACAAAATGATAGGCTCAAGATTTCACAAGCATCTATGATAGCTTCACTAGCACTCAACAACACGAAGCCGTTTTGATAAGTCATATTTGCTCATGTTACAAGCATTAATTAAGCTATCGAAAGGGCTACGAAGCAGGCTCTGGCCCAATAATCTCACGCTTCAATCCCGGGAAATACAAGCATTGAGTGAGGTATTGAAAGAGCTACAAAGCAGGCCCAGGCCCAATGCTCCCATGTCGCACTTCCTGAAATTACCCCTAGAGTTGCGAAATATAATCTACAGGCATTGTCTTGTCATGGAAGACGACAACGACGACGACGACGGGATCATCCCTTACCTCAGATCATACGAAGAGGAAGATGGCTTGGAATCTTGGAATGGCTTCCGAGCTCCCATCCCGGGAATTGGGCTTCTCACTGTCAACAAAGAAATTTCCAGCGAAGCGAAAATCATATTCTACGGGGAAAACCGATGGAGACTTCATTGTTGGGGTCGCTATCCAGGTCACATATCTGATAAAGACCAACTTCGTGTGAAAAACAAACACCTCTTTCGACACGTCCAGATCACACTAGATGCCAGAGATCTCCATCGCCGCGACAGCGTGGTACTCATCAATGGCAAATTTGAGGAGAACCGAGACCCAAACGGCGAGCTACAAGCCCGTCATGCGGATAATAGGCGTCATCATCTGCGCAACTGGGGATTGACGCTTCGCATACTTGATGGGATGAATTTGATATCTTTGGACATTGAAATTGGCTATATGTTCTGCTCAATTGGATGCTGTCGCTTCGGAGCTCTATCCTTGCCACAAAATACAGAGAGTGTAGCGGGCTACGCAAGCCAGTTGATCGAGAATGAAAGCACCGAGGATCGAAAGCTTTCCCGGTTGTTGTACAGTGCAATGGGGCTTAATGAACCATTGCCAAGCTTCACCACTAAACGATGTCGACTGTCTGATATGTTTACAAGCGCTGAGTACGAGAGAGCACATTTACACGGATTCGGATGCGAATTTTGTCCGTTAAACCAGGAGAAGTATAACACAAGCGCATGCACATGGAAGGCCGAGTTGGAGAATGAAACCTTTTCAAGTGATGATGGCAGGCTTTCAGATACATCTGAGTTTCAAGATTACTATGATGCTTAGAGAAGTCTTGCTGCGAGATCTGCCCGGAGTCTTTCATTGAAACCTCTCGAACGGGGAAAGGGGGACACTTCACAGATATATGCGAAAACGTCCCACTGTGCAGAAATTCTGATAGTCATGCTTCATTCAATCTGCGCATGGGACTGACAGGATTGCCGAACGAAGCAACACATGAAAGATATTTCGATGAAAACAAGAGGCGTTTATCATCACTAATCCTTTTGGGACCTACTGGATTTATCGACGGAGAACACACCAGAGCCTGCGACTTAAGTACCTCGACTTTTTCATCCCGTGAGAATAGACCTCCAGGTTTTCGAGTCACAACTGCTGCAAGACCTTGATAAGATCCGAAGTAACGCCCATGGCCGTCACAGCACCACCAGCTCTAATCCATAGTCAGCACTCTACTTCCTAGATACCAAACAAAAGGAGATACGAGAAAACTTACCCGGCACCTTGAATGACCAATGGATTATCCCCATACCTCTCCGTAAAAAAGCTCACAATATTATCACTCCCCCTCAACCCTGCAATCGGACTCCCCTTCTCAAACTTCTCCAACCCAACCTTCAACTCCCCCTCTCCACATCTACGCTCCCTACATACCTTACCACCTTCCCCTCCCCCTCTGCCTCCCTTTTCACCCCCTCCATCTCCCCATCAAACTCCCCCAGCCTTGTAAGAAACTCCCCACTACTCGCACACCCCTCCAGCTCCTTCGGAATCAAACTCTGCGTCGGCACCCTCTCGAGCCCCTCAACTTGCACCCCACACAACCTCGCCAACACAATCAACTTCCTCGCCACATCCATTCCATTCAAGTCATCCCTCGGATCTGGCTCCGTGAATCCCGCTTGTTGCGCTTTCTTCACCACCTCACTAAACTTGCCCCCCTCCCCCTCCCCCTCCCTCTCCACAGGCGCAAAGCTGTTAAAAATATACGACATAGTCCCCGACAGCACGCCCTCGATGCGCCTCACTTTGTCCCCCGTAGCAATCAGATCCTTCAAGGTGCTGATGATCGGCAAGCCCGCCCCGACGGCCGCTTCGTGGTAGAGGTACCCCTGCCGCTTATGGCGCTGTTTTTCGGATTCGGAGAAGATGGCACGCCAGGTGGCGATTGAGCCAGAAAAAGCTTTTTTGTTAGGCGTTACGATGGAGATGCCGCGCGAAAGGGCGTGGTGGTAGACGGCTACGACCGCCGGGCTAGAGGTGTTGTCGATTAGGATGCTCTTGCCCGGGAGCTCGTCGAGCATCTCGACGATGGTGGTGATGGTGAGGTGTTTGGGGGAGGCTTGCAGGTCTTGGTGCCATGTGTTGAGATTGAGCGTGTCGTCTTTAGAGCCTTTGGGGATGCTGAGGGTTTTCGTGGAGCTACTGATGATGGCGAGGCGGACGTCAGGGTACGAGGGGAGAATTTTGGTGAGTTGGGAAAGGACATGGGTTCCTACGCCGCCGACGCCTGTGGTGTATTAGGAGGATGCATGACTATATTCTTTGGGGGGGCAACGAAGAGGTCTGCAGTACGCAAAGCTTGGAAATTCTTTGGTCTAGTGAGAACAGTAGACGCTGCAATTGGACATATAACATCAATACTTTACTCACCGATCACGCCTACGTATACCAGTGATTCCGCCATCTGCAAAAGTTGGATGAAAATGGAATGCTCGCTACGTTTGATTGGACAGTTGATTTTGTGGGGCTGCCGAGATTCATAGCCCTAGATCTAACCCAATCAGGTCAGGCTTTGCTTTTTCGACTTGGTCTTGTACGTGCCGACGAAGATCTTTCCTTGTACTTCTTCTTCTGAAGAAACAAATATGCGTCAGTGTGCAGAATCACATGCGAAGAGAGCTTTCATCTTCTGATAGTGGTTCGCAAGCTTTATGCAAAGCTCGAGGTCCGATGAGCGAAGCCTTCAATGACACATTATACGGAATCTCATCTCAAAATAAAGCAATGTCACATTCCAGGGTCTCTCGAAGCTATGGTTTCTGAATCATTGGTTGGGGCTTTCAAGCCAGAGCTATGTAATTGTGCGAGTATCTTCTACCTAGGGTACCTGAGCTTGAACGCCTTTCTATGGGTAGCCCAGCTTCCCTTAACGGCTGATGCAATAATCAAGTATACTCGCCCCAAAAGTTGTGTCAGCTAGCGTTCTCTTGCTAACAGACCGTTGATGACTGTCTTCAACAGCAACGCTTACCAACCTTCCAACGGAGTCATCCGAACTTTCACACCCCCAACCCTCGTCAAAGTCAATTGATGAGATAACGGTGACTCAGATCCACCCTCCACTTGCTCCACCTTGAATCTCCCGAAGATACCGGCCATCAAAGTCGAGATTTCGTTCCGGGCGAACCGCTCCGCAATGCAAGTCCGCGGACCCCCACCAAAAGTAGCCAAACAACTCGCGTCTTTTGCACCGCCTCGTCCGGAGGGATCATTCAGCCAACGCTCTGGCTTGAATTCCTCTGCATCTGGGCCCCAGCTCTCCGTCGAGCGGTGCAGACCCCATGGACAGAGTATGACGTCCACGTCCTTGGGCACGCGATGGCCGCAGATGATTGTGTCGACTGCCGTACGGCGGAAGAACCAGCTAAATGGTGGGAATAACCTTAGCGTCTCGTCCCTGACTGCGTTAAGATATGGCAAATTCTCTATTTCGATGGCGGACGCAAGGATGGGATTAGAAAGCGGTGGTAGGTTCTTCCGAATCTCAGCGCAGACTTTCTCTTGTATATGACGATTTTCTGGCCTGGAGAGCATTACCGTGGCCGAGGCCATGGTTGAAGAGGTTGTGTCGTGTCCGGCTGCGAAGAGCTCCTTGACTTGCTCAATAAGAACGGTGTCCGAGAAGCCAGCGTTGTGCATGACTCGGTCAAGTAAATCTGGGTTCGACTTTTCTGGTATCTCAGCTTGTCGCTTCAGACCAATTATACTGCGGGCCACCTGATCCATCGCTTTCTTCACAATGGCGATGTCTCTGTTGCGCTCGATTGGCACGTTGTCGACGATCCAAGCCGGCATAGCGTGCGCGAGCAAACATCGGATGCGATTCGACGTGGACACACCGAAGGCCTTTCTATAGTCTCTTACCAATCTATTTTCGCTTTCATCCTTCTTCACACTATCAAAATCGAAGCTGCACCCAGCAAGCCCGATGATGTCGAGAGCAGCGCGAGAGATAGGATCATGCACCTCGACTACGCCTGAAGAATGTTCGCCATCTTCTTGATCAAGACTACTCTGGCTTGACGTCTCATCTGAAGAGTCCTCATCATTTTCGATGACCGTCACCTGCGCTAGAGCATTCTTAGCATCCCAACGTCTGGGATCTACCTCGCGCTGATACTGTTTGATAAGGCCACGCGCCTTCGACTGGAGTAGAATCTGCCGAGAAAAGATGTCAACAACCTCTCTAGTCTTCTGCCACATAATGGGCTGACATTCGCGGATTCGCTTCAAGGAGAAGGCTGGAGACATCTTTTTCCGATGCAGTCGATGAGCCTCTCCTTCGGCAAAGACCAAGCCTTTGCCAGCCACAGGTGCGAGGTGAATCTTCTGGGCTCTTTGTTTGTGGAAGTGATAGGGATTGGTGACAAGGGCATCACGCATGCCATCGGAGTTGGTGATCAATAGGCGTTCCTGATTGAAGATGCCGAGGTATCGAATGAGACCGTCATTGGGTATTTCTTTCATCCACTTCTCGAAAAGCCACGGCGTGGGCTCCTTGAAGAAGCGCCGCCATAGGGATTTCTGTATTGGTGTTGGTAGATGCCGAAGCGGACTGATCCTGGGGTAGATGAGGACGTTATACGCTGTCTCGGAAGCAAGAAGGGACCCAAAGGCCCAGCAGAAGTCGACAAAGACGTTCAATCTAGAGGGTACGATGCAGCTAGAGAGATAGGACCAAGTCAACGCAAGTAGAAAACAAGCTATAAGCTGGTTTTGTGAGAGCATGATGGAAATTTGGTATCGAAGTTCGTCCTGGTTAGAAACAAGGAGCGGCACGTTCGAACATTATAACCGTCTTCAATGATCCATCTCGAAACGAGGGCCATAGACTCGGCAGTGAGCGGCTTACGTTAGGCACCTCGAGCGTCATGGGCCCATTGCCGCAACCCGCATGTTGATATGATGTTGAACGATGGCTAGACTCATATTGCAATGTCAAGTAAGTCTTCCCAGTAATGGACTTGAGATTAGCGCTGACTATCATGGAATTGATAGGTAAACGCGCAGCAAGTCCAGTGATCATTAACGGAGGACTAAGTCTCCGATGACACGTTAAATGAAATACTGTGGTGCTGAACCACGTGAATGCTGAAATGCCAGATGTGACAGCGCATTTCCAGAACTCGCAACAGGCAGCGACAAGGCAATTCTGACCGATAAAGGGGTATGGCGCAAATCATCAATGAAAGTCTATTGACCTTCGCCGCACCTATCTGAGGACAGCGTTGGCTAGCACCTGCGCAAGATCCAAGGCGGCTCACTGATTCAAGACTCGTACGATCTCTACATCGTGGTTCCTGCCGTAAGTTAGCCGAGATATTACGCACACCGCCAATCATTGTTGCGAGATGACTAGCTACCGCACAAGACCGGCAGATCCGTCAATTTGACATGCATAGATCTGCCTCCTCCGCCAAACCTACTTTCAAGAGATAAGTACTTTGATTGGGTCAGCTCGTAAGCACCGCATCCACCAATCCCCAAGAAGTACGTACCGACCAAGACGGCGGGTCAATCAGCCATTTAGGATGGTTCTAGTGTCTGACCTGCATTGAAACAAGCCACTTCACTGCCGTGCCACCAATATGCATCCCTAAAACGTTGCGATCTAGACTTGGATACTGATTTCAGGCCCCCATTATTGCAACTGCAACGCGGCCACGAGTCTAGGTTTGCATCCATCGCGCATGTCTTAGTACGGTGGGCATTCCTGGTGGAGGGAATTTTGGCGATGCTACAAGGGATGAGGCTTTCGAATGCGCTGTGGGTCAAGCGGCAGTGAAGGTGTGAGAAACTTGCGGGATTTCCCAAGGGGTGCGGAATATCGGAGCTCTCAATTTCATGTCGATGCCCACTTGTCATTCTTTGTAAGTCGAACTCGCCGCTGACCAACGGTGGGAGACACCTTACTGACGGTCTTTAACAAGTCGTTGGGAAGTTCCAATCAAAGACCTTATCGGATAGTGCTTTTGGATGCCTTGAATGATGCAAAGCGGCATCCTCATCGATGCTTCGAGTCCGAGGCTGAGCTGGTCTAGTTGATGGGAGCGAAGGATCCGAACCCACAAAAAGAATCGTATTGTAAGAGCTAATCAGTACTCACTCCCCTGCCAGCCATATCAGAATTTGGAATGCTCGCGCATTGCTTTGCGGTTTGTGGAAGTCGAGTTGGCTATCAACAACGGCCCGTGGGCCGATTGATGTCTCGACACACAAATCCTCTCGCGGAAGTCGCACATCCATTGCTGGCAATCCAATGAGCAAGCTCCTGTCTCGTGGGTTGCACGCATCCTTTGCTTGGTGATCCGCAACGTTCAGTCCGGATGACCATCGGACAAACGGCATAACGAGCTTCTGGCCGAAGCCACTTAGACTGCGTCCAACCGATGCTGTGTGCGAGCACATCCGAAACAGCCTTGCGCCGGTGACGAAATCGACCGTTGGGATATGGAACACGTGCACCATCAGCCCCTCCTCGAGCTTGAGGAAGTCGAAGTTGTGTGACAATCCTTGTGACAAGGTACTTCCATCTCATTGTTCATCACATCGGCAGAAACAGTTCAGCTTTCGTATGCCCTGCAATTTGTATCGGGCTTTCACAACTGCCCAGGCTTCGGCAATTCCATGCTGGAGACGCTGTATTCATTCCTATCGCACGATGTGTCCAAGGAACCTTCACCGCTGGATAGTTTGAAGCAATGTTTCTTCCACTCTTTTGAGTGAAAGGCTCCCAGAGACAACAGCCACGACCTTTCTGCTTTCTCCTTGGCGTATATCCTTTTGACAGCTTCCACACGGACGAGCTACTTGCAGATTCCAAAAGCCAGCCAAGCTCAAGGTTTCGCACCGCCACGTCCACATGTCCTCCACTCTCCAATCTTGCAGCGTCATTGGTCTTTTTCAACGGTAAGCTCAAGACCTTCCATTATGAGTTTGATTGAGTGTGTTTGCTATATCTGCTTGTCGCAGCTCTTGCATCGTTGGCAATACTCTTGCTGGAGTGCACAAAGCAGTCGGATCAAAGGACCAGAGAGTATCATATTCCCTCCCCGAACGCCTTGATCTCTTGGGCTATACATGTATCTTTGCGCCCCTTGGGTCTTCCGAATGTATTCACAGGATACCGGAGGGAGCGAGAGGTTAGATGCATGTCCGCCAGGGCCAGGTTCAGATATGAGAACTTCGCCTTTGGACATCGAGCGATAATCGATTGGTATGTGCGGTAAGTATTTCCTCCTGCGATGATCGAAGCAAAGATGCTTACAACTCACTTCGAACACCAGAAACCACCTCATCGTCATCATCAGCAGGAGACAGAAACGTATGAGTGTTTGTCGCCGACCATGGATAGAGAGGCGCTTGCTTTGCTAGCTTGCCAGAAATATTACCCATCTCGCTCTCAGCTGCAGAATCAAGACAAGTAACAATAGCTGTCACCATGAAGAATGTCCATAGGTCAATACTGTCTCGTCAGCACGCACTGCGATGATCGAAATGAAGAGGTACGGTGCTCATGTCGAGACATTACTCAACGGTGAATTACAGTCTCCCCCGGAGCATTTACGACATAGAACTCTCTAGATGATCAAGTATTGTATACACCAACGTACAGCTGGATCGACTGTATTACCCTTACAATGTCAATGTGAACCGCATATCTCTGGCTATTGGCATTCACGACGGATATTATCCCCAGTGGAAATGCCCCGAAATCAACTCCCCGGCCCCCATGCCAAGGACTCCTGTTTGCACTAGAGCTGATGGATCCTAGTTGCAGCGAGTCACGTCTTGATTGGTCGGATCGAAGATTGCCTAAACATGATTATGGCATCTCCTGAGGATTTGCCGATCCGCACAAGTTTCAGCCTATGGCTTTGCTCGCCCTTGTCCTTATCCTTATGCATCTCTGCACGGTTCCCCAACGTCAGGCAGGCGGTGCTTCAGGCTGCTCACTGCTATCTTTGGACATGGACACGTCTCCCTGACGCGCGCATGCATGTTTCCATAATCTGCCAGTCCTTCTCGACCCATTGCGGACATGAATCTGCGACCCCGCCAAATCAGGCCCCTCACTGCGCACTGGTTCTGTTGTGATATACAAATCTTGGAGGCTGTGATAGACTATCTTCATTGGTCAATTGGACTCCGATTGCAGCATCGGGCAGAGATCCACCGTTTTGAACCTCATTGCCAACCCTTCCTCCCTGCTCCTCATGCACTGTGAATTTCAAATTGTTGCAGCTTGCGTTTGGAATCAGGAAACCCTCGTCATGCGCTTTTCAATATATAAGAATGCTTGTTACTCATCTCATCCTCTCCCATCAAGTACATCCCACCTGACCAGCACATTCTTCTCATTGCAGCTTTGCAACACCCCCCTCATTCAAAGCATGGAGCAAACAATGGACATGAGAGCCCCTCACACCCACTTCGACATGTCCTCAGAACACCACCACCCCCACTCCCACACCGACATGCAACCCTCCACCCCTCCAATGCCCATGGAAAAGGCTCCCCCCGCCTCCGCCGGCCACAACATGCACCCCGACGACCCCGATAACCCGCAAAACGCCCCTCTCTTCCACAAAATTCACGCCTCCCTCTCCTCCTCCGCCTTCGCCTTCATGATCCTCTTCGGCGCCACAGCCTACACCTCCTCCCTCGCGGGCGTCCAAGCCCGCTTCTCCGTCAGCATGACCGTCTCCATCCTCCCCTTCTCCCTCTACTTCTGGGGCATCGCCTTCGCCCCAATCTACACCCCGCACGTCTCGGAGCGCTACGGCCGGCGGCCCGTCTACCTCGTCTCGCTCCCTTTATTCGCGATCTTCATCCTGGGCGCCAGCGTCTCGCAATCCTTCGCCGCACTCTGCATAACGCGCTTTTTGGCCGGGCTCGCAGGCGGGCCGTGCGTGGTGCTCATCGAAGGCACATTCGCGGATGTCTGGTCCGCCAAAACCACAGTGACATACTACGTTTTCCTCACCTGCGCGTCGTTTGTGGGCGCCGGCGCCGGCGCGATCGTCGGGAACTACATCTTCGTCTACGGCGGCTGGCGCTGGACCCAGTGGATCACGCTCATCATGGCCATAGGCGCCTACCTCCTCGGCGTCAGCATGCCGGAAACCTACCCGCGCGAGATCCTGCGCGCGAGGGCCAAACGCACCAAGATGCCGATCAAGCTCGCGAAAGCGCAGTCGGGCGTCACGCTGAAGGAGATGGCGACGCACACGCTGATCAACCCGGTGAAAATGCTCGTGGCCGAGCCGATCGTCATCCTGGCGTCTTGGTACGTGGCGTTCATCTTCGCGGTGATATTCCAGTTCTTCATCTCGATTCCCGTCGTCTTGCATCTCACCTACAACTTCACGCCGCACCAGATCGCGCAGGCGTTCACGTCCGCGATCATCGGCACGGCGCTCGCTGCTTTCACCGCTACCATTATCGATCTCGCGCCGAAGCTTATCAGGAGGGAGAGCTGCGACATGGAAGGCTCTCCGCCTATGGAAGTGCTAGAACACCGCCTCCGCTCCGGCATGCTCGGCGGCATCCTCATCACCGCCTCGCTCTTCTGGATCGCTTGGGCTGCTAAACCTAATATCCACTACATCGCGCCCATCACGGGCACGGCGGTGTTCATTTGGGGCTGCGCCCTCGCCCTGACTTCTATCATATCGTACCTCTTCGACGCATATCCGGCGCCGGGGACATTGGCTGCGCTTACGGCCGCCGCGTGCTTTCGCATTATCTTGGCGGGGCTGATCCCGCTTGTGATTATTCAGATGATTATGGGCCTTACGGGCGCGTGGGCTGTTAGTACGTTTGCGTTTATTGGCGCGGTGGGGATGGGTGTGCCTTGGGTTTTGTACTTTTTTGGGGCGGGGATGAGGAGGAGGAGTGTGTATGCTGCGAGGGAGATGGCGGAGGTGGGAGCGGGGATGGGAAAGGAGCAGATGGGGGGCAGTGTGTGATTGATGGGGTGGGGTGGGGTTGATGTCGTTTATCAGGGCGTTGGAGCAGGAAATAGGGTGGTAAATGGGCTGAATATTTAATAAATGAATGACATGAACGCTTTTGGATCGCTCGCCGGGCTCGCAGATACTCTTAATCTCTGGTCATACCTGGTTATGCATTCTTGGCATTGTGATAAAAATATGCATCGGCGTTTTCTTTTCCCGCACCGAGGGGCTGTGCATGTGGCTGCCTTCAGCCCCGGGCCTCGTCGGTTTTTTTCTCTCCTATTGAAGACATCTCTCTTCAATGAGATCCGATAGCTCTTGTTCACTACTTAGGTTATGGTCACTTGACTCAGAGCGTACTTCATAGATCGTTGCAATGACTCCCGGCACCGTTGCTTGGGTTCAAGAGCCAGATGGTAGGGGAACTTGGGGTATCATTCAGAGCTGCCTTGTAACGTTGTTCTTGTGCATCTATACTGCAATCCATCTCAATTTTCGACCACATAGAACGAAACTTCAATCTTGGTGGCGACGAATCCGAGTAACGCTCCTTGCAAGTGCTCTTCCAGAATCTGTGTTTGTTTGTGCCATAAGTCAGTGGAATGTTGCGAGGCATCTGCAAATGCAACTCAACAACATGGAATTTCTGGTGAGATAGCATCCAAACATCAAAATAAGAAGCAGTCGCTGATCTCATTGTAGTACCAGAATTATCAATGCAGTTGCAAGAAAGAAAATAGAGTCGAATCTCCCTTGCAATCTTCTTCAAGACGACTGTCCGAGGAACTCTCGGAAGAGCTCGGTGTAGTGCAGAGCCTCAATGAGAGAGCTGTCTCAAAATCAGTGTCACAGCGATCAGACGGCTTTGTAGATCTTGAGACCGGCGAAAACAGCGAGGGAAATGTGACTCAATCGACGAATGACACAAGCGAAACCCAAGCTAGAACGCCGAACTCGAGCAGCGAAACAAACCGCAAGGCCAAATATAGTCTGCGTCAAGCATTCTTCATAGCTGCTGGTGGGCTAGCGGTCGAAACAAAGTCCTTCAGCATTGACCCTTTCTTAACAGGTGAGTCGACTCGCTGCACCGAAATGACTGGCATGATCTTCATAGACACATCATGTCCGACCGAGCTTTTCCCGCATAACTGAAATTCCTGTATTACCGACCAGATGTTGAAAACATGCGCGCTGATTCCTACTTAGTCACTACTTTAGCAGCTTTAGAGCTTGCTCGACTTGGGCTTATATCTCCAATTGCACCACAGATTATCGACGACAAAGCTAAAGCTGACCCAATTACAAAGCTTGTGGTCTGTGTACAAGCAGGCTGGTTCATTGTGCAATGCATCGCAAGAACTTCACAACATCTGCCACTTGCTTTGCTGGAAATTCATACCCTAGCTCACGTAGCACTTGCTCTGTTCATGTATTTGGCTTGGTTTGCAAAACCTTATGATGCTATCTCACCGCATGTAATTTCGGACAGCAAGGTCGTCGAGGTTGTTGCTCTTTTTTCACTTTATTCACCTGGGACTCAGGAGATACTTCATATCCCTGAAAAGACGCACTGTGTGCTCGATTGCCGCACGGAGACCGAATTGATCGACAAACTCAAGCACATTGTCGAAGATGAAGATTCTGAGGGACACGCCGGACCAGACACAGTTCTCTCAACGAAGCAGCAAAGATTGGCCCAGTCGAATCATGCTCTTTGTGCCATTGAATATCTGAGACACAACGAAATGCACTTGACCTGTCGTCCTTCGGAGGAAGGTGAAAATCTTTATCTAGCATCCTACGTGTCAGATTTCCTCTCGATCCCAGGAAGCAGATATCGAGAACTGAAAGCGTCAAGTTTTTCAAGGTCAAAGCCCAAATTGTCACATCTTCATCGAGTACTTTTTCTCTATGAAAAAGGCATATTGCTTCCTCTACTCATTCTAGCATACTCGGCATTTCATTTGTGCGCATGGAACGCACAATTCCCCACAACTATTGAGCGATGGATGTGGCGAGGGGCAGGACTGGCCATTCTCGCGACGCCCTTTGCCGGAGTCCTGTCTTTTTGTACAACATTAGACATTGAACAAGTTCTGGGAACAGATCAAGTCACCCAAACGAAACCTTTCTGGTCACGCTATCCATTCACCAAACTTTGCTTAAGAATCCTTTTTGAATGTATTCGCACCCCTACCTTGTGGGCGTGGTCTACAATCCTCCTTGCGGCTGTCTTTGGCAGGCTTTATTTTCTTGTAGAAGCGTTCGTTTGCCTAAGACAGCAGACACCAGACTTGTACAAGACAGTGCAGTGGACACAATTCTGGCCACATGGATGAGAGGGTATTAGATGCTATGAATCGATGGCAGAGACATAAGATTATCCCAATGAACAATAAATTTAAAGAGGTGTGCCACTACGGCTGGTACAACCATCCAAGACCAGGTTTGTTCAACGTCGAAAGAATGTTGTTCCGAAGCCACAGCATAGAATCAATGACTTACTGGGTACTCTCCATTGCGAAAAACGACATTCGGCTGTATCGAATCCAAGTTGCAGCGAGCTTGACTCATTCTCGTCGCGCCATCTAGGATGAGCGAATACTCACATAGAATGGGCCTACTAGCTCTTGTCGACTTTAATCCGGCGAAAATCTCGTGTTGGAGCGTATTTTGAAATGAAGTTTGGATCAACGTCACGCGACAATCAACGTACCAAACGAGGTGAAGAGCGCTGGGGACGTGAGATGAACCTCCTGTGGTTTGTCCAAGGACCTGGAAAGACCACTACTAGTGACATTCGTCTACATAACACAGGAACCAACCGAGTGGACAATCATCTATTGGCTCCTATCAATATTATTAATACAAAAGCAAGGTCATGGAAATCTCGGAGGCAGGGAGTGAAGGGCGCATGCCTTCCCGTATCAGACTTGATGGAGGAGCCGGATTCAACAATCTCTTCACGCTTCATTCAAATCTAGATTCCAAAAGCGTCTTACCACGACCTCAAATCATCAAAAAAATCTGCGCTGTATACGAGGACCCAGAACTGTATTGGATCAAAACATCGTCGCAGATCATCTGGCTGTAGATTGGAGATAGATCAGCAAATCTTGAAGAGTGGAGCAAGTCCAGGGCGAGAAAAAATGGTTATAAGTCTCCGTAGAACTGTCCATCGCGTCGCGATAGTGGAACATTGTAGGTGGCGCATTCAAACCCATTCATATTCAATCCAATGGGTAAATAACAGCTCTTCACATCACCGTTGTCAGACTTGCCCCTCGTCAATCAAAATTCAACCTCGTCCACGCTCCTGTCAAAACCCTTTATCCTCAAGAAACCCACCAATCTTCGCAAAAAACGCCGTCGTATTCGTCGCAAAATTGATCCCATGTCCCGCACTTGGCTGCACATACGTCTCCAGATCCGCAAATTTATCCTTAAAACTCGCATCCAACTCCCCAGGACAGTACCCCCCACAAACAACATGATCGTACTCCCCACTAATAACCAACGTCGGCCCCTTAAACGCCCTCGCGTCCAGCCTCAGCAACTCCGGCGTCAAACTCACCAGCTCACTAATAGCAAAGGGCTGTTTATTAGCCTCAGAGAAGGCAGCGACGTCATGCTCGTACGCCGGCGCCTTGAAGAAACTGTTGATGTTGGCGAAGACGTCGCTGGTGGTAACATACCCGGGGTCAAAATCCGCGAATTTTGAAGCGTCTTGCACGCGTGCGATGCGTGGGGAGATTCCTTCCAGCACGAGCCGGGCGTCGAGCCCGTTGAGCCCGTAGCTTGTTAGGATGGCGGCGGAAGCGATGGTGGGGTCGGCGGCTAGGGCGCTGTTGGAGAGGAAGGAGCCGAAGGAGTGGCCGAGGAGGATTAGGGCGTTTGGGGGGCCGAAGTGGGGTGGGGTCGGGGGGAGGGGGAGGGAGCCGTTGAGGAGGGAGCGGGCGAGGGAGATGAGGATGGGGGTTTGGATGTTGAGTTGGTTTGTGAAACCCGAGAGTCTGGTTTGTGGGTTATGAGATGGGGTTATGTGTTGTTGACGTGGTTTTAGGGGGACGGGGTTGAAGAAAGTCTGGGCAAAGATAGTGGTCGAGAAATGGTGACTTACTTTGTGGACTTGCCTACTCCGAGACGGTCGTAGAAGAAGATAGAGTAACCCTTTTCGATGGCATACTGGACGAAACTGTACTGGTCTGGTTTGTATGACGGGTTCCAATAGCTGCACGAAAACCCCAACAATCAGCCACTTCACAATAAAATCCTCGCATCTCCTCTCACCTTCGATCAAAAGCAAGTCCATGCGTCGCCAAGAGCACAGTCTTTGCATTCTTACCCGGCTTCTTGGGGGTGCAGAACGTGCCTGCAATCTCGTAGCTGGCTGTCTCATTCACGGGCGGTCCAATTGGCTGTGGGAATCCGGCATCGAGACGACTTGACGCGAGAGACACGAAGTCGATGAGTCCGTAATTGTCGCTCCATTTGGGAGCTATCCAGGGATAGTTCGCTGAAGTTACTGTGACGGGGGTTATGGAGTCGTAACATGAAGCCCCCAGAGGTATGTAGCCTGTTGATGTTGCATTTGCGCTTATGAGGACGGGAAAGAGGCAGATGGCCAACGTTTTGATGGTCAGTAAGGAAGCCATTGGAAAAGCACGGTGTACAGTTCTGAATTGGATATTCTGGAAACATGAGGCACCTTTCTATGTTTACCTTTGACTTCTTTTTGAAGTGGGTCCCCTGGGGTTCCGGCGATATGTATGGTGAGTCATCCATCCTCTTGCCACTGCTTAAGCGATATAATACTGCGAATCTCATTTATATCGCTCTTCGGCGAATAGGGCCCGAAGAGAGAGGGTCATGAGGCTGAGCAAACTCGTGGAGTTTTAGACGGCGTTTACTAACCCCACGACTAGTCCTCACCAAGATTTCAAAGTCAGTCACGCATGAAGGTCGAGAGATCGAAGTGCGGAATGGAGCGGATGCTTGACCTCAATGGGCGTCTGACGTAAACATGCAGGAACGCGAAAGGCTTTGTCATGCACATTCAGTAATCATTGGCGGGATTGGCGCGGATGAAAGCCTTGAGTGAAAGAAGATAGAAGGTCTGAGCGGCGAGGTATAGCTATTATAAGGCGAACGCTACCTGCTGGGCAATTCAATGGATTTCTGCAATGCTGAAGCACCCTATGAGTCACTTCCACCAGACTATGGGATAGACGATTTGATAGACATTTCATTTTGTGACCTCGAGACTAGCCGAGGAGTCGCGAAGAGATTGAAAATGGATTAATGCAAGTAGATATCTTGCAAGCTTTTATCAGTGCCAGTCCAGAGTTTTCCGTACATAGCACCGACAACATGAGCCTCACCAATGATGCTGTAGCTGGGCTGATGTTGAGAGTCAGTGTTATAAGGTCTGAGGATGATGGGCATAGAACATCCTTGCAAAAGATAGATATGATCGTCCAGTTGCGCCCTTGGATGCGCCCATCCCGTGAGAGGTCTTGACTTATCGAAAAGAGGATCACCACCCATCAATCTCAAGCCATCTTTCAAGACCCGGACAACCGCATCCGCGAGTTTGTCAACGCGTTCATTGAAATGGGATTCAATTGAGCCAGAAGATGGATCGGACGCTGTAAAATTATGATGACCAATGCGGTGCAATTGGGACAAAGCACGCTTCTTGATGTCAGTTCTTGATCGAGTCCCACGGCCCCACAATTGCAAAGGATAGCCATGTATGCGAAAGTTTTGGTGAGACCGAAGCCATTCATAGCTTGATCGTGCTTTCTTTCTTAATCGTTCATTAGTTCTCTGCTTCCAGAGGTCACCAAAAATGCATCCTTCATCATCAACCGCATTCTCGCGCTTGTATATCGTGAGTGCGTCGAAAATATCGGCTGCCAAGTATCTCACAGAAGGCTCCAAATCAGTCAAATTGTTGTGCGCCCAACCAACTATTGGGTTTTTGGAGGCATCATTGGAAAGTGGATACGTTGTTAAGTCACCTCCGTCAACGCCGCTAAGGCTCTTGATGAAACCAATGCATTCGCCACGCACTTTGAGAACTTTCCCGCCGTCGAAGAGACTACATCTATCAAGACGGCTATGAGCTGTTGCATGCCAGTAATTGTCGCCAAGCCCATATTTTGGATGTTCGTCGTGCCCTGTCAAATATTTGATCGGCTGATCCAAGAAGGGATCACCACCAAGGAAGAGCCAGTCTGGAGCCCAAGATGGCAGTGAAGATCTAGGTCTTGGAAAGGAGCTCTGTACGCAAATGACATCAAGAGTCTTGGTAGATTTGATCGAAGTTTCTGTCATGCGCTTCAAAATGGTGTCAATTGGTAGCTTCTCATCAATATCATTGAGAAACCTGCTGCTGTCGTAACAAACCCCGAGAAGCGAATATACTTTGTCACGTTCCTCTGTTGCAAGAGTATCATAACTCTTTTGTAAAGCCGTAAACATATGGATTGGTTCCCGGGGTTGCCATTTCCTCCTAAGCGAAAATATGTTGAAAATATGTCTATGGTTGGGAGTAAAGCCTGGAAAAATTCTGTCTGAAGCTAAAGCCTCGAGTTCTTGTATGATTTCACACAGCTGATCGAAGTCGATATCATTTTTGCCACAACTGAGTTGGATTTTCCCAGCAACTGTCAATTCCTGCAAGATCCATGCTCGTCGCCAGTACTCGTTACTCACAACCAGGCATAGCAGCTCAAGGAACCTCAGTTGTTTCGCATGCAACAATCGATCGAACTCAGCAAGACTGGGGTGCAATCGTTTCAAGACTGCATTGATAATAGGGAGCTCTGTCTCTAGAAGGGTTGCATTCGAGAGAGCGGTGTCCCCAGTGGGTTTGCCAATCCACATACGGTAAAGGTCCGCTAGTATCCCGGAATGCGTTAAAACTTTACTGTCAAAGCCTTCGTTGCTTTTAAACTCGCCTAATCGATCAAGAGTTTGTTTAAGTTCAAAAAAATGGGGATCATCGTCTCCAAGCCAGGCAAAAACGGATTGAGCACGACTGTAGATTAGTGTCATTTTTCCTATCTGCTGTGCTTGCTCTATAACGTCAGTCTGATTGATGCACAAGGCATCTACCCATACCAATCTGATGTTGCGATTCCGCAGCTCTTTCAAGGCATTGTACAGGTTTTGAGTGACCTGCACCATACGATCATTCAGAATTATATTCTGAGGATCCAAAGTAGAACCCCAGCGATAAGACAGTGCAGTGTAGTCATCGCCATCCTGGATATCGGCGTGACGTAGTGTACATATGATATTTTCATCTTCACGAGCGGCGGCCCTAATATGGAGTAATCGAATTTGCGCTTTCGAGCCTTCAAGTTTTCTATCGTATATCAGAGAAGATTGCACTTCGAGACTATGGACGCTCCGAACGTGCGAAAGATTTGCGGAGGAATTCTCGTCGCCTGAATTCGGAGCCAGGTGCTCTGTCGAAGAGTGTTCCAAGAGTGATTTAGGTGAGATGTTCCAAAACCGCCTCAGTGCGTATTTCTTATGCCTGAAAAACCATTCACAAGCCTCTAGATAACCTAATCTTCCGATGGCACCTATCAAGACTCTGTCCAAGGCAAATTGGAGGTGTGCCATAGCTGCACCCTACGCAACCGATCTCAAGACAGGCTAATTCCCACACGATTGGTTTTTGAAACAGTTGATCTGAAAAAGTCAGTGACAGCTGAGTCCTGGCCACGCCTTCGGGATCGTTCTGAACTATGGTGTGTTGTCCTGTGTCTACACATCAGCAACGAGCCTTTTTAGGAGGAGAGTTCGACGTGACAGGTCGCAAGGTAATGTCTCGTCGCACGACCATAGGGCTATGCTCGGCGAGAATCTAAGGTGGGGTGAGTCTGGGTTTGCCTGAATGCCTTGTCCGGCCAATCAACCACAGTTACGGGGGGAGAAGTCCAGCTATACGAGGTACTTACCGTGCACGATAATGATCAAGAGAAGGTATTAATGTTCCCGAGGAGGGGCAAAAATGGTCGGTCGGCCACAAAGTCAACATAGAGGAGTCTGTCTCGCCCTAGGCCTTCCCTCCTACATAAGCAACCAAGTCCCTCCAGACCCTTGGCCATCTGATGAACGTATCGGAATCGCGGACAGACGGCTAAGACGACCTTACGCTGATTGCAACCAGTCCGCCTGCTTCAAGTGTGTCAAGACCTCACCAGCGAGACCAATCTATTTCATTGCTGCTAGGAAGCTTTAGTAGGCTCTCATATTTGGCATCCGGTCCGAAGGGACGGCCAAGAAGTATGATCTTGAAGTCAAAAAGTACGATATCGAGCTATGGTTCCCACTAGGCAAACGTCTTTCATAGAGAGTCGGCGGGTGGGGCGTTGCTTTAGGAACAGGGTAGCGAAGAAGTTCAAAGTTGGCTGGTTCGTATGAGGAGCTTTGCTGGTCGCGTTTTCGGAGGTAAAAATTGCTCATACATGGGACCTGGACATGGCGGTAGACGAAGACATGGGCGGTCTCGAACGCAACCGTCGTACAGTAGATGGTGGATACCCGACGCTAGAAAGCTATACATCTGCTCGGATGAGCTTCTACCACCTCCGGGTTCATTCCACCCAATTAGCCTTTCGAACCTGCAGGATATATTCCTGCAAACCATGTTGGGGGCTTGCAGAAGGAAAGAATGTGGGCGGAAAAGGGGAGAATATATCGGGTTTCTTACAAATACTGTACTGAATGTGTATGGGAAGCGGGACAAGCCCTGTCTCGAAAGTCTTCAGTGGATAGCGTATGTGAAGGGCAGAACCAAGTGAAAGACCGTGTTCACTCACCTCCGAAGATCCTGGAATTCCTTCTCGCACATCAAGTGTTGCCACGCGGCGAGAACGGTCATAACGCCTGATCTATAGACTCCTGGCAAAGACGGGGCTTACCACTGATCGTTGCATGATCGTGCAGAAGGTGAATTCGCATCGACTTCGCATTCTCTAGGTACCTCAGAAAAGGCCAAACCATCTCGCCGGGTGCCAAGCCATTTACTGATTTCCTTAGATCAAAGCCTAATTTCAAATAGTGGCGTGAGAACGGCTAGGCTCCATTCTCAATCTTTGGCGAACTTCTCAAGCCTTTCTAGTGCCTGTAGAGAGGTTTTGTGAACTCCAGCCGTTGATGGGGAAAGAAGGGCAAGGGCAATGTTTGTATTACCTGCGTGTCTCGGGTGAGGTTTTCAGATGTAGAGGAGCAGGGCTCGGGGTTTCTGATGAGGCCTGACGCCTTTGTGGATGATGCAATTTGACCAGTTGTAGTCGCAAGTAACCCAATTAAGCTAATGTTAGGATGAAAGTAGTATGGCAGACTTTGCATAGGATGCTTGCAGCTCAGAATCCCAGCCCAATAGTAAAGAGAGCGAGAGAGAAAAAGAGATAAAGGTAGTTTGCCGGCCAGCATACGAAGCATCAGCATTGCCGTATGAAATTAAGGTAGCTGCTCAGCCTAGGGTCGTAAGTGGCACGAGGAGACTAGCATGCGGTTGTTGTACCCATCTAAAGCTGGCATGATGACCGATGTACCGTTTTCCTAGAGCTATTCAATCAAAGAGTCGAGAATGATACGCTTACGTCAATTCCTAATCTTCCAATTCTTTGCCCAGCAACCATCTCCTAGGCGCCCAATCATGTATTCCCCCCGACTCCGTGCAAGTCCACACCCATTCTTCCTCTTTACCTACCAGGCCATGCCCTGGCTTGACTCTGACCCTGACAAAATTGACATACCCATCGAGTAGCCCATTGTTCACGAACTCATCGACATCTGCACAGAGCCATCGAAAGCGATATGGCAAGAAATTGTTCTTTTCCCTGAGCGCAACAAAAGGCGTAAAATCATTTCCATACTCTGCTCGAATAGCCGTTGGTGTGATGGGTCCCTCTGCCCAGGGGACAAGATTGAAGATCAGCTCATTCACTTTTGTTGGTACGTGCTTGGCATTAAGAGACAAGGAGGGGTTGTTCTGAAGTCGCATGTAGCGTTGGATTACATTTCCCAATTTCCTGGTCGTCACATCCTGTCGCGACGCCGCCATATACTTCTCTACAGCGTCTGCATTCATGATCCTCGTATCTACCTCGATATTGTAAGGCTGACTGGTTAGCAAATGGGGAAGTGCTGGACGTGCCCTCCAAGTCGGGAATACGCGGTCGCTAGCATCCCCGTCCTCATCAATCCCAGGGCTATACAAGAAGTCAAGATGAAAAGTTGCGTGAAATGATGTTGATGGTGATGCAAGAAGTCTCATTAACTCTCCATTGATCTGGCGATTGGTGAGTAGAAGGCCAGAGATAGAGTATAAGAGGCCATTTCGGTAGGTTTCCTTTCTTGGCCATTTGATGCCGATTTGAGAAGCTTCGCTGTATTTGGTGTCATCTTCTGGAATTTTTGGTGGTGGATTTATAGATGTCAACAACGAGATATAGATCTCGTTACGTATCTCTGTAGGCAATAGAAGAAACGGGAAATGGGTCTCGTTGAGAGCTAGACTCTGTGCTTGGTCGCCGTCAGATCTTCGAAGCATGATTGGAGAATGGCCCTGGGCGGCGTCTAGGAAATCAAGTATCTTTTACACTCGCTGTACTATAGCTCCATGTCTGAAGCGACAGAGCTTCCCTAGTTGAGGAGGGACACTTGATGTTTATTGCCGTTCATTCAGGAGAGAGCGGCAGCCGGAAAAGTAAACAGCCGAGCGGAACTATTCCGCTATCGTCATTGCCGAGGATATGCCTCTTATGTAAAATTATGCGGGCGGCTCGTCAGGTATATTGTGATACAGGCATTGCTTGACATCTTTAACCTTCGACAGGACTGTCACTGTCACCGCATTACTCATTGGCAGTATCGGGTCTTGGAGTTCACTCCAAACCACTCGAGCAGATATTATCCGCCATGGACCGATGACATTTGACAAAGTGTCAGAATGCCGGACAAGCCACTCACAGTTTTCACCTACGCAGCAAGCGCCTCCCTCGCTGCCATCGCCCTTGTCTACTTCTTCCACCCAGCGTATCTCATTGATGGTGATGGCACGAGCTCCTCGGCGAGCTCACGAAAGAAAGGCATTGTCGGCCTGTACAATCCAGCCAACGATTGCTTCATCAATTGTGTTCTGCAATCGCTAGCCGGACTGGGGGATCTGCGTGTCTATATGATTAGGGAGCTGCATCGTCGAAGACTGGAAGGCTCAGAAGTCTACGCCTCGGTACCCTCGAAAGACTCTACAGGCAAGGAGATCAATGCGCAAAAGCTGCTGAGCCTGCAGAATGGGGAGGTCACAGAAGGGCTAAAGGATATGCTCGACAAATTAAATGAGAAGCCCATTTATCGGAAGACCATATCCGCGAATGCATTTATCCGAGTTCTTGAACACGCATTTGGCACACCAGTCGCAAAGACGCAGCAAGACGCTCAAGAGCTCTTACAATTCGTGGCAGAGAGATTGCAAGAGGAATATCATGCTGGATGTCAGGCGCGTCATAGATTTCGAGAAGCGAACATACAGCAGGTCCGGGCTCAAGAATCCGAAGAGAGTGGAGCAGACCAAGGCGACGAACACACTGCGTCCGTAGGACTGCAGTCGTATGTAGGTTCGGTCATCAAGAGCGTAGCCAAGGGAGAGACGGAGGATGGTTTCCCACTTGAAGGGCAGACAGAGTCTCGTGTAGAATGTAAATTTTGTGGCTTCATTCCAAAAGCGAAACCGACGAGCTTCGTCATGCTCAATCTCATGGTTCCTCAGACGAGTTCATCAACGTTAAACGATTGCTTTGATTCTCATTTCAAGACGGAAATAATTGACGATTACAATTGCGACAAATGCCGATTGACTCATGCCCTCGAGGTGTACCAAAAACGATTGACTGAAGCCAAAGGCTCCGAGGGCAAGGCAAAGCTCGAAAAGGGCGTGTCTAAAATACAGCATGCTTTAGAAGAAGATCCTGAGAGGCCGCCTGAAGACGTGACTTTGCCAGAGTCCAGATTCGCGCCGAAGAGAAGGATCGCACGACATATTGAGATGAAACAATTTCCGAAGATACTAATCATACATCTCTCAAGGTCAATTTTCGATCCGTACAGTACATCAATGAAAAATCTTGCCAAAGTAACGTTCCCAGAAAGACTCCCAGTGGGCGGACTTGTGAATCGTCGAATCTACAGGCTTTCGGGGTTGATCATTCATAAAGGAACTCACAACAGTGGGCATTATGAAACAGTCAGAAGACAGGGCTCATACGCGCCTTACTCCAATCCAAATGCAAGTTCAGCTAGCGGACCGTTCAGTCGGAAAGCAAGTGCAAACCCAACACCTAGATCAAGCCCGAGCATACGCCCTACATCTGCAGAATCGGCATTGAAAGAGACCTTTGATTCGGCCAGCGATATCAACGGGCAGCCAGGTACTTCTTCGTCATCGTCACTTCCTTCGGCCACTGATTCTGCGCCATCTACTGACCCGTCTTCTGCATCTGACGCGCTAGAGGGACGACGTAACGACGCGGAAGAATCGATGCCTTTGTCATCTGAAATTGGTACCCCGACGTCTGTCCCTGCAGACAAATATCTCTCTCCCCCTTCTACTGCTATCCACAGCAGGACCTCATCGCTAGTAGAGGTATCGCGTTTGAAGCGGAAGAAGAAGCCGATCGATAGATGGTGGCGGATCAGCGATGACAAAATCAAGGAGTGCAAGCTCAGTGAGGTACTTGGTATGACCAAAGGAGTCTATATGCTTTTCTACGAGATGGAACGCTCTGGCACTGACGGCGGTTGAGTGAAGGCTCTCTCTTGTTGAATAGCGCACGCTCAATGTCGCTGGATGAGTGCAGTATAGCGCATTGTGCCTCGGATCCTATCGAAGACCTGATACAGCTACATTAGAAGGCAATGAGTAATCTCTCAACAACCACCAGCTTTACTCGACGGCTCGTGCGTGAGTCAATCGTCAAACTGCAACATATAAAAGTTGTTGCCACAGAGTGTTGATTATGATAACACACTCCGATGCTTCCGAACAAATGCTGCAGTAAGCCCAGAGAATGAATATCATTTGGAGTCGAAATATGGGAACATATTTCGTTGATAATATTTAGGGGCACAGCTCATAGCTACGTGAGACTTCCACCATATCTTAGTCTTGACTATTGCTAATTCCAACAAGAGCTTCTCGAACATATTCAAGCAGATATGACTGCCGGTGGCAAGGCTTGCTTATCTCTGTGCCGCTGTTCCGTCTTGGATCGCTTGTGTCGGCTCAAACTTCTCCGCCGCGCCCGCCAAGCATGCCAAGATCTCGGAGATCTTGGCGTGGAGCGGAGCCTTCCTTGATTGGTTGAAGCGGTCTAAGTACTGCCCCCGAGTGCCCCTTTTGTGGCAAAATTCCGCAGAGCGCTCTCGGAGCGCAGCGACCTTGAGCTGCAGAGAGCATGGAAGGAAAGCTTGGCCTTTGGTTGCCAAGCTGTCCGACGAGCCTGGATACGGTACTCCGCAGTTGGCATGTTTACGCCGTCTCTCGATGCTTGCGTCATTGCACTGTCGGATGTGTGATGTGGTCTTGGCAGGTGGAGTCGACATTCATGGACGTAATACTTAAGTAGGATTCAACCCCAGCACGTGGCTTGAGCTTGTTTTCCTCAAAGACGAACCACTGCCAAAGAGTCTCCGTTTCCTAATCTTCATTAAAATATTATCTTTCATTCTATCTTCAAGGCATACTCACATAACGCTTGATAAACCCTCAAAATATTGCCATGGGTAAAAATAATCTCGTCAAACAAGAATACTCTCGTCACCCCTTTCTCCTGCCTCTCACAGAAGTATACCAACAACTTGGCACCAACAAGGACACGGGACTGAACCAGCAAAAAGCTCTTGAGTCTCACCAAAAGTATGGCCCGAACAAATTGGAAGGTGAAGGGGGAGTGCAATGGTATCGAGTGCTCCTCAAACAGATCAGCAATGCCATGATACTGGTACTGGTGCTAGCCATGGCTCTCTCGTACGGAGTGACGGACTATATCGAGGGCGGGGTCATTACAGCCGTCATCGTCCTCAATGTTGCCATCGGTTTCTACCAAGAGTTCAAAGCTGAGCAGAAGATGGATTCACTACGTGCTCTATCATCACCTTCAGCTACAGTTGTACGTGACGGTAAAGTCGACACTATCCCCTCAGGTGAAGTCGCTCCTGGTGATATCGTGCATGTCAAGACCGGGGATACTGTGCCGGCCGATTTACGACTCTTCGAAGCTATGAATCTCGAATGCGATGAGAAGATTCTGACTGGCGAAGCGATGCCTGTCGCGAAAGACGTCAAGTTTGATCCCACAGGTCTTGATGAGGTGTCTACTGGTGCAGGCGATCGACTGAACATGGCATACTCGTCCTCGACTGTCACTCGCGGCCGTGGAAAGGGCATCGTCGTCTTTACTGGTATGTGCACTGAGATAGGCAGAATCGCAGCTTCGATGCAAGGAAAGCAGCGAAAGGCCAATCGATCTTTGTCGGGCAAAGAGAGCAAAATACAGCCTGCGAAAGGGCTTGCTCTCCGTATCTGGGACGGCATTGGCGCCTTTCTTGGCTTGACTGTCGGAACGCCGCTGCAGAAGAAGCTGTCCAAGCTGGCGTATGTGCTCTTTGGATGCGCGATTTTGCTTGCAATAATTGTATTTGGAGTGAACAAATTCAATGTGACTAATGAAGTCGCCATCTATGCTATCTCGACTGGTCAGTCGACAACATACATACACCCGACCCAGAGCTGACACTAAAATAGGCATTGCTATCATACCCGAGTCCTTAATCGCTGTCTTGACAATAACTATGGTCGTTGGCATGACCCAGATGCGAAAGAGGAAAGTAGTCATCCGTCAATTGAGTGCCTTGGAGGCCCTTGGAGGTGTCACAAATATATGCTCGGACAAGACGGGGACTCTGACACAAGGGCAAATGATCACTAGGAAGGTTTGGATTCCAGGTAGCGGTATCTACTCTGTTAAAGGTGCCGAAGCGGCGTTCAACCCTACATCGGGGAATGTAACCTTCTCGTCTGTGAAAGCAAACCAGGATGCGCCAAACACGCCATCAGACCACATCCGATTTGACGACAAAAGCTCAATCAGCGACAAGACATCAGAGCTTAATGACAGTGATGAGAAAGCACCAGAGATCACGCCAGAGCTCGAAAGCTTCCTCCACTCAACAGCTCTGTGCAACCTCGCCTCGGTTCGCCACGACGACCAAAAGAACGAATGGCAAGCAATGGGCGATCCAACCGAAATAGCCCTCCAAGTCTTCGCCCACCGCTTCTCCCAGGGCAAAAAGACTCTCGAAGAAGACCACGGCTGGACCCAACTCTCCGAGTACCCCTTCGACAGCTCCATCAAGCGCATGTCCGTCGTCTACACCTCCCCACCCCCCACGCCCTCTAACTGGGTTTTCACAAAAGGCGCCGTCGAGCGCGTCCTCGATCTCTGCACCACCATCGGCACCGGCCCCACCCAGACCCTCCTAACAGAAGAAACCAAATCCCTAGTCCTCAATCAAATGACACACCTGGCCTCCCAAGGCCTGCGCATCATAGCCATCGCCCGGCGCCCGATCTCCGACTTCCCCACAAAATCCACAATCGAGTATTCCCGGGAGCGTATCGAAGAGAACCTTACCCTCCTCGGCCTGGCAGGCTTATACGACCCGCCCCGCCTCGAGACAAAAGACAGCGTCGCCTCCTGCACGACCGCGGGCATAAAAGTGCACATGCTGACAGGCGACCACCCATCCACAGCCTCCGCCATCGCGCGCGAAGTCGGCATCCTCCCACCTGCTTCTTCTCTCGCCACATTACCGTCCTCCACAGCTTCCGCCCTCGTGAAGACTGCGGCAGAATTCGACGACATGACCGAAGATCAGATCGATGCGTTACCCACGCTGCCGCTGGTGATAGCGCGTTGTTCTCCACACACGAAGACGAGAATGATAGCCGCGCTGCACCGACGCCGCGGATTCGCCGCCATGACGGGCGATGGCGTTAACGACGCGCCTAGCCTACAAGCCGCAGACGTGGGCATAGCGATGGGAATGGCGGGATCGGACGTTGCGAAGGGCGCCGCAGACATTGTGCTCACGGACGACAATTTCGCCTCGATCGTGAACGCTATCGAAGAGGGGAGAAGGATGTTTGACAACATCCAGAAATTCGTGCTGCACCTCTTGACGAGCAATGTGGGGGAAGTGGTGCTCTTGATCATGGGGCTGGGCTTCCAAGATAGGCAGGGCCTGAGCGTGTTTCCGCTCTCCCCGCTACAGATCCTCTGGATCAATATGCTGACGAGTTCCTTCCCGGCGTTCGGGCTCGGGAGGGAGAGGGCGAGTAGGAGTGTTATGAGACGCCCGCCGCACGATAATCGCACGGGCGTGTTTACGTGCCAGATTGTGTGCGATATGGTCGTCTACGGTATCATCATGGGCGCGCTGACGCTGTTGACGTTCGTGATTATCGTGTATGGCCCTGGAGGCGGGGATTTGGGGGTTGATTGTAATCGGAAGTTTAGTGGAAGGTGCGATGTGGTGTTCAGAGCGCGCGCGGCCGTGTTTGCGGAACTCACTTGGTTGATACTTGTGAGTGCGTGGGAATTCAAGGATTTGAGGAGGAGTTTGTTTGCGTTGGACCCGGTTACTTCGGAGGAGAGCAGGTTTCCGTTCTTCAAAGATGTGTTTGCGAATAAGTTTCTGTTTTTCGCGGTGGTTATTGGGGCGATATCGGTGTTTCCCGCGGTGTATATTCCCGGCCTGAATACGGCGGTTTTCAAGCATAAGGGTATATCGTGGGAGTGGGCCTTGAGTGTTGGGGCTGTGGTTGTGTTTGTGTTAGGGATGGAAGCGTGGAAAGCGGTGAAGAGGTGCTTGGGACTCTTCACGGATGAGGAAACAGTAAAGAGTGATCCCCTGAGTCTGAAGCAGGGAGGATGGAGTTTCGCGAAGAGTTTCTCGAGGAGCAAGAGCGATAACAGCTATGTCGTTGGATTGGAAAAGGGTGGGAATGTCACAGCACGAGATGCGATGTGAAAGGACATTGCCGAGGAAGAAGTATACGAAATATGGACACTTATTATATCCAGTCTAAATGTTTGCTTTCCTTCTTAGGTGATTAGTGGTTGCTTCTATTGAAGTGAAATTACATAAAAGATAGTTATCAATATGATAACCCTACGGCTGCAATCAAGAGGTGATAGAGTTTTCCATGACGAATCCAAGTCTGGGGTTTGCATGGCATTTTGGCTCAACCCGTTGGAAACCCACTGTAATTCAGGTGGTCTCGTGTGACAGGATAGGGGCCGTGCCGGTTCCGCTGTAAACACAAAAGCATTGAGTGGTCCATCAGAAGAGTCTCGGTAGAATCTTGGTAGAACCGAGCCTACTTTTGCCTCTGAGTTATCCAGAGAAGTAGTAGCCAGAGATTCCCAGTTCATGTCGAAAGCGGGACTTTCTTGCTTTTGACATCCATGGATAATAATGTTGGATACCTTTGAAGGTTTCGGATCGCCTCAGAGTGAGACAATCTATGCGCGAACTCTGACTTGCTGTAGGAGAATGTGGGTGTGGCCGCGCGTGCCGTCCTCATGAGCAATATTCCGTTGCACCAGATCTAGGCTGACGCAAGATGCAGAGTCGTAGTGGGGCATGATGTCCCGCTTTGTATCTCGTATCATGAGTGGAGTTCATTCGTGTTGAGTCGTGGTAGTGCTTTAGATCAGCGCCTTGGGCATCATATCATGCTGTGAGGTCCAATCAGTCCCTTCACTGCATCCATGTCTCATTGATTATCAATGCAATCGTTTTGTATCCTGATACTTCTTGTTGTAAGTAGAAATGCATCTCTGATGGTGCAGGCAGCCAACTCTTCCTACCTTGCGGTCTCCTCGTCGGATTGGCCAAAGACCATCTCGGATGACTCAACTACCAATGACGGCACCTTTAAGGGAGATGCAACAACAATACTGTTGGGGATCAACAACTATAACTCTACCATTAAAGCACCAATATCGACGAGACCGGCCCTCACCAATGGCTCTATCACCAGCTTGCAGCCTTCGCAAAAGTGCAATAGTTCATTCGGGAGGAATTTGTTAGGTTATCAGTTTCCTTACAACATACCGTACAATAACTCACAAACATGTGACATATTTGGTGCGCTATGCCAAACAGGGTCCATTAGTGTCGAAGATTGTCAGTCATCCACAACAACTTTGCCATGCTCCTCATATCTTTCTTCACAATACACCTATCTAAGCGGATTTGAGGGCACCAGTTTCCATGAATATGGCGTTGTTTCCAATGTACCACTGGCTTGGAGAACAGGCTTTGGTCGAAGTCCAGAATGTACATCTTTCCTGAAAATCAGGGATGAGCCCAAGGGGTCATACAAGGGATGTCCACTTACTCAAGCTTCACCCTATAGCAAAAAAGATCCACCTGCACAAGCTCCTCCAGGTATTTGGTTCGCTCCTCCTGAATCCGGTGGAGCGTTGTGGGCATGTTGTAGCCCATGCCTGTTGAAGGTCCCTCAAGTCCGCATTTATTACTTTCTCGATGCGAATGCGACTTCTATCTGCCAGAACAGGTCTCGAAACGATAATGTAACAAGTGACGTTGATCCTCGTCCTTCGCTAGCTGGATCACCTTCATTGTCAGCAAACACGCAGCCTGCGAGGGGCAGCGAAGCTGTCGTTAGTGGCCACACACTGTAAAGTTTTCCATTCCGAATCTTTTCGAGCGACAACTGAATTGCATAGAACGTCACCCTCAGTCTACTTGGAGGTTCTTGGGGCAATGACTGTTAAGAACCATTGTGGAATCGTCGGTCAGACTATGACAGAATCATTTCTTCCCTTTACTCCAGGCCAAATCTCGACCTTCATCTTCGACGCTGATGAGCTGGGGTACGAGCAAGCGAGACTCCGGGGAGAGATCACAGCGGAAGCGCAAGAGCGGACGTTTCGAGCAGCGAGGACAGATGTTGGGACCAACGCCCAGAACGCGAATGGCGACTATCTATACCATCCACTAGATGTTGCGGACCTCGAATGTCCAACAACCGGCTACGGGAGGTCAACGCTGCCAGATGGCAACATCACAACGACAGTTGGACCGCCGTGGCTGCCGCTGATAGTCCCACCAAAGGAATTGATCTATCTCAATCCAGAATGGCGATCGGCCTGCAACAACACGATCGGTCAAGTCCTGACAGATAGTTTCGCTATATTCGATCCACCTCGAGCTTTGACTCCTGGGCAGGCGTTAGGTTCATCGCGATCTTCCGAGAATCAAGCGGCAGCGCAGACGACAGCGGAAAGCCCACAATCAGCTCCCACGATCCAGCCTGGACAGCCGGTGGCTACAGTCGCTGCGGCCACGGGTACGCCGCAGAGTCAACGCAATAATGATCCACCGCAACAAGGGAAGTCATTTGCCGATCAGTTTTTTGATACCAAAAACGGCGGCAATTCTGTAAATGGCGCCACAGACCCTGCATTGAAAGAAGATCCTATATCTAAAGCAGGCCCAGGGGCAAAAGGAGTTCCAGCTGGAAAAGAAGAAGACAAGGGGACACAAGATCCTCAAGAACCCGACCAAATGGCAAAGCAAGGCAATGTAGGCGCGGTAGACCCAAAACAAATGTCCAGCATCCCACAAAGTAGCGTAAGCCTTGCAAACAAAAGTACAGAAGATACAGGAAGCAAAAAACCCGATTCAGACCCACAGGGTATGACTCCTGTTGACAGCCCAAAGGATCCAACATCAAACGGAGAAGATGGGCAGGTCGAAGGACCACAAGACCCTCAGAAAATGGTTGGATATGGTGATGAAGGCGTGGCAGGATCGAAAGATATATCGAGCACTCCGCAGTTGAAGGCAAGCCCTCCAACGCAGACCACCGAATACCCCGGAAGTAATAGGCCCTATTCAGGCCAGCGAGTTTCTACGGGAAGTGAGGCAAACAGCGTTGATTCGCAAGACGGACCAGTGGGGCAGGTCCTGGAAAATGGAATAGCAATGGACTCGGCCATAAGTAGCTTGAGTCCGTCGGTAAAACCGAGCTCAGGGTCGCCTGAAGTTGGCGAAGCAGATCCTAAAGTCGACGAAGCAGGTTTATCAGGCTCTGATACGTCAAGAGGAAACAAGGGAGTGACACCTCAAGCTTCCAACATCTCAGCCTCAGTTACGGCCTCGCCTCCAGACTCTTCAGTATCTGCATGGTCCAAACTTCTAGACGAGATCCAAGTGCGTCCTACAGGAGAGACTCTAGCACAAGGTAGTGGTCGTCTGTTCTTCAATGGTACCAGCGCCCTTTCAATCACTTCGAGGACCGCGACATTGAACAGCACGGGGATATCGAGCTCAGAGGGTCGAGTGTCGTCTTCAACAAGCTTGGAGACAAGCAAAGCGTCTACTAGTGGTAGTGAAGCAGGTGGTGAAGGCACCGATGGTAATACTGAAACTGAAGGGGGTCTTCCTCTCCCACCCTCGGTGATCCCTGTGACTGCGACTGTGTCATCGGAAAGCGCTGGAGCGAAAAGGAAGATACCACGTCCATACTGCATTGCCAACGTTGTGACAGCGTGCTGTGTGGTCGGCCGACTCTGGGGATTTGGGTAGATGATTGAAAGACAGGTGTAATTCTTTTGCTCGAAGATGCTCCATCCCTTAATTTTATGAACATTTAATCTTGGATTGTATTATTTCTCAATGTTTCTGCGCATACCCCATTTTCAAGGCATCTATTATCAGCGCGAAGAAAATTCAACACCAGAGTCGAGCGATGGTCTTGGTGTCGTCGCAAAGAAGGGCGTTTAGTTTCTCTCGCGAAGGAGTATTGAAGGGGACTTTTCAAGTCGCCGTAAATTGAGTGCACATCAATCGTCTTCATCGTCCACCTTAAGCACTAAGTCCCTCAAACCACTGTCCTTTGACCAGTTGACACCACTTCCAGCTATCACGGCAGAAACCACACTTTTCATGATGACCCTTTGCTTTCTTGCAGTGTCGGCTTCTTCTTTTGCTTCTACAACCTTTGCTTCAAGATGTGGCTCTTTATTAACAACGGTTCTGCGTTCCTCTATCTTCTTGGCAAGTGGCACGAGATCTGCAGCTACTCCACGGTTCTTCTGTTTGATGGAATCGCACACTATTTCAATCCCTGTCTTCTTCTCAATTGTAGATTGTAGAAGGGAGGACAAATTTGTAGATGCCATCTCGAGTGTGTCGCGTCGCTCAATGAGCGGCTTCAATGTCCTCTCGGGGCCTGAGGCATTTTCACCCGCATGAATGGCATTGAGGATAGGCCCGGTAATTATGGTGTCTTCAATAACGCTCCCGCTTAGGACATATTCAGCGCGGGCGTCAAGACATTCTTTTTCGGCTTTTTTCAGCTCCTTTGAAACTTCGTCCTCAGACAAGGAGGAAGTGTCTGGACTTTGAGATTAGCACTGTGTGCTCCTGCTCAGCATTTGAGAATCGGCACACACCTTCAGTAGAGTCAGCTTTCTGAGCTTGTAAAACCGCAATTTCCAGTTGCAGCTCGTTAAGCTTGTCCCACAAGGCTAAGATTTGACCTTCAAGCTCGTAAAATTGTAACGTATCGCCATCTTGGTGAGCAGCAAGCTGTATGAGGGCGTCAAAGTCTATGTTTGTTGTAGAATCATCCACACTCAAGTCCTTGACACCACTTGATACGGCAGTCATGCTGTATTGACACATAGGCATGAGAAGTCAGAAGGTGTGGTACCTGCAGGTCCACCGCGGAAAGTTCCGCCGCTGGGATTGTCTCCCCTCCACAAGAGCTTGCAGTCTTCCATTACCGGCCCACTTGCGGTATCGTCCGTTGGGCGCGCAAGAGAGAAGAGCTCAGCATGGCCTTACAAGTCTTGCATGCTCATCTAGGGTCTGCATTCAGTACGAATCCGCAGTCTTTCTCATCGATCGACGAGTTCCGGGCATGGGTTTCTCGAAAGACAGGCATCCAACCACCCAGCCAGATCCTGCTGACTGAAGGAGGCAAGCCAGCGAAATTGCAAACACTCCATGTCGAAAACGAGATTTTCCTATACGATCGTGGTATCCTGACGTCCTCTACTTCTGCCTCTCGATTACTCCCTCCCAGAACCTCCTTTGAACCATATACCACACCAGATCCTCCTCAGTTTCGTGGAACTCATGAGCTGAAAACTATACAAGCGATATCGAAGGAGCGACGGGACTGGGCATCAAAAGCCTTGAGCGACACTACTAGCTCCGTCGAGAGAATAAAGCAATTCGATATCGAAACGACAACTATCGTGCGCGGTGTCACGATCGCTGTAGACAATGTGAGACGGCACATGACAAATATTCGGCCTCGATATGAAGGAACGAAGGCTTGGGCAGAAAAGGTCTTGAGGGACCAAAAACGTTTGTTGGAAACTTGGCGGCCGGATTACGAAGACTTGGGGAGTGTAATAGTGAATACAGAATTCAATCGCTGTCTAAGGGATGGGAAGCAGGCGCTCCAGAGACGTCAAGAGAGAGGCTCTTCAGACTTGCTGCTCCAAGACTATGTGGATGGGAAGACGCTCGAAGCCGCTGGGGGGGCTGCAGAAGATATCTTGGGACAATTTGCTGCTGACCTAAGCGATCTGGAGGCCATATACACATCAGTAGCGTCAGAATCGCGGCAGATAATAGATGCTTATGAGAATGTGTCGTCACTCTTGGACAGCGAATTGGCTGATCAGGCAGGCCGCCTGCAGGAGGAAGTCGAGGTTCTATCAAAGAAAATCGCTTCCGATTGTCGATACATTGGTGAAATGCCTGACGATGCAAAGAACACCAGCCAAGCGATTAAGACTTCGCATATGCATGAGAACAATTTCATCCCTTCAATTATCCAGACTGTGGATGAAATCGCCGACCTCGGCCGGCAAGTCGTTCAGCGCCAAGAGGAAACAATGCGTTCGTCTATTCTCTCGATGCAGAAGATATCAACCGTCGAATTCGAATTAGCCTCCATTAACGACAAATTTTCAAAGATGGACATGGATGACAAGGCGCAGGAGACCTTCGACCTCCTAGATTTCGTATGCAATTTACCCTCTATGTATGGCGCCTTTCTCATCGAGTATGTAAAGCGCTTTGAATGGGCACAGAAAATGCAGTCCGCGACCCTAGTATCCCGCGACGATTCATCACCACAAAGAAAGGAAGAGACAAGACGGCGAAAGCAGTGGCAAAAGGACAATGACTTCGCACTTCAATTCAACCAATTAGGGAACGTGGGCTTCACGAACGAAAATAGTGCCACATCAACAGATTCTGGCATGCCACTGGCTAGTCAGGCAGACATATCCAGCTTTCTTGAGCAGCTTGCTTCAGTCGAGAGCATGAAAGATGCTTTGACGAGTGTACGGGAAGCTGCAAAATCATTAGGCGCCCAGCAAAGATCGAGAAGCCAGAAGCTGAATACTTTTAAGAACGGCAGTCTGCATGAAGCGTCCCGTGGTCGAGGTTCCGAAATGCTTCTCAATGGCAAACAAGACTTCGACGAGCTTCAGAAGGAGAAAATGAGGGTCGATGATAAGCTGAAAAGCGCGGAAAGCCGCATTCGAAAATTAGAAGATTTGTTGCACCGACAAAGTCAGTTTCAAAGGCCCACAAGCTCAGGTGGTTTCGTACCTGGTAATTCACCGGCCTTTGAAAGGCAATTGAATTCGCCGCCCCCGAATTACACGTCTGCTCTTTCAAAAGCGCGCGAAACTGGATCTCGGAGGTCGTCAACTTCATCGCGAAGAGTATCGCAGAACCTAGATTCAGAAGAAAAGACCCTTGCACAGCGGATAGTAAGCTTAGAAACAGATCTCACGGCCCAAAAAGCGCAAGTGAGCAAAGATGCTTCTGCGCGGCTTAAAATTGAAGAAGATCTGAAAAGCCAGGTGAACGAGGCCATAGCTATTAAGGAGGACTTACTCAGCAATATGGAATCTCAGCAGCACGAATTTGAGAGCGAACGTCGCTATCTCGAGCAAGAAAATTCGAAGCTGACGATCAGGCTTGAGGAGTTCGAAGACGAACTTGAGAGAAACAATGATCACACTACAAACTTACAGGCCCTTCAAGAAGACATCGTGCGACTGCGACAAAGAAGCCACGAGCTTGAGGAAGCAAACCAATTGCAAGTGCAGCATCAATTGGGGCTTGAGAACACGGTCAATGAGCTTCACGAACATATCGACCAGCAGGAAAGGTCGCGATCTCAACACTATGAGGCTCTCCGTAGAGCTCTTATCCACCTTTCTACCGATTCATCAATTCCTACAGACCTCGACAAAATGGTGGAGACCATTGGAGGGATCGCTCTAAAATCAACAGAGCAACAAACTCAGCTTCGCAATGCCATTGAACGGCTTCAGGCAGATAATGCTTCTTTCGAAAAGCATCTTCAATCGCGTGGTAGCGAAAATGATGATCTCACGGCGCGGCTCTCCCGCAAGCAGGCCGAGTTGGCGACATTGACAGATGAAGTTGCAACGAAGACTACGGAAAATACCTCACTAGGACAACAACTTGATTCCACTATTGCGCAACGCAACGCGTCGAAATCGAGGGCTAGCGCGTCTGAGAAGGAGAACGAGAGTATAAAGCAGCAGCTAGCTGAGGAGAGAAATGCTCATGAAGACCTACGAAACAGATTTGCCAACTTACAAGGCTACCATGGTGATTTGGACGATCAATTGCAGGACAAGGCCAGTGAATTAGCACAAGTAAAGCAGAAATACCAAACCGCTACCACTCATAGCCAAGTACAAGCGGACAGAGCTGGTGAAGTGTCGAGACGTCTCCAATTGCAGGTCGAGACGCAGAAAAAGTTGCTTGAGATGGTCGGCTTGATGATCACTCGGCAGGACGATAGTATGGCTATTCAAAGAATGCCAAAAATAGCAAATTCCGCCAGCACTACGATCACCGACCCCACGATGTCGATGAGACGAAGTTTGTCAGGGAATCTGCCTACTAGAGCCGATCTTGAAAGCACGCTTGACTCTGGTGCTCTATACTGGGCCGAGGCAGAGTCTCCTGAGCAGGCTGCTACCCGCTATGAGGAATTCACAACGCTCATCTCCGCATTCGATGTCGATGTCTTCAATGAGGCAATCTACAAGCGGATCAAGGACATTGAACACATTGCACGTAAGTGGCAGAGGGAAGCCAAGTCTCATAGAGACAAAGCCCAACGAGCTCAAAGTGATGCGCATGACAAGATAGCCCTTCGATCTTTCAAAGAAGGAGATCTGGCACTATTCCTTCCCACCAGAGACCAGGCGACGAAGCCATGGGCCGCTTTTAATGTTGGCGCTCCGCACTACTTTTTGCGGGAACAGGACTCCCACAAGCTCGGAAAGAGGGAATGGCTCATCGCTCGGATATCCAAGATCGAGGAGCGCGTAGTAGATCTGTCCAAGTCCATGAGTGGGCTGAAAGTCCCGGGCGAACGCTTATCATCCGCCAGCGGGGTTTCCATTGACAATGAAAACCCATACGAGCTTTCTGATGGTCTACGGTGGTACCTGGTCGATGCAGCTGAGGAAAAGCCAGGAGCTCCGATCAGTATTGGAATGGGAAAGGCCACCGTTGCAGTGTCCAAAGACGAGGAGCCGATGAAAGCCAGCATCGGTATCAAAAAGCCATCGGATCGCAATGAAGTTAGCAAAAGCCTTGCTCGCAGCCTCGATAGTCGACGCAGTAGCACCAATTCCCGGAAAAGCGTTGTGGCAAACACGTCGGCGCCAGGGGGCTTGAGACGATGCTTAAGCGGACTGACTCGAATATCTCTCGAAACACGACCGAGAGGAGATCTTTCGAGGTCCCTGACTCGGCGACTACGGAAGCGTCTCGGATGCAGGAGATTCAACCTGCTGAAATCGCTTCACCAGATGGAGTACGGAGTCTTCGTCGTCCAGAAATACCAATGATGGCTGACAGCAGCTAGGGACGGAAGAGCGCCGCTTCACCCGTCAAGCGCTCACAAGTCAGGTCGCCATCACCTCGCAAGGCGTCCCCTGAGAAGCGCAAGTCAAAATGGGACTCACTACTCTCGTTAGATCTGAGTTTGGAGAGCGGGAAAGCTATGAAGTGAGCATCAATGTTGGCTCACGGCACGCGTTGTGTGTATATAACCCCATGTACACGTGCTATACATGCCTGTAAATATGAGTAAGATAATGTATGGTTTCCCATACTTCCCAATAGCAGGATCCTTATGTGGACAGAGGGAGGAGAGGTGTTGATGTTGATGTTGACGGTGTTTGTCCGTTGGTCGGTAACACCTTCCGCGCATGAACGAGTTAGCGTCGTTGCTAGCACGAGTTGCCCCTCACATTGCGTGTTGTGCTGGCCGTGCTTCCCCCCCCAATTTCCCCCCTACAAAATCCCCAGCCAAATCTCTCTCATACAAATTCTCTCACCCAATTTCCTCACCGCAGAATCCTCATACAAATTCTGCCCCATACAAAATCTGCACGGCGATAAATCCCATACAAATTTCGTTAGGACCAGAAACTACTCGCATCACAGTAAGTATCATCACATCTTCTGATTCTTTTTCCTCGCTTTTTTCGCGTCTTTTCTGCCTTGTTTATGAGCTGTTTGGTGATGGTTTGCGCTCACCGGGTTGCGCACCTCGCTGTCGCCGCGATGGCTGTCTCTCTTGGCTGTTTAGGAATGTGGCCGGGTGACGCGACCAGCATTACCGCCGCCATAACAGCCTCATCAACACACCCTGTTTTCCAACACCAATTGAAGTTCTGAGTGTTGTCGCAATTCGTCATCTGCTAGTTCTTCGACTGAGGATTTCATCGCTTCATCCACCACGTCTCTTCTCAACCAATTCATCTCGCTTTCTCATCACCTTTGTCTTCACACGCGTTCGTCAAACAGACTATACTGACGCGCCTCCTCTAAGCTCTCATAATGCCTAAGGAAACCAAACCCCGCAAGTCCAAGAAGGCCGCGCCTGAGAAGAAGAAGAAGGGTATGTCCATCCACTCACTCGCCAACACTGGAACTCCTTGGCCTAATGTTCATCACAGACCCCAACGCGCCCAAGCGTGGTCTCTCAGCTTACATGTTCTTTGCGAACGAGAATCGTGATTCAGTGAGGGAGGAAAACCCGGGTATCTCCTTTGGTCAGTGTCCTTACCAACCAGGCCCGCGAAGCACGTACTGACGCGTTTTCTAGGCCAAGTCGGCAAGGTGTTGGGCGAGAGATGGAAGGCCCTCAGTGACAAGCAGCGCGTCCCCTACGAAGACAAGGCCAAAGCGGACAAGGCGCGTTATGAGAATGAGAAAGCGTCCTACAACGTGAGCAACCCCAACTCGATGGCACGATTGCCTTACTGGAATGATACTGATGCGTCTCTTACAGGCTGGTGACGATGATGATGAAGAGTAGAGCACTCAATTGACGCAAATGGAGCTGTGAAACTACACTCCAGCATGATATTCAATGACGCGTCATCATGAGCATACATTTGGCTGTTGGAACTGGTGGCGGCTGGCGGAAGCATCACTATCCTGCATATGGAAGATTGCAAGATATTGACATGATTACTTGCTGCAGGTGGAGGCTAGAACAAAAGCATGTGTACACTAGCTAGCCTACAGACAATACCTGGGAAGATTTGACTGCTTGAATTGTACAACCTGCGTCTCGGTTTGCGTCTTGCTCTTGCTTGTCCGTTCTCACGTAAACACTACATGATTGATGATGACTAGTGCGCCCTTGAGGATCTCACGCGTCCTGTGTGTGAAAGTACGTACATCATTAACGCGCTACGACAGCTATATCCGGCTTCCAGAGCCGCAAAATCATCCAGACTCACCGCTAATGTTCCCTTATTTCTAATCCAGCAAATCCACCCACTCACGTCTTTTCGGCTCTACCACGCCATGCGCGTTTCAGGGCTGGTATACTGCCATAGGGCTCTCGTGATCGCCGAAAATCCAGATATGGGTGGGTCCCTTGTGCTGGCTGGACTAGTAAACATCCGCCACGTCAATCTGCGTCTGCAGAAGCACCACCCGTTATGCTACTGCTACCATTCACCACCACTAGATAGACCGAAAGCCAAATCTGAGATTACCGACCATACAAACGGGGCGTCGAGCCTGCGAATAATTCACTTTCCCCCCAAAAAGAAAATATTCTTGCCCCTCTTCCCTCCATTCGCTCTGAAAATCGCGGCTTCGTTTTCGTTGTACGACACTGACAAATTCACTTCATTTTCCAGTCTATTTCTATCCTATTGACCTACGATTTGCAGTCATTGAAAGCCGCTTCAACGATCAGAATATGAATACTCCGTCAGCAACCGTCCATCGCTTCGTCCTCTACCACCACTACCAGCAATTGCAGCAGCAATGGACCTCCCCAACCTGCCTCACACGCTCATCACGCTCGCCGAATCCGCCGAATCCATAGCCAGTGGCCTGCATGAATTTCTACCGCACCATACTTCCAACGCCTCCGCCCAGATCACCAGCGTGATCGCCCAGCTCTTCTCCCTCTCCTCCGGCCTCCAAATCCTCACACAGCCGATCCGCGCGCTTTCACCTCCGCCGCCCTATCATCCCTCCCCTCAAGATCTAGACCATTATGAAGAGCATGAGGAGGAGATTGCGGACCTGTGCTACAGCCTTGATTACACGTTCAAAGATTTTCAGAGAATCATAGGAGATGGGCTGCTGGAGGGCAGGGAGGAGGGGTGGGGGAAGGGCGAGACGTTCCGCGCAACTTGGAGGAGCGTAAGTGCTTTCTTTGAGGGAGAGAGCGGGAATAATCTTGGGAGACGGATGAAGATCTACCAGGACGCGCTGCATGGCATACTTGAAGGATTACGGGCAGGGTAGGTCGAGCTCTCTGTTTCAATTGGAATTTTCATGCGGTGGACAGCCATGAGGTGTGAGGACGATGGATCCCACACAAGAATACCCCAACTGGGTGGCTTTCATCAACTTAAGGGGAAGATTACGACGCAATTGGCCATGCGGAAAGACTGCTGACGCTTTCATCGCACTGTAGGGCACCCCGCGACGCAGAACTCTTCGACGAGCTCGCAGACAAAATCCACGATCTATATCTAGCGCAGCGACAACGGTTCTCGCCGGCAGCATCTCAGCCTGATCCGTTTCTGCACCCCCGGGCTCAAGGGGGACAGATCGTAGGCGCTCTGCAAGTAAGCAATATCTCATCCAATCACATCCCGTCTTTCCCCTGTGCCCTGCCCCGCGATCTTACCTTCTCGTCGAATCTTGCTGAACTTATTCCTTCTTCTTGCCTCAGGCATATCAAGACCTGCATCATTCGAACGCCAACGTCCCTCCCATTCGCAAACCTCACCGGAAGCGCCAAGACGTCGTCGACCCTCCAATCCCCAGCCATTTTCCCCGCCCAGACGTCCACAGCCTGATCGACATAGATCCTCACCTCTTCACAGCCCAAGATCTCCCATGGAGCACGGATGGCACCCATGGGTAGGCAGGGGGCCACCACCTGCCCCTGAAGTGCCACTGAGTCCTACGAGCAGCAGAACATATTCAAGTGACTCGGGCAGCGGGAGTAGTTGGAGTGACCTTGGCGCTGGAAGTCACGTTGGTGCGGGCAGCGTTGGAGGCGGTGTAGGTACCACAGCTACGAGGCAGCATTGGATCAAGAAGGTGTTTGACAGGCCACCACCTGCTACAGAACTGACTGCAACCGGAAGATCGTACGTACGCCCTCAACGTGGATTTAGCACATTAATGAGCTTTACTGACGCCGATCAAATGAGCAGACAATGCTTCGCAGCCCACAAACCAAATACACTTGAACGGCTCGAAGATGAAGGATTTACAAAGTTGCAAGAGCTGTGCGTTTTCTCCCTCACCAATTCGACTTCCCTCGCCCCTGAGATGCAAAGGCTTACATATGTGGTAGCAAATTCGAGAACGGCGAAGTCGTAGTCGCATTCTTCCAACACCGCCCCAGCACACACACCAAGATGCTCTGCGAATGGCGTGACTCGCGGACAAGGCAATGGAAAGCGTCTGCTCTTCCTTTGGCGGATCTCACCATCCACCGAAGTGGCCCTTATCTCAAGTTCTCGGATGAGAGGGATGGGTATTGGGCTGCACTGCGATTTCAGACTATCGAGCGTGAGTCTCCTTTACAGCATTTGTGGTCGTGGTGCATCGTGCCAAACGACTGATGACATGGCTCAGAACTTGTGATTTTTCATTCCATCTTCTTGGCTCTCCGGTCACACGATATGGAGACTCCAATACATGATTTTCCGGACTATAAATTGAGGAGTGAGGAGAAAGTGCATGGATTTGATGCGTACGTTGTAATTGTCTGATTCGGGTCTCAAAGATAGGCTGACCCACAGGTGGACAGTGTCATCCTTGACGATCACTTTCACCACCTATTGAAGCTGCTCAAAGATGAAAGCGGATGCCTTCGATTGCAAGCTACTGTCCTCAGTGCGGACAGTAAATCTGATATCCCTATGAGGTCAGTTCGTCACTATCGCTCCAACTTGCCCAGTGCACTTTTGCCGGATTGGGCCTCCAACACGATCTATCTTATCTGACCTGACTCACATCCCAGCAGGACACCAGTCTGGACAGCCTTTATAACACACACTCACCACTCTCCCTCTTGGCTTGAACGCGTGAGCCCTAAGGTGATCCATGTTGCCGACTTATATCGCTATGTATTCTCGGAGGACTACACACCGCAGACCTCACCAGGAGGAAAAGCAGAACTGGTGTTCGACAAAGTAAAAGGTCATATGGAACGTGAGTATCTAAATTGAACGTTTTCTGACTGGCTGGCAGATGCGGATCGCTTCGAGGACGTAATTGGCCTTCTTGTTAACCCTCCAAAACCGAAGAAGAAAGACAAGAAGGAAAAGGGGCGCTGGTAATGAAGACATTATTGAAGACTACGAGTTACGACTTTGAAGAACGAATGACTACATGAAATCCTAACGACGGTCGATGCCATGGACGAAAGCGAAAAGCAAAAGCAAGCGAGGCGTATGGGAGGAATACCACGGTTTGCACTGCTCTTGATACTCTACTTACAGCTGCTTGCATACATGAGCAACGGACAGGCTTTCTCTTCTCAAAAAGATAATACACAACTCTAATCAATTGCAAGTCTCTGGTTCTTTTTATTTACATTTCGTACCTTCTTCATTGGTAATAGTACTCTATGAGCGTTCGGAATACCATGCCGAAGAGCAAGCTTATCCTGCACCTAATCGTCATCGTTCGCCGACCTATCGGGCTCCGACCAGCCGCCCAAACGCACAGAACAATATCTCCCCTCCCCACTACATCACCATGCTTTCTATTTTCCGAAAACCCCATTCGATTTTGAACCATACATTTTCCAAATTGAGAAGCAGTGTCTATTTGTGGACGAACTGGCATGATCTGATACAACAAGCCCCCATCACACCAGCCCTATCTACGTTCGAACGCCCACCACTTGTCGGCACCGCACCACACCCACAACGCAATGTCTACGAACCACCCACCTACAGCTCCAGCCACCAACCACGACAGACACCCCTCCCCTTCCACCGACGCAAAATCGTCACCCTCGCCCGCTCAGGTCTCCGCTTCCGGTTCCACGTCTCCCACACAATCTTCCTCCACCCCGTCCACCCCATCTACCTCATCTAGCACCAAACCTCCCCTACCCACTTCCAGCCCCAACCCCTCTCCTCCCCCTCCCCCTCACCCTTCCCCACCGCACCCAAAGCCCCCGCACCCAAAACCCTCTGGGCCCGCCTCCCCCATCCCCCTCTAACGCCCAAACACCTCCGGCACGACCCCTCCCGCCCCCCGCGCTTCTCTCTGGCTTTAAACCTCCTCTTCGCCTTCGCGGCGACCTTCACCGCCGCCAACCTGTATTATTCGCATCCGATCCTGGATGTGCTGGCACGCGACTTTGGGGTTACTGGCGAGAGGGCCAGTGTGGTGCCCACGGTCAGTCAGGCTGGGTATGCGGCGGGCTTGGTGCTGGTGTGTCCGTTGGGAGATCTGCTCGAGAGACGGGGGTTGGTTGTGGGAGCTGTGGGGTTTACTGCTGTGGTTTGGTGAGTTTGGTTTGTTTTTCTTTTGTGTTTCTGGGGGGGAGGGAAGGGGAGGGGTGTGATTGTTGAATTCGGCGGTTTTGGGTAGCGATGGTTTTCTCTTGTTGTCCATGGATGCACGACTGGTGTCTTGGCTGTCTTTCATGGTAAAGGGCACAGGGTTATATCTCACTCTCAAGGAGGACGTACTATCCGGAACAGCTTATCGAGAGCGCACAAGACACTATATTTGAGGTTTCTATTCTTTGGATGCTAACGCGTGCGGTGACGGATAGGATCGGGCTCTGTCTCACGCACAACTTCTCTACCTTCTGCGCTCTCAGCTTCCTCACGTCTTTCACGACCGTGACGCCTCAAATAAGTACGTTCCCCTCCCCCTCCTCCTTTTCTTTCCCCCTTTCCCTTTCCCCCTTTCCCGGCCAGAAGACCCCCCTTCATCCCCACCCATAGCAAAACTAACCCACCTATCCATCCACTTAACACCCACGCAGTGCTCCCTCTGGTAGGCGACCTCGCGCCCCCAAACCGCCGCGCAACAGCCCTCTCCCTCGTCGTCTCCGGCCTCCTCCTCGGCGTCCTCCTCGCCCGTCTCCTCTCCGGCGTAGTGACCCAATACACCTCCTGGCGCAACATCTACTGGCTAGCCCTAGGCCTCCAATTCTCCATCTTCACCCTCTTATACTGCTTCCTCCCCGCCTACCCTTCGAAAAACCCCCGCAAGGGCAAGGGGGAGGGGAAGGGGAACTGGGTAAAGGGAATTGCAAAAGATTATGGAAAGCTGCTTTGGAGTATGCTGCCATTGCTCACGGAAGAGCCATTGTTGGTGCAGACGTGTATTGTGGGAGGTTGTGCTGCGACGACGTTCACGTCTTTTTGGACGACGCTGACGTTTTTGTTGAGTGATGAGCATGGACCGTATCGGTATTCGAGTCTGGTGATTGGGTTGTTTGCGCTCATTGGTATTGCGGGGCTGAGTCTTGGCCCGCTGTGGTCAAGGTACGTGATCGATGCATTTCGGACGCACTTCTCCGTCCTCATAGGGCTTATCATCATCTTCATTGGTACGTTGATCGGTACGCTCGTTGGTGCTCCCAGTTCCGGGCTCGGCGGCAAGGGGGTAGCTGGACCAATCATCCAGGCTTTTTTCCTGGATTTCGGGTTGCAGAGTAGTCAGATTGCGAACAGAGCGGCGATCTATGCCTTGCAGCCGAAGAAGAGGAATAGGGTGAATACGGTGTTTATGGTGAGTGTTTTTTGTGGGCAGATTGTGGGAACCTCGGTGGGGAATAGTGTGTATGCGAGAAGTGGGTGGAGAGGGAGTGGGGGGGTCAGTCTAGGATTTATTGGGGCGGCGGCGATAGCGTGGGGAATGCGGGCGCCCGGGGTGGAGAAGGAGGGGGAGAAGAAGAGGTGGGTTGGTTGGAAGGGGGATTGGGGCGTTAGGAAGGTTGTGGAGGAGGGAGACGGAGAGGTGGGGCGGGGAGAGGGTGAAAAGTCGGGGGAGGAAGGGGAGGAGAAGGCTGGGAAGGAGGAGGGGGAAGTCAAGACATTTGGAGATAAAGATATTGATTTGGAGAAGGGTGAGTGAGGTGGAGGGTATTGCACACAAAGATGTCAGGGGTACTCTACCTGTGGAGTGCCGCGGGCTTGAACAACCTTTGGTTTGTGCTCATGATGTTTTGCATTCCACTTCGGCATTTGTTATACTCTCAACATCTCACATCTGCAGTTCCAGGTCCACGAGTCACTCACGATATTACCGTTTGGGGTCTATCCTCCACTTTGTGATCTTTCGGATAGTGTACCTTTTTTGGTGTACTTCTGTTACGTTGTTCCGATGTGACTTTTGCTTTCTTCAACTGTTTTGGCACGAGGCTTATCATCTTTGGGAATTGATTCTTGCTATCTTCATGAAGTACCACTACGACAGCGACTTCGTGCAGCTAATAGGTCTCAGACATTTAAGCTCGTTATCCGGAGTCTCTATCATCGACCTACTTCCAATGTTTCGTCGAGGCATGTGATTACTCACCACAGTTTCCATAAATAGTGATTCTTTGTCTTGAATCCTGCATAAGACTTGCGCGATAGCCGCAGTCCTCAAGCAAGCATCCAAACAACGGCTTATGTGAGTCTATTTCGATTCAAGCGTGCTGTCGTAGATTTTGCTGAGCAGGAATCCAGGCCACGTCCGTCATGAAGTCGTGCATCTTCCCGATCGCTATTCTGCTTGGTTTGGTCTATACGGCTCCAGCACCCCAATTACTAGGAACGTCAGCGACGTCACCGACCACGCAGAACACATATACATCAAGCGGGGGCTCACCTTCTCAAGATCAACCAGTACAAGAAGCCGCATCAGGCTTCAAGACTTGCGCACCTCCCGCTGATGCCAATGAGTGGATGTAAGCTGCTCCAGCTTTGGCTCAATGACTTTTCCAGCATCTGTCACATCTGAATTTTCTTTGGACCCTACTATCGCCTTTGCTCTTTCCCTAACTTAAATCATCGACTGATGATCCCTTCTACTCTCCAGCCAAATCCCCCCTAACACCACCCCTAACAACAACGACCGCTTCCGATACTTTGCCACCCATATCGACGACGAACTCTTGCGGCGTCAAATTCCTGCCTCTATAAATGCTGTCAACGAAGGCATCTACCCAGCCTCCCACGGCCGTCTCACTGACCCAATCCCTAACAACTACTGGGAGTTCCCAACATTCGCGAATTTTACTATCGAAGGGTTTGAAGGACAGCCATCACTTATTTGGACAAATGCGCAGAGTGCCGTGGGTGCAATGAAGGAGTTCGTCAGAAGGTATAGTTATGTAAAGGGAGGGATTGAGGTCGCTATTAATATCAATTGGTGTCCCATTGGGGTTGCGAAGTTGAAGTATAGAACACCACCGGTACCGCCGGTGGAGGGGATGGATGTGAGTGAGGCTGTGGAAACGTTGGGGGGAGGAGTGGCGAGTGCCTAAGCCAATAAGGGTAATGGAATGAGGGCAATCTTCGTTCACTCAATGGAGTTTGCGGGGTGAACGTTCATAGAAATGTCAATCTCTAGTTGATCATTTGTCGTACTTCCGGCTTTTGCTCTGTCGGCATCATTTGACAGAGGCGGTCAATGGGTCTCTCGAACAAATCTTGCCATAAGACTCTGCTTTGCGCTGCGCAGGGTGAAAAATTACAGTGATCACTGGACACGCGTGTGATAAGCGAAGTGATTTTTCCTGAGGCATCTGTAAAATTGGGATTTTGACGACATCGGGCCATCTTGCCGGATGCGACGGAGCTTATAAATCTGGTTATATATTGTCAGCCGTTTCTCTTTTGAACCTTGTGATGTATGGCTACACATCCGCATCTTATATTAAATCAAACGGGATTGAAAAGCGTACTTGCCGTACTTTATTCAGGGGTTCCGGTCCTCCAATATCAAAAGATTTTCTTTTCCATTGGGGCTCCAATTCCCGCCTTTGTGATAGCTCAAATTGATAAGAGGCAGGCTCAAGGCTTAATCTCGAGGGTCCTTGAAGCCTAAAAAGATTTCTCTCCGCAATACGATATTTGTTTAATGCGTGGGCGACAACACGTAACAGCAGGACGTATCGCTCTAGATCGATTGCTCCCTGATCCTGAACTAAACCAACATCTAAGATCCAACAACCAGAATCTGCGAGGTTGCCCTCACCCGAGATAGTAGCACGCTGGTATTCCTTGATTTTTGAGGATTTGAAAAGCATCTAATGTGACTTTGAGATAGTCTTGATTGTCCACCTGTCCAGTTGGGGCCAACAAAAGCTGGGTTTGAAAACCTGTAATTTTTCCGCTGGCCCAAATTTTGAAGGCCGGTGGTCTTTCGCCCCATCGTGGACCTAATTGGTCATACTCCAAATTCAGAGGAAACGTACATGCACGTCAGTCAAGTCCAGGTGATATCGATAGCAGTGCCTAAGCATTACTTGCTTGTGGTCACAGTAAGCGGCATCCTTTCTTGCATTACTATTCGATATAGGATCTACATTCATAAAGATCCCACCTTATAGAGGTATAATGTCAATCCTGTCGTCAATGCGACCTCGTCCAAGCTTGCATCCAAACAAACACATCAATTCACGTGGCAAGAGGGTATCCTGAAGGATTCAGTATCGCTAGATCCATGTGCATTCCTCCCTCAATCGTAATCTAATCAGCCGCTGTAGTCTACCTAGAAGAATGACATAAAAAGCAAACTTTTTGGACAATTCGGTCATCCGCTAAGTCTGCCACATTTTGTCTTCGTGGTCGCTTTGTTGGATACAGACACAATCAAGCCACAAGAATCTTGTACCTCTAGTCAACAACAGATCACAGGCATCATGGAGTATTTCCATGTTTACAGGTTCGGCATCTAAACAAAGAGTTTCATCAATTTATTCTGGACATTTTGGAGCTCAAACAGCCACGAGTAGTCATGGCTCGTTGGAAGGACAAGAATAAAAGTGGAACTATTCCCGTATTTCAGTCCGAAGGTGTCAGATCTCACCCAACTCTATTTTCTACAAGTATTGGGCACAAGCCAACGGTACTGATAAAGTCATTTCACCCAGGAAAAGCTGTAAATCGTAACCCCCTTACCGTCAAGTGCCGGTACCTTTTGATCCGTCATTACCTCTTGGCGTTTGCCTTTTTGGATGGACCGGTGAACATATACGACTGGATGGCTTCAATAACCCAGGTGGGCCAAAAATCCGCTAGGTGAGAACGAATATCAAGCTAGAGTCCGCTTGTTGATAGCTTTGTAGATCGGGCCATCCAAGGGAAAAGTACTTCTCAAAGGATGTGGCCCTCTCCGCCATCAATCGAAATTTTCATGACTACAACCAGACCGTAATTGCTGGCTTTGGAGTAACCACTATATCTTGCCGTTGGAAATCAATAGAATGACCCTCTCATGGGGAGAATTGAAACGCAAGGCAAGACAATACATTACGAGATTTCATCTTCTTTTTTCGGCACAAGTCAATAACACCGGTCGCCATATCCAAAGAGCTCGTTCGTTGAGTATGCCCACTTGACCGGTAATTTGCCTCTTTCTTGATTGCATTCATCCACGAATAGGACAATTCTGATTCTGTATGTGATCTGTACGCGCTGAACTACCGTCGGACAGATGGAACAGCGCAACAGTCTCATTACTCGGTGACGCGTCTCAGCTATCTACTCGGCGTGTTCTTTGTTCGCTGCCACCAGATCGAGATCTTGCCTTACCAAGAACACATCGCAATAACTCCATTTGGTTTAAAGGATTATGATCCACCCTCTTTCGCAAAAGCTCGGCAAGTCCGAACAAGGACATCCAATCATGTGGGTGAAAGCGCCCGCCTGAGAAGCCACATGATGACCCCACAATCGTAGTAGATTCAGGAAGAAGTTGGAGCATCGTAAAAAGTGGTCATGAATCGCGCCTTGTGTGACGGTGGCTATCACGTTGTCAATCTATACTGTAAACTACTGAGTTCCTTGTAGATCAGTACCGGACCAAGGAAGTCCGAATTCGTGGCTGAGAGACGCCCCTTGCAGTCAGGTTGGACTCTGTTACACCCTTGAGGATTCACACATAGAATAGGTGCAGTGGACAAGATCTAGCTGCAGATAATAGACTTTGGGCTATATGAGTAGACCGCTGCACGTCGATTCAGCCGATAGGGAATGAAATTCTCCATTCTCAGTGCCACGCACGTGGAAAAGATGATGGTGGCTGTCTTAGAGTGCACTGCGGAGGTTTTGCTGCCGTATACATCCTGTGCAAATCCTCACATTGTCATTGTAATAGCAGTCGGACACTGGAGCAAGAGCGACACAAGGTCTTCATCAATTTCTCTTATTCATAGTAACAGCATGTAGATCTACACTAGTCAGTAGTGAATATCTTCAGCCGAGGAAATCCAAGCATTGAAGCGGGCGAGCAATTGCAACTGCAGCCACACCTCACGTACTCAGGAGTTCAAAGAGTGACTTTGGAGATCATGGACAAGACACCATGATCTTGATATAAAGACTAAGCTGGTTTGTAAGTCAGAACCTAACAAGCTAGCACAGACTACGGCTAATGCTTTTGGCTCCACGAATACCGACAAGGTGGGTTCAAGTACTTGATAGGCTGGTGTGATCATGTGGCAATGCTGTTCAGCAGAGGATCTTGGCCAAAATAAAAGACCGCACGATCCCCCTCGAAATTGCTGCAGACATCAAACCTTCCATTCTCCACCGTCTTTGTTGGTCCTCCCAAAGTCACTAACTGCACTGAAATTTCAATACACCCTAAAGTGATCAATCACTAGCATCAATCACCATGAAGGTACATTCCTCCCACCTTGCAATCGATGAAACCCCTTCTAACACCCCTTCCAGACTACCATCGTAGCCTCCGTCTTCGCCCTCGCGGCTTTGACAACAACAACGCCCGTCGAGCTCGAATCCCGCGATGATTCACTCCCCGATAATACATTCGGGCGGCTCGACGTCTACTCCACTCCAGAGTGCACCAACTCAGAACTACTCGGAGATCAAGGGAAAGATATCTTCGTCCCCCGCAACATATGCACTCCCACCCTAATCACCGAGGTCGATGCACTTGGAGTCAAGGTGGAAGTCGCAACCATGTCCTACAGAGCACATCTCTTTTTCGGTGATGACCAAGGGCACTTGGGGGGAGGATGCGCCTTTTTTCTTTTACAAGGATAATTGCGAAGCCCAGGGTGAAGATGACGCGGAACGTTATATTCCTGATGTATATCGAAATAGCCTGACTGAGTGCAATGGAGTGAAGCCATCGTCCTCAAGTCTTGGTTTCAGGAGTACCCTGCTTTTTTGCCAAGAGGACGACTTTTAGGAGCAAAGAGTGTAATTAGCAAGCAAATATGGTGGATAAGAGGAGCGCATAAGTCATTGGAGTGCCTTCCCCGAATACAATATTTCTTCTCCAGTAATGATGCTTCTTGCATATCACGTTCCTTGAATCCACTTCTACCAAGTTTAAGTTCCCTCTTTTCACACCTGCTCCAGACATTCAATCGTATTTGGAATACTTGGCCCACCCCACCTGCCCCTTACTCTTGCCCAAGCCAAACGGCTTTGACTTGACATTACCACCCGAATGACGGTGAGAGGATCCTAAGTCACCGGGTACAGTACTCTCAGCTAGAGAAACCACGCTGGTCTTCTTTTCTCTGCTATAAAAGGGTGATCTCCGTGCAGAAGAGTGTAGACTTCAACAAAGACAGCCAGAGACGGTATCTCTAAGCCATCGGCGAGTATTAAGCCACACGCCCAGTATATGCTCAGGCTAGATTCAGTACGAAGTTAGATCATCATAATACCATGTTAGACCTTACTTTCCATCACCTTGACGGTCTCGTTGTCAAATTCAATTGAATTTTTACCACCTTCCTCAGCGATCAGTGGCGACCTTTTACGACCGAGAAACTCCGAAGATAGTGCTCCCCTTGCATGCACTTTAGCCCGAATGAACTCCCGTCCAACTACTTCGATGATGTTCGAGCAGCTAATAGAGTTCAGATGCTTAGCATCTGTTCAAGTGGATGCACACCTCCACTTGCCACCATAGAGATAGAGCGAATCGTATCCAGCTTTTCCTGTCTCATGCACACCAAGGAGATTTCTGTGGCCGGCTCAGAGTAAAGTTAGTCAACGACCGTACAACACCGAATTTACACTGGATTAGCCAAATGACCTTCTCAATTGCGCAAATTTGATCATCTGGCATTTTTGGCTCAACAGAGCACATTGACCCGTCCGACGGAATCCCTTAAAAGACGACAAAAGTCCCTTTCAAATCGCACAAATCATCAACCTTCTTGCTCTTCACATCCACCATTACTTGATTCCAGGCCACGTTCTCCGTCACTTACAACCCACATCAGCTCTTATCCACCACCAACAACGTCCAATATGAAGGTCCATTCAATGCACCTCTCAGGAAGCCTTCGCTGACCTCATCACCAGACCACCATCATAACCTCTATCCTCGCCATAGCCACTCTCGCAGCAACAACCCCTGTCCAGCTCGAAGAACGCGCTGCCGTCGCCGGCCAGCTCGTCGGCTTCACGACCATTAGTTGCGCCAACACAAATATAGCAGGTGTACAAGAAAAGAAAACATTTTCGCTCCCTCTGAATGTCTGCGTCCCCACGGTGATCGCCCAGGGAGTTGCGGGCGTGTTTTTCGGGGAAGCTCCAATTTTGTCCTATAAAGGGGGTTTTGCACCGGGCACGGCGGCACCGAAGGGTAAGGTCTGTAGCTTCACGTTCTTTCGAGGGGATGGGTGTGGAGGTACTGGTGTGGAGGTTTCGGTTCCAGGAAATGCTGAGCAATGTCTGGATGTGCCAGTTGCTGCTTCTCCTGCTGAGAGAGTTGTTTTGCGGTGTAAGTAGCCTGTGGCGACCTGAGGATTTTGAATTCAATCTGGGGGGAAGGGGGATGGTAGAGATTACTTGACAGATAAATATGGAGGACAGAAGAATGCGAATGAGTCAATGAAATTGTATTACTGATCTGTCATTGATTAAGTGCTTGCCCAACTTTGACACGTCCTACTTCTTGGTAGTGTTGTACCAGCATCCCGCTCCTCTTTTGAATCAACAACAAATTAAAACTAAGGACGTCTGGTCCTGGACTACTGGATAAAAGTCGTTGACTATACTTCTGGGTAATCACGTGTAATATTGATTATTTAGTCCTTGTGACCATAGTGTTATCCGGACGTTAGAAGAAGGATGTCAAAAGACTTCATCCTCATGTCTACTCATAGATCTTGCGGTCTAGATCTGCGTGATCCGTGGTCTACATCTCCGTCCGAGAAGTTCCGAAAAGGTTATCGGAGGGTTACCACACCTCATTCACGCGGCTTCCAATGGATTCGCTCCTGAGCGATCTGGCTAGCACTGCGTGATCACAAGACATGAGTTGAAACTTAATATTTTACAGCTCATCGATTGCTTAGATAGTATTGGGTAAACAGTTAGGGTCTCTGAACGGGAGATAAGGGGTGGGTGGAGCTTACTTAGTCAAAGACCGTACATCACCGAGTCTCGACTCCTGAAGACTGTATAGACCTCCACACAGGTGGTCTACATACGAACATGTGGCGTTTCAATTCACGACAGTATCTCGGCCGGAGAATCTCGGGCTAATCCGACGAGAAGATACATAAAGACTCCGCATTTCCACTTAATTTTCAGATCCTATCGGTCTCTTCGCTTCAGTAAATTGGTTTCTTCTTTTTTGGGAACGGACATATCACTTTACTTAGCTAACTTTGGATTGGTCACTACCACGCAGTCATCGTTCAACGATATCATTAGCTATGAAGGTCAGCCCATCTTCCCCAACGTTGAAGCCTTCGTTAACTTTTCAGACCACCATCGTAACCTCTATCCTCGCCATGGCTGCTCTAGCATCGTCAACTCCCCTCCAGCTCGAGGACCGCACTGCCGCTCCGGTCGGATATATCATTGGGTACACAGAACCAAAATGCCTCGACACGTCCGCAGTTTCAGAACAATCGAGGACGTTCCAGCTTCCCCTCAATCAGTGCATACCAACAACTATCCGTGAGGTCAATGGAGGCGTCGTGGAGTCGAGGCTTGGGATCATGTCCTATACAGGGTACTTGACTGGCAAAGCACCCACGGGCAAGAAATGCCATTTCAATCTCTATAGAGCAGACGGTTGCCTGAATGAATTTGTAGTGGCGCAAATTCCGGTCGACCGTACGACGTGCGAGGCTTTTGGACTTCCTTCTTCTGCTTTTAGGAGCGTTAGGCTCGTGTGTGAATGAGGGGGGCGTGCATGTTGGAAGAATAGACTGGCACCGTCAGACTAGGGTTTTGGAGGAGAAGAGTGTTTAGTTAGTAAGGTATGACAACTACATGTTGTGGGCAGGTATGATTCAGCGCATAAGTCAATGGCATACTTAACCTGAGCGCTATATATGTCCAATCAATCTTTCTCATGGCGTTTAGCCTTAGCAGTCTTATTGCCCACTTCTTTACCAACAATACTGCATCATGAACCTGAAATGTCAAAGTGCTGAGTACTTCTCTAATCCTCTATCTTGTTGCACCTAGGTTACTATGCTGGAAAGCAATACACATATCGCTTACTCCGCAGACATATCATACCTTCATATATCTAGTCCCTCCCATTCATCCACAACCTTAGCCCTCGCAAATGCAGTAGCACATAATACAATCTCGTTCGTGTCCTTCATATATTTCATTTCAACAGCCTGCGGATCAGCAGCCTTCAATATACCCAGAAAGGTAGCCTCGGCGCCGCCTTGCGTTTCTCGCGGCAAGCCCTCAGGATAGTGACATGGATAATGTTCCAAGGTGAGTTGCACCCACCGAGATCCGCGAGTGAGGAGCTCGAAGCAATAGGGGCTTTTTGGCACTGTCTTTCGAATGATCCAGCGACGTATCTGTGGCGGTTGCACTTCCATGAGACGGGTGACATAGACATAGAGGGACGCAATTTTATTCAGCTCATGGTAGTTGGAAATGTAGCTGCGATGCCACGGAGGCATAAACATAACAGACAGATATGTCTTTTCGAGGACCGTGATGAGTCTGGTGAGCGCGGGTGTTGCGACGGAGTGCCAGTGACGGTCTGCAAGCGAGAGATTGAGTAGGTCGGAAGCTGTTGTTAACACGTCTGCGATAATCCCCGATAGTTTGGCCTTATATTCTTTATCCGTGGTTTCTGATGCCTGAGCAAGGCTTTTCACAACTAGTCGATGTAATTCTGAGGGTAGCCGATCCATTTTGTTGAGAACTGCGAAAGATTAGGATTTTCTGAAAGAAAACTAAATCTATAGGAGATCGGCGGGAATGTTGTGCAGGAGTGTTGTACAAGCACTTGAAAACCTCCTAGTTGCTTGCGTAGTGAACAAAGACCGCGACCATACATACCTCAAATCTGTGTAGGCTGCTTCAAAGTTGAATCCTTTACGCGCCTGGATTCCGAAAGGCATCGTTTCTCGCAATTAACAGACTGGAGCTGCAAGCAACGTCATGTATAGAGATTAAAGGCTTACAGTTGTTCTTAGTCATTCTATGAGGTGAGTGCTGGACTGTATCCCACATGCATGTGCAAATTGCAAAAACCTCATATAAGAAATTGGTGATGCTGAGATATTTGCCTTTTCGACGACTTTTCCGGACTCAATGGGGCGGCTCATCATATTATCCACGCGTCTGAGATTGGTAATAGTCGTCATTTAAATGTTCGTAAAGGAAAGGTCGAGGGGGTTGTGCTTTCGTGGGCCCTGCTTTCTTCTGATAATCTTTCCTCGTCTAACATCCATCCTCGATATGTCACTGCCTTGAGCGTCACGACTGCAGGCACTTTGAAAGCTACGCAAACCTCTTCATACCTGGCAATTACCACTCGTACTCTACGCCCCCTTTAACAAGTCTCACCCTCGTTCCTCAGTCTTAGTCGCACTTATCTCAATCTCCCCTGTCATTCTGTACCATTTCAACTGCACCACCTCCTCATTCATTCCCTTCAACATGCCCAGCAACGGTGCGGCTTCTTTCCTCTCAAAACGCACTGGCAAGTCCTCTGGCAGAATACAGGGCGCCTTCTCAAAGTAGCGCTTGAACATTCTCGTAATCAGCGACCCTTTTCGATCAATCTTGAAGCAGTACGGAGAATGCGGCGCCGTCTGTCTTACAGCCCAGCCGCGAAATCTAGGCTCTAAGCTCATGATCTGGCTAAAATAGATTTCGAGAACTGCTTGCTTTATGAGCTCATCGTCTTCGCAGAGGCTTTGTTGGTGCCAAGGAGGAACGCTGATGCCGTCTAATATTACAAATTTCAGGAGTTCTTTGAGTTCGGGTGTTGTGCGACTATGGTTGTAACGGTTTGTGAGTGAGAGATTATACATGTCTGAGCATGTCTTGAAGGACGTTGTTTGGTGCCCAAATATCTCGTAGCCTGTTTGCACAAGGTTGTCAATGACCAGGCTTTGCAATTCTGGGGGAAGTCGCTCCATCATTGTGGAAGATCTGGTGGGTTCGCACGAGTAGAGGAACACTTCGTTCAGATGAAGATTTAAAGAACTTTTCGAGATTGTTGTACAGACATAATCAAGTATCACAATCGGCGATGACGCAAATCAACGCTGTCACACAAAACACAAAGCATGACTCATAACTGAATGTGATGTTGATTATGGTGTTAATGTTGAAGGAGACTTTACATCCCAAGAATCTTAAAAGCATTGTGTAAAGTATTCCAAATTTATATGGAAAATGCTTGTCATGACCAGAATATTGTGCACCTGACTTCCATAAAGGCATTGTCCCGTACCTGACATCCTCCTCGGTCTTTCACTGCTTTGAACCCGATGACCGCAGGAAATCCGATTTCGATTACATCACCTTCAGGAGGGTAAAACAGGATAGGATAGTCGTGATCAAGACTTCGAAGCATCGCCACCAATTTGACGATGTGCGTCATAGACGATGGCGGCCTGCTTAGCCGGAAGCTGGGATGAATACTCCAATCAATAGGTATCTCTACTTGAAAGCGTCCGCCATCCAACCATATGAATCGATATGGGAGCTTCGGGATGATCTTGCTTGCAATCCACTTACTGATGGCGCGCTTGTGCCTTACAATGCCAGAAAGGTAAATTCGAAGGAGGGAGAATTGCTTGTGTGAGTCGGTGATTCCATGGAACGGATTTTGGCTCCAGATTTTACATGCAGCACTGAATATTGGGTCTAGAAACGTTTGCTCTAGTAGCGTGGCGAGGGTTGGTGCGATGAGGGTGTTGTAGAAACCATTCGTGAGTGAAAAATTGTAGAGTGTCAATAATGATGTTGGGACTGTCATATAGCCTTGGAAAATGTTTTGAAGGTGGCTAGCATCAGTGTCTTGCACGATATGACGGATGATCTGATCGTGTAGCCCGACAGGTAGTCGGTCCATTTTGTCTGAAGTCGTCGAAGACTAATAGCTATATTCCCTCGAGATGAATTGAACAGTGGATAAAGTCCTTGTTTTGCGATGTGTTGCGATGTGTCTTGAGGTTCAAACGAGACAAAAGTTGTCACACTTTTTTAGACTAGAAAATCTCCATTGTACAACACTGATGTTCTTTGATCGTCACAGCCCGAGTTGTACAAACACATCTTGCCGCAAGTGAAGTCGCTAGGCATACGCATCAACTGACAGTCTGTCCTCCTTCAACAATATGTGGCTGACCAATGATGGCAGGCGCCATCATTACATGTCACAGAGTAGAGGGATCTCAGAGTCCGGACTATGCTTCTAGCTCACGAATGAAGCACATCTCTATTGCTTCTGTGTTGTCGCCTTGTATTTCACAAATTTCGAACTCAGATTTTGGAATGATCCCTAAAGTCTTCAAATTTGGCTGATCTGGAAGTAATGCTGTAACATTTGGTTTTCTCTTCCCTTGCTTACGGGTCCTCCGACCCAAGATCTCAAAGGCTACAACGCCGAAAAGCGCTACCCCGATGACTCCACCTGTCACAGCCCCAGCTATGATGACTGTTCGATTTCTTGAGTGTGTTGCAGGGTGGGTGGTTCCTTCAGGCGCTGAAGTTGGCGTCCCGAATGATGTCGAGCGATCATTCGATGTGATTCTACCGAATAGTCCAGTGTCTACTCGTGGTTGCCACGCAGCAGCGTCTCTCGCGCCCCCGTCTGGACCACCGCCGATAATGTTGATGACCTGCTGAGGGACCTCATACGTAGTATTGGGTATGGGATACTCCGAGTACCATTCGAAAGTTGTCATGTCCAACAACTTGATGCCTGGAAGAGAGTCGATGCAATGGGAGGTATCCCAGCTGCCGTTAGGAGTGGCGATTTTTCCACCAAGAACAAACATCTGCCTATCATTATATGCTAGACAGGAATGTAGCACCCGACCAACGGGGTTGCCTACTTCGGTGTTGCTATTTTCTGTTTCGCTGATTTTGACCCACTGGAAGGAGGGCATCGATAGAACGTAAAGCTCGTCCGTTGTATTGCCATATATCTCTATTAATCCGCCGTAAATGGTCAGCTGAAAGCTACTTTGATCGGAAGCTGCACTCAGGGCTGAGCAGAAGTTGGATCTGGGCTCGGGGACGTCGCCAATTGCAAGTACGGCTGACCAAATTTGAGTAGCAATGTCGAAAACTTGGATCAGAGACATGTCCCTCTGTTGAGTGCTGCGATGATCTATGAAACCGCCGATGGAAATTAGGACGCCTCTTTCACCAAAAGGGACAAATTGTGTGGCTGGTCCATTGAAGTAAGGGATATGGGTAGTAAGGTTAGTCCAGGCAGGATGTACCTCATCGGTAGTGTCAAATACGGCCAAGCTATTCTCTTTCCTTTCAAACATCCCTCCTGCGATGAAGTATTGGCTTTGATTTTCATTTGCGATATTGGCAAGCATTGCATTGTATGTGTCGAGTGTCCCATAAGCACCGCCTGAGATTGTTTGAGATGACCAAAAATCATTCTGAACATCGTATGTTATGATCTGATTTCGACTGCTGACGTTATACTTGGGAAAGCTTTCAAGAGAATACAAGGTCTTCTGGTCGTTAGAAGCCCATAACGCACCAATACCCACATCTCTTCTCGTTGGAAGAGATGTCGAACGAACACTTTCAATGGCTGATATGGACCTTCCAACGGAGAATGGCGTACTAAGATTGAGCCACTGAAGCTTCTGCACTATATAATGTCAGTGAATCGGAGATGGAGGCCTGCTAATGCTGACCAGGCACCAAGTCAGGCGACTCATTGTTCGAAGGTATCGCAACAGGACAATAGATACGGTTTCCAACAAGAATAGCTAGAATATCAGCATTTTTGCTTCTAGTATGTTCTCTAGAAGCTCACGTCGACCAGTAAGAGACCAACACTGGTCACTTGCGAACGTCAATGTATGGAGAAAGAAAAAAATGGTTGCCGTTACTGAGATCATGTTTGGTGCACCAGATTTATTTGTGAAGATCTGAAAGTGAGATCCAAGAGAAGAGCAGGCATGGCTGCCGTCGTTGAGTCGAAATGTGTATGAAGTGGAGAGCGGAGCATATGCCTTTGTAGGATTTTGGTTGCATATTGTTTAAGGCTGATGATCTATTGGTGAATAGCTTGTGTAAATCATTGAGGCGCTTCTTAAGAAACATGCATAGTATGCCCGAGCGGGCATCTAAGCAGCGATCGAGTCAATTGGAAACTCCCATGTAATCATGCAGGTAGAGATTGTCTGGCCAAGTATGCAGCTAGGGTTGCTCATCATCACGACCATGCGTAAGAAGGCGCTGTTAGTCCAGGATGTTACAGAGACGGTAAGACAATATCAGCTTCGCCATAGGAGGCGCAGAGCTTTCTGTTCTTCCGTCAGGTAACGTTGCATTTCCTTACTGCAGGCAAACAAGAACACGCCGTTTGCATCGGTGAACAGCCATGAACTGGGGCATATAGTACTCAACCCTAAGCCTTCCAAACAAGATGTATTTCAAAAATGGTGGCAAAGATACCCGTACCGGCATTGCCTCCTTTGATTATTAATATCGTTATGTTCCTATCTTTATACCGGCCGTAACCACTCCTTACGCCGCCAGTCGACAGCGCTGTGCTAGTTCATGAATCACGAAGAATAGAATATGCGAATAGGTCCCGATGCTGTTCATCATAGGCATTAAGAGTCCAGACTGCCAATTGCTGTCTCGACGTCTCTGACTACCTCTTCATCCACAACATCAACCTTCTGCGCGTCCCTACCCCCGCCAAAATCGAACCACTCCGTTCCCCCTTCGTTGTCAGCTCTCCGACCTTGGAATGCCCGATGCAGCCCCATTTCCACACGCCGCATATCGCCCACCCTCCATGTCCGAACAAGGCGGAGCGGGTATGGATTTCCCGTCTGCAGCGTGCGCAGACGCACGTCAGGATCAAGGCTCATACCTATCTTAAGGAAAGGATGACTGGACATTCGAATCAGGTAGACAAAGCCCTCAGCATGTGGATTCGCCTGCTCACGCCGGACATTTTCCAGATCCTTCTCAATCGGCGGGTCTAAAGGAGCAGACGGAGCAACCACATTTGTTGCAACCGTGCCATGGTTCTCCACGTCGTCGATCAAATCCTCAAATATTTGGTATGATGGATGTTCTGCACTGACATGGCGCAGCGTGGGTATATAAGGCGGTCGGGGAACTTCCAGCCTGCGTACTCGATTGCGAAACGCTGCGCTAGGATTGACAGGCCTCCAATCGAACCAGTGATCGAAGCCTGTCTGCAGACGTACTACCACCTCCATTGGAATAGGTAGTTGTCCATTAATTACGGGACCGTGGCCGAGATGCCGCCTACCAACTCCCACGGTGACGAAATGACCTGGACCGCCGTGCCCGTTGCAGAGAAACCAGATGTACGCTGTGACGCGCGGGTTGTCAACGTCGGCTTCAAATTGCGCGCGGACCTTGACGTGGGGCATGTTCTTTGGGAAACCCCATATGTACTGAGGGGATAGGTAGTGCCAGTGATTAGGTGCTCTGTCGCTTGTTCTGGCTGCGAAGCCTTCATTTCCGACCCTGACGATGTAGTGAGCCCTCGCCATGATCTGGCGCGAGATGTGTCAGAGCACGGCAGGCCTCAACGTCTGAGAAGACTTTTGTAGCTGAAGAGGCCATCTTAAGCGGGCTGATGGGACCGCAAGGCTGTAATGATTAGATATTGGTCATGACAAAGCGAAATGTCAAAGCCCGAATTAGGCAGCAATCGCTAACGAAAGAAAACAGCAAGCGATCTTGAGATCTCGCGGGCGAATATGATGGTGTGATGCCACCAAGTGTGGCTGAAGGTACTCTGTAGGCACCCGCTTTTGGGGGCCATCATGGGCCTCTCTGCCAATGACCTGATCACGAAATGCTATTTAAGGGATACTCGAAAATACCTGGAGAAGCGCTTTGCTAGACTTGGTAACCCTGCTATTGATAAGTGATGAGGTACATCAAAAGCCAACACCCTGGGAGCAGAAGCTGGGTTCATCCGCTCCTCTCTGCTGCAGAGTTTTTCTCACCGTCGACTTTCGACAGTAGCAATTGAGATATAGAACAAAAATGCAAATTTGAACTGATGTCCAACAAGGATCTGTTGAAAGTTGTAGTTCGCAAGGCCTTGTGATTGCACATCGGTCTTACGGCCGCGTTCGCAGCGAAATCTTGGTAAATCTCACTCATTCCTCACTCCCCAATTGATGTGCAGAGAAACCTCCAGGTACTCTTCTTTATGGTGTCCACCTCTTTCAATGCTCTGACAGCTTCAAATCCATACTAGCTCGAGCCCAAGAACCCTCCCTCTCCGACTCTTTCCATGGCCTTCACACTGAGTACTCTCTTGATCATGTCACCACCTTTGACAGAAATTACGACCTCGAATTCCCCGATGGCTTTCACCCTGTCCACTTCCACACCGCCTCCTCCCTTCGCTGGTAATATCTCGACATTCTCAGCCCCTAGAATAATCTTTTTGCCCTCTTCATGCTCTATGAGTAATGCCTTGACAGATTGTGCTACGTCGCCCGGGGAGACAGAGCCGAAGATCGGCTGCAGAGCTGGTTTTATGGGCGACTGCGAAGCCACCCCAGAAGCAGGGCTGACTGCTGTCTCGGATGATTCGCTTGTTTGTGGCTCGGAAGCAGACGCTTTAGGGGCATTGATCGAAAGTGGTGATGAGGGACTTGAGGGTGCTTTTATCGGCGCGCGATGGAATACAAGCTGGGGTGGGAGGAAGGCGGAGAGAATCTCTGTAGCTCGTTGCGGCTAAACGTAGCACATATCAGCAAGCCAACATTACCATAGTAACAAGACATCGGAGACATACGTCAATAGGCGGTGGTTTAGGAATAGCAATCTTTTGGGCTTGCTTTTTGACGGCTTCGACCACAACTTCTTTCTGAAAGCCAAAATCGCGCTCCGCCACAACATCGCGAGGCTTGAGCTCGCTGCACTGGGTAGTAGCGTACTGGGCGATTTGACGTGGGAGCCATTTGCTTCGGAATAGCCCAGGCGCTACAGGGACAATCGTACCTATTTTATCAAGGAGGTCAGCGGCTGTTCGCTGAAACATGAAACTGAATAACCTTTGCGTCCGTAGCTGTCAACATCCTTAAGGAGCCGCACATTTATCGTAGTCCGTTTTTTGACTATTTTCTTCTTTCCGCGCCATTGGCCTTGTATCGGACCCGCGAAAAGTGCGTAATGGTCCTCTAGGGAACGACTGAGGCACGAGAGGCATAATGGTCTTCTAGAAAGTATAGACAGACTTGTCATTGTTTGTGAGCACATGTGAGAAACTTTTGAGTCTTCTCAAGCTTTCATTCTTAGTTTACTCCCGTCGCGTCCGAAAGCAGAGCGATATGCCAAGCAATTTAGGGCTGAATACAGAGCTCTCTCAACCTTACCTCCTCCTCATGTTATGGATTGTCACCTGATGCATGGGTACTTGATCTTGCCTCAGCTCCATGGTCTGCACCTCCAATTTCCAATTTGTGGTAGTACATCCCGACTCTCTGACTCTATTTCCTAATTGAACCCGAAGTTGCAAAGCAAAGGGTTTGTAAGGCAGACCACAGAGTTGCCTGCCCACCGTCTTGCCGCTTCGTTTTAAGCATGCATCTCAGACAAGAGCTGTCAACACAAGAGGCACCCCGCTGTGTAGTATCGTACCTTTGACGGCTCTGCATGCTTCTTTATCAAGTTCTTGAAGCACGGGAAGCAAGGCCTGTCAGCCTATGAAGCCCAGCTAGCATTGTTCAGGCTCGACATCGGTTTCTCCAGCCGCCTTGATGGATAGGCTTACCTTCAAAGTCTCCGTTGGACTGCAAGTAATTCTCTCAATTTCACCGGCAAAACTCGATGTCTGAACTCGAAAGACGACGCGCACACTAGACTCTAAGGTTGCGTTGATTCAATCTGGCTAATCTGCGAAAGAAACCGAACGTGTGGGTGAAGATGTCTAGATAAAAATGTCCCTCATCATTACCTCGTGATTTGAATTTGAGCCAACACCAGCCGATACTTGCACTCCAGCTCAACCCCATTACACCTGCATCCCTATTCAACTCTGAAAATGAGTGTTTCCTCCCCTTCTATACAATTACACCGCCCAAACAACCCCACACTCCCATGTTCCCAATTCCATTACTCCCTCCACCACCCTCTCAACAAGAATCCCCAAACCCCTTCTGGCAATTCGGCGCACAATGCTGTGGCGTACTTCCACTACAACCCCAATCAGCTTCCTATGACTCAAAAAAAGAATGATCGTTGAAGTTCAATACGTACCACCAACCTATACTACTGCAGCAATTTCCCGCTGAGCAACGTTGCCCTGTGGTCCCACCGCACCTTCCATCTTGCGAGATGACGAGTGGCGGGGTGGGGGGACAATATCCGAAGGCGGAATTGCAGCCGGGACCGCAGTAATCGTTGGTGGAGCCGCTGTAAGGTAGATATCAGTAAGTCAGGTGCAACGATGAGAGGTGAGGACAGAAGGCGGCGACGGCGAGAGGTGGAGAGGGGAAAATGGAAAGCAACAGGACAAGAAAACTGAAGAAATGAACGGCTTACCAGTAACCATACTGGCTACAGCACAGACCGCCGCCACAGGCCTTGTTAGGGCCACAGGAACCCTGGTTGGGCTGGTTGGTGCAGGTGCCATAATTTGGCTGGCAGCCATTGGCGTCGCAGTGTTCAGCGGTTGTGCCACTGTAGAGGCTTTGGTCAGCATGCTCGACAATACTCAACGATTTCTCATCTTTAAAAAGTCATGAAACGATGGGAAAGAGGGCAGCGGATAGAGAAAAGGTAATGCAAGGGACGGGGTGGTGTGGTGTACCAGTAACCCCATTTGCTGCAACATGTGCCCGCAGGGCAAGTCAAGCCATTATGAGTGGGTCCGCAATCTCCATTCGTGCTGACTTCGCGGGTGTCCAATGTGCCATTTGCGGTACCATTGGAGGGTGGTAGGGGGGTAGGCGACGGCCGCAAGGCCTAGAGCTGGGAAAAGGAGGAAATTTGTGATATGCATTTTGTTTTTGAAAGGAGATAGCGTTGAAGATGAAAAGTCTATTTGTTGATTGTGAAATTTGCTGATCTGTGAGTATCTAGGTGTGTTTTTGCTTTGAGGAATTTGGGGATTATTCTAGGGTTTTTAATAGTCGTAGTGGTTTTCCAGCTGGTGGGCATATCGTCAGGCCACGCGAAATGGCTTGCGCTGCGCCAGGAACCCACGAGGCTGGGCGGTGCACGATACGAGAACATACGACAAAATGTCACGATTTGGAGTGAGTGTAGTGGACAGCAGATATACATGATCTAAATACGTGCGCCGAGTGGATTGGGCTACTTGAAGACTGTTTGGCGTTGCCCCAGATCATGTATGTTGCAGCCCTACCCAGACTTGTCGTTGTCACGTTCATTCTGAAAATAGCAGCAAAAACGAAGCAAGATTTCTACGCAAGACTGCGAGCGTAGTGTTTAATTGTATGCAAGTGTGAGTTAATGGTGCATTCGCACACTATGACTGCTCTAACAATAATGCTCGTTGCGCAAGGTCGTAAAAGCGTTCTCTGTTCGGTCTAAAGAGACCAGATCAAAAGTATCCAATGAGCAATTTGTATATATAACCTCACTAGTACGACAGAATTCATGAAAGCAGAACACGCAGCCTTTCATTCTGGCATGGAGGATGTTAGCATGTCTACCGTCGTCAGAGCCAGCTTCATTCGTGTGCCAGATATATGTTGTCAGAATCTATCCTTGGTTAATACTGTGCGATCTCTCCATTCGAGACCCAGCAGCCCACACCTTACACAGACGATCCGTAGATCAGCCACCAAGTGATCCATGCGAGTGACAACAAGCCTGTTCTGGCAGTAAGATGCATTTCGTCTGGTCCTTACCACCACCAGGCCCCTCGCATCATTCCTCAGTCTCACAACATACGGAGCAATCCGGTCATCTCATTCGTAGGCCACTCCTAAATCATCCTGCATACATGAAACAAGCTGAAATGGAACAAGGTGAATCCCATGGGGTAGATCTGACAGCGAACCCTCCACATTCGAGCTTTAGGATCGGATGCCCATGGGTACGGACTCAGCCTTTTTGAATCCGACTAGTAGTGGCCTGATCAGAGATCAGCGCACGTGGCATCCAGATACGTACCGCTCACAAGCAGATGGTAAGGCTTGCACCACCTTATGGGATACGAGGTTTTCATGTTATGCATTTCTTATGTGTGTGACTAGAGGATACTGATATAGTGTGCTAATTTGTAACAAACACAGAATGTTCATAACCATATGCTCTGACTTATAATCACCCGTCAATTTGGTTTTGATAGGGACAGAATAGGGCACGATTATTGATGTGAAGATTACGGAGCTTTCGTCTCAAGGGGAGAGGAATGACACAAGGGTGAATTTGACCTTGGGTGGCAGTGGTAGTATTTCGTCGTTAACTCAACGATGTGACGCTTCGGCACTTCTTGGCTGAATGGTACAATCATTAGAAGAACCTGAGATAGACGTTCCCCATCTATTCCTGGGCTAAGTATTTCGACCGACTATCCAGCAGGGAGGACTCACGATCCGAGCAATCATCGAACCCCTGGATGTCCTCCCTACTCTCACCTAGACGTCCCATCAGGCATCTCGACGCTCTCATTCTTTCCGTCCACAATTGGCGGACCTTCTGGAACTATGAAATCAAAACGACTTCCAGTCGCCCAGAAGAACAGCCCAATACTACTAGCCTGCCCTACGATACAACTCAAATTAGCACACATACCCACTACTAATAACCTACCACTCAACTCGGGTTCCCATCCTTTCTCGCCCACTCTACCCCTCCCAAAGCCTTCAGAACAAACTACAATTCAACAAAGAATAACAATCAAACTCACCAACAGCACCCCACCCCCCGAACCCCTGGCTCTCCACACACCCAAAACTAAGCAACTGCCCGGCCCTCCAGATATCCTCATAACTAACCACATCCCTTGGCGGATAAATCAGCTCCGGATCCGCGCCCGGCAGGCCCGCGCCGCCTTCTCCACCTCCTCCCCCCAGAAGAACTCCAGCATCACCAGCGCAAAGGTGCAAGATCCCGAAACCCACCTCCTGGGGCTAAACTGATTAGGCCAGCGTCCACCGGGTGTAGGATACGTTTCAGGCGCGAGGAACTCGAAGAGCGTGGGTCCGTAGTGGGCTTGCTCTGCGTCGCGGAGGTCGAGGAGGGCGGCGGCGCAGTTGGAGGGGTTGAATTGCAGGGTGCGTGGGATCCAGAGGGGGGAGGAGGTGCAGTGGTAAGGTGGGTAGGAGAGGGGGGTGGGGGTGGTGGTGGTGTTTAAGTTGGAGGAGGGGGGCTGTGTAGGGGAAGAAGGGAGGGGGGAGAGGAGGGTGGTGGTGGCGAGGGTGAGAAAGAGGGGAAGGAGGATGAGGAAGTAGGAGGTAGGGAGGGTGGGGAGTAGTGACATGATATTGACTGCTGGGGGTGGTTTTGAAGAGAAGAACGTGTAAGTATCGATGATATCCTGGGATTGTGTAGTCAGAAGATCATTGTTTCTCCCTCATCGCGTGTCGCTAGCGCTGGAGTACGTGCGCTTCGATGGCGCAAAAGGGGAACTGCATGTCTCTTCCTGATTAAAGTGCCGGGAGAGGTCAGAGCTTCTGGACGGACCGTCTTTTCCGTTCTTCCCGAGTGGCTTCTCTTGTTGGACGGCATCGAGAATGATCAATGTGATCCAGATTCTCCAACAAGGAATCGATAAGGCAAGTTATGCCACAGTCGGGGAATTTGATGGAAAACCGTTAGCAGTAGGTGAAATACCAGCCAAAATTGATCCGTAGCCAATACAGGCAAACATGGGTAGACAGGCGTAAACACAGCCACGATTTGAAGCTGCAGTGAACATCGTGATAATTACCTGAAGCTCGTGACAGTATGTGTTGTACTATGTGCTTCCAAGGCGTAGAAATGGGAGAAAAGAACATCTTGTCAAGCTTCTAATTCTCTGTCAACGAAAGTACGTAAGTAGGAAGGAATAGATATATTATTTTCTCTAGCCTTCCTAGCGCCAAGTAACAAAATCAGCCTCCCATTTTTAGTCCCGTCTTTGTACGTTATTCTTCAAGCTATCGGCTTCTGGCTTGCTACTCAAATGCTTTGGGCACAAGTCCATCACTTGGGGATGGCCTCGTTCCCCACTTGCTCCTTACTCTCAAGCACCGCTGTTGGGTTATCCTGGTCGTCAGTGCTGAGTTTGATCGCATCTTCCTGATCAAGGCGTCCAGGAACTTCAGGCTTGCTTGTAGGCTGCTCGTCGATGATGCTCTTTTCGGTCTTTGTCTCGACAGCTTCAGGACTCTGAGCCTTGCCGATCGTTGGTGACGAGACAATCGGGGTGTTAGGTTCTATACTTAGTGGATTGCGCTCAGCTTCAACTATCGGGGTTGGCAGATCCGAAGTTGGTACTTCAGGGGACATTGGCTTGCCACTAAGCTGACCACGATCAACCGGTGGGGCAGCTTTCGATCCTGTCATTGACTGGGCCAATTGTATCCTGCCGTCCTCATCGGTCTGCCAGATCGTGACTGGCTGACATATGCTCCACGTTGGTGCAGCCTGCTTCGTTTGTGCCGCAGCCTCACCTACTGGAGCGGCAGGTTTCCGCTTTGCTGGCCCCTTAGCGCGACCTTTCCTTGCATCCTCAAGGGGTGCTTTCTCCTCTTCCAATTGAGGCTCTTTCTCCTGTATCTTGGGAGCTGATGGACCGATCTTCAACCTAGAATTTAAATCTGCGAGGAAGCCACCTTGGAGTGCGCCGAACTTTCCAGCGGCCTTAGCAGGAACGGCAGGCTTTGGTTTGGGAGCACTAGAAGCTCCCAAGCCCTTATCGCTGCCTTCACTGCCTATTGAAGAGGCTGAGGTGACTTTCGACAATGGGGTCGTGTCTGTTGTGTCTGAAGTTTTTGCAGGTCTAGCTGGCACCTGCGGCTTTGCGCTCTCTATAGGCGCGGGCTTGCGGTCGTCTGTTGGTGAGGTAGATTGTGATAGCTTAGATGGAGCGATTGGAACCTTCGCGTCTGCCGGTGGTACCTGATGAAGCCGTTTTGGCGGACGAGCGGGAATAGCAGGCTGTTGATTGGACGCCGAGGTAGGTGCAGCACCATCATCCTTTTTGGGTCTGGGAGGGATTGTTGGTTTCTCCGCTGCAATCGCGCCGGTTGCGGGCATTTCACGGCTTTGCTCTCCGGCAAGAATGCCTTCATTAGGGTTGCCGGATGTCTGCACGACAGCACCAGCCTCGAGCCCTTCGTCTGTTGGACTCTTGATGTCATTGACTGAGTTTCCCACAGTAGTTGTGAGCTCTGCGCTGTCCGGCGAGTCCTCCCAAATGTCTTTGCTCGGAAACCTCTGTGCCATCCCAGGTCTGTTCATCTCGTGACGAAGGTGCGGCTTGAATGACGACTTTGCCAAGCGCTCTTCCTTGGGCACGAGCTTAGCCTTCTCATCCTCACCGACCTCTCCTTTGCGGGCAGCTTCTTGCTGTGGGGTTTCGAATGCCACTCCCGCCGCTTTTGGTACCGAACCTATCGCTGTCACGGCAGGCTCTGGGGTATCAACGGTAGCGTGCAGTTGTAAGCTGTTCGGTGTATCTTCCCAAATATCTTTACTGGGAAAGCGTTTCATCTGTTCCCTCAGCTTGAGCCGTTGCGCGGCCGTGACATGTTTCTTTTTGCCGTCTTCCTCCGGAAATAGAGGCTCATATTCGTCTACGTCTTCTAGGGGTGTGTGCATATTTTCGCGCTCATCGTCATGCATGGTGAATTTATGAACACTGCCCGGTCGGCTTGTTGGCCGACTATTAGCAGCGCTCTCCGATCTGCTTGCAGGTTTGAACAGCGGATGGTTCTCGTACTCTGCGCCTACGTAATAGCTGCTGCCCCGACGTGATGCAGCAGGTGAGACTGCGGGCTGCATGAATTCCGCCCCTGGTGTTCTTGCCACCTCGTCTGCGGCTAGGATCGGTACATCGTAGCCACCGTCGTCTGCAAATTCGCCTGTTCCATCGACGTTACTTGCACGTAGTTCAAGATCTACACTAGAAGTACCATTTCCGTTACTTGTGTACTTACCATTTCGTACAGCAGACGGGGCGTCATGGGTGTCATCGTCCTCGGTCTCGCTATCCAAAGCATCCTCCGTCGAACCAGCTAGCGATTTATGACTTCGAATCTCCTGGATGGGTGACGCTGCGTCGGTGTCTACTGGAAAGCTTGATTTGCGCAGCGGGGACTCAGCATGAGCCTGCGAGCTCGCAGAGCGTATACGACCGAACGTCGCGGAATGGGGGGTGTTGATCCGAGATGAGTACTCTTCAGAAGTCTGATACCCGAAACGTTCATCCGTTGGTCCACTGTTTGCTAAAGTGGTTCCTAGCACAAACGTAAGCATGAACACTAGAAAGGTTGCAGACTATGAGGGGTTACGCGATGTGTTTCTGACCAGCTTGTTCAGGTCATCGCTACTCAAAGCCCATCCTCCTCGTCCTCCTCCAATACCAGGACCATACTCGCCATGTTCTTCTCGATCTAGAGCTTCCGGATGTTTGGAGTACCAATCCCGCTCGAATTGATCCGCAGACGGGACGCCATGACCATGTAAGCCGTAGCTGTCGGGCGGGAGAACTTCTCGGCCACTTGGTGTTCGGCGATGGTGTCTACCAGGTTTTGCTTGTCCTGAATTATGAAAGCCGATGCCCGCCGGCGACTGTTGAGGAAAAGGTGATGTGGACGGTGCTTGCACGTCCCCTGCGTCAGGTAACATCGGGACTCGCTGCCCAATCTCCGGAATCCCACGCTCTTCATCTTCCTCCACTTGCGCGGACCCGGGGCGTTCTGTGTCTGCGGAAGACGCCGTCTCCGTCCTGAAGCTAACTTTGGGTCTAAGCGAAGAATCTTGGGCCTCTTTCTCTCCTTTTGCGCTTCCAGACCGGCTAGGTACTTTCCCCAAACCAAGAGCGGCCACTTGACCCGAGTCAGTGCGAGTTACAGCAGCAACTCTTTGCTTCGCGTTGTCTTTTGAGAAGGAGGGTTTAGGAGCATGGAGCGGCAGATCCCCGGCGACGTTTCGTGTCTCTTGTGCTTCACTGGCGGTTTGTTCTTGTAGATTTGAAGTGGACTGAACACGCTCTATGATGTCTGCATACTCGTTTCCTTCCTCGCCAATCGAGGGTATTGACACACTTGGGGGTCTTTGTGGCAATTCAGCTTCTGAGGTGTTTCTACTAGAATTTTTGTAAAAGCTGCTCTTTTCTCTGGGAACTCTGCTTGGGGGCGGTTCGTTGAAAGGAGACCTAGGGAAGTTGTCTCGATCTGGTGACACAGAGCGCTCTGACGTTCGCCTGTTTGGCCTTGGAGGCACCTTTGGAATCTCCATGCTCGTGATGTCCGGGTGTTGATGGTGGGATCGAGCAGGTCGCGGAGGTACTTGAGGTATCGACATGCTTGGAGCAGAGGTGGGTTGCTTTGCAGAGCAAAATCAGGAAGTTCTATATTGTTGGATTAGCATTGGGTCAAATACGGAGAAGATTGATGTTGAATGCAGGCAATTGTTGAGCTGCGCTTCCTAGTTCTTTCTATGATCATAGCAGCGATATACACGCTTGTCCACAGTGATCTTACCCAAGAAGATCATTTGATCCATGGACCTAGGCATATGTGCCTTAGGGTAATTGTTCTGCAAACGGCATGGGAAATGAAATCCAAGTACTTACTTCGAGCAAGCAAGACAAATGGAATGTCTTGCAATGAGCAGCTGTAGCGCAGTGAACCGAGTATTTAGCTGCTCGGACTATTCAATTGGCGTGTGGGGGGCATATGCATGGACAAAATACCCTGCTTGCTGCGTGACCATCAATCGGCGATCGTCTAGAACTTGCGTCTTATTTTGATACGGCGACGACACCAATCGGCCAGTGTGTGGCACAGGCTTCGGGCTTAATAAGAGTGCTTGGATTGGTGTCCTCAGCGAATCAAATGGCTCAACCTTAAATCTGGTCCTTCGGAGTCTTGGCATTGCTACTGCTAGGAAAACGTCACAGGACGAGGGGAGCGTCGGCGCATGCACAAGAGGAGGAGGGCATTCCTTGTGTCTGGCCGTATACTGTGATCATCTAGGAGCTTCTCATTAGAATACCATCCTTTGGTGTAAGCGATGCCGAGTATTGGGCAATTCCTATGTACGGATGGAATATATTCATGACTGTTCTGTCGGAGTATTTAAGAAATCGACATATTGTTTCAAGGGTTGAAGGCTGGACTGACAGCATCCTCACATATTCTTAACCTTAATGCTTTGCTGTAAGCCCCACACACTCTCCAAGACCTTGGCGGAGGATCGATGCTTGGCTTGGATGCGGGATTGGTGATCGCTGGCATTGGAAGCTGACGCTCGTGGGGCATTATCTGCTATCAAGGCTACTGGTTTGACTTGCGTAAGGACCAGACCACGGATCGTAAGAAGTCATCTTTATTGTAAGCCATTTCGTCCAAGGAAACTATTCACGGACGCCAATTGACCCGCGGTCGGGCCCAGCAAAAGGTAAAGCTGTCGCTTGCAAGCATATACCCATAATCTATTAGTACAAAAAACCAGACTTTCAGGGGTTCCCCTAGGGTGTGGCCCTCCCTTATGACCTGTACGCCTGGGCGGCCAATTCCGTACGGAATAGCACCCGTCATTCGCCATCCCTCTTTCGTGTACTTGACGTGCCAGCTTCTTCTTTGCTTAGACAATCATTTGAGCAACTCCTTGTCCACCTAGCGTCTTGCTTCCTACAAAGCCTTGCCCCTTCAACCCAGCAATGAGGTAGCATATCGCTGCCAGTAGCAGCACCACCGCAGCTGCGATCAAACTTGTAGCATCTTTGATAAGGCTGAGCCATTGGACCAAGCTCATACCACCATAGATGGCGGCTCGCATGTAATTCGTAGTGAACATTCGGATGAAGCTATCGAATTTTGGTGAGGTCGGACAGATGCGCAGGAGTAAGGGGACTTCAACGAAGATTAATGTGAGGCCAGAGAGCCTGTGTTCCAATTTAGTTTGGTATTTTTGAAGATTCTTGGTGGAGGGAGTTATCTCACAAGCATATCAGGCCAAATATGAAGAGCACATTCACGTGTAGCAGATGTGATATCCCGAGGGCTATACAGAGAAGGATGCAGAGAACTCCGATCCTATTACTGCGAGTCAGCCGTTGTCTCGGTCTACATTCCATGCTTTCCAAGGCTAAGAAGTTCTTGCGGCTGACTTGTAGCAAGTAGAGATGGAACACAAACCATTGTCCGTAGATACCTGATAGGTGAAAGATTTAGCAAAAGATTGAACCACGCATTGAAAGATGACCTACTGAAGTTTCGCGATCTCAGCTCCTCTGCGACCGTCATATCTTCTCTCAGACTTCAAATATTTGAACGATCTTCTTTTTCAGATGTATGAAGACACTTTTCTGGCGCTGCGAGGTGCTTATGTGCTGTTGAGGCTCTCCTTTCTGCTGCTCTCAGAAGTTCATTATAAGGGATCACAAAGCTGCAGACGGCAGGCAATCGGTACTTGAGGCGTGAGGAGCGTGTCGAAAATGCTCAAAGAACCGTCTTAATTGTTGAGATTGGCTTCGCAAAGATGTCTGGAATTTGGGTAAAAAGCTGACAGCAAAACGCTCAGATTACGCTAACCTCAATAGTACATATTAGTCATCATTGAATGTCTTTTTACGTCCAGCATCTATCATTGCGTACTTTATCATATACAGTGGAAAAGCAGTTATCAATACTGATTTCTACTGTTGCCTGAGTGGCACTCTTCATGTAGCCTAACTGCCGCGTCATCAATTCGTCTCTATTTGTACACTCGACCAACGGAAGAGCCGCTTATTTTGGTGCCTGATTCGTTCTAGAAAGAACGCATGATGATGGGTGCTCGGCTCGCGTCTACAACGATCGACTAGGCATAGTTGCTATGTATTTTCGGCTTCTTGCGTCCTGCTGGATCTCCACTTCATGTACAATGTTTCGCCGCATGCTACCATGACCAACGCCATCACGCCACCCTCTATCAGGAGCCCTGCTCATTTCTTCTCCTCCGAGTCGCACACATCTTTCCTAGCCATAAAGCAATCTAAAAACATCATTGAAGACATAGTAGCTGCCACTGCCATCGGGCAAAATCTGGAAGGTCTGCGCGTAGTTCTGAGGATGTTCGCTGTCGTCGATCTGTGTTGATGAATCCAATATCAGCCATACTCAGTAGCATGATGTCTTTGATAGTAATTACCACTAGCTGCCCTGTGACCATCACTAAGATCCCTCCGGAGTCATTTGAAGGTTGTGCATCACTCGTGACAATTTTGTGCTGTGTCGATTTAAAAGGCAGTGACTGCAGGCGATTAGCTTCGTTTTTCGATGTGAGGGCCTTCCGCTGGACTGACTGTGAGCTTGTCGATGATGCTGGCGACCCCTTGAACTTGGTTCGTCTCAAATGTGAGCATGGAATTTTCGCGCTGTAACAATGGTACAATGCATTAGCTATGCCTAACACTCTTGAATTGCCCATGTTACAGCCACATACATAGAGCCCAGCTAGATTTTGTCGACCCGCATCGAATGTTTGGTAGTAGAATTGAGTGAATTGAGCTGCAGGTAGCCGCTTAGCAATGTTTCAAGGATTTCCAAAGCTCATAGGGCATGGGCATCGAATGCGATTCGCAGGCTTAGAAATGGAACATACTGGCGACTGAGTTGAAGTCTGCACGGCTGTCAGCAAAGAGTCATCAGGATTGGTCTGCAGAGGCACGTATGAGGGCTTCATGCAGACAAAGCAGCTGACATACCTGCCATACTTGGCAATACGAGTCCGTTCCAGCGATAAAAGTGTGCAAAAGGTGGTCAGTGTAGGTAAGGAAGGAACGTAGCGGGGCTCTGCGTGACGAAAAGGCAAAGACGGTCTCTTTCCGCACTTTCGCCTAGGCCAAAATTATCTCTCGTGGACTTTACTTTGATGTCACTCGCAGTCAGAGAACACATGAATAACGCGACCACCTGGTAAGCGAGTCCCTTCTCACATGTTGCTCCTCTGATGAGTGCTCAATGCTTCAATCTTTCATGATGACTAGAATATAAACAATAACTCCTGATCGTAAATGATGTATCAAATCAATTATCAAGCTCAACAGTCTGAAACATTCTCTTTCTGCATCTACATCTATACAACAAGATAAATTGAGATCAAGCTGACTTGAGCACAGAAACGCCCATCAGGGGTCCGATAAGCAAGTCGAACCGGTTTGATGCCATAGAATCTCATCCGAGCAGGTTAGTCTTGTTGTCGATCATACGACGTATTCTATCAAATTCACTCGGCTCGATCTATTAGAATGCTCTTGAGACCCTTTTGATAATGAGGGGAATCCAATGTGCAACAAATATTCGAAGTAGACGATCATGAACGCGCATTGGCCTCGACATAAATTGAATTGATGCGGAAATCAGCTGAGTCCTACACGCTGTCTACCTTATGGTCTGCTACCTCTCTTATACTCAATCACTTGCGTCTTTCATCTAATCGTGCCTTGTTCTTCTTACATTTGGTGGAAATTATGTCTAATTGATTGCATTAGATATGAGTCTCTGTGTTTCATTAGTCTGCTTGTAAACCCGGCATTGAGTCGATGCCTCCAACGCCTTCCCAAAACTCTTCAAAATCTATCTTCTGATCGCTGAATTCTTCGCGAATCTTATCAATAGCTTTCTGCCGTCTGTCCACTGTAAAATCACCGGCCTGGCTAGTCTCGCTTTGTAAAACCTCAATAACTCTAAAGAACAAATTCTCTTTGCCCAAGGCAGTCAATGTATCCTTCACGCCTTGTAAATACTTCGAGTTCTGAGTCTCCAGCCCATCTTCATGCTCCCTCCATACCTCCCAGATCAACCATCCACACCGTTCCGTGAAAACAAACACGCCAGTCTTGAAATCCTCAAACTTATTAGTCCCCTCCTCCACAAGCGCATGCGCCTCAATCATGCCAGAAAAGTAGAGATCCCAGCTCTTATCCAGCATCTGATACGCCGTTTTCTCCTTAACACACCGCTGCTCCACAGCCGGCAGCACTCTCTCGTTCACCAACTTCCCCTCCAAACCTTCTGCCAAAACTTCCTCTATAGCGTTCACCGTCTCCTCACCTCCGACCTTTTCCCGGTAATACACCTCCCGATCCCACTTCCTACTCCTCCGAACCACAAGCTCAACATCAGCAAACGTGACCGCCCTCCGCCACGCCACCGGAGATGCATTCACCTCTCTTCCGAACAGCCCACTACCCAGGAAGAAATCCAAGGGCCACATCCCAATGAATCTCAGCAGTATGAAATCCCCCAAGAACATCATCGTCCGCTCGAATCCGACGCCCAGCAAGCCCAAGGCGGGGATGCGGTGCACATCAAGTTTATGAGGGGAATCATAGCCGGCTGCGGCAGTCAGGATGGAGAGGTAGGTCGGTAGGGCGACGTAGATGCGGTAGAGGACTACGATGCTGAGGAAGATGTTGAGAAGGAGGGGAACGGAGAAGAGACGGCGTTTGAATGCGCGGGGGTGGTTGTCGAGGGAGGTGATGTAGATGTGGTCGGAGGGGAGATTGGTGAGGAAGGGTTGGAGATGATCAGGGGCTTTGGTGAAGGGGCGGGGGATGTCATTTGAGGACGAGGTGGAGGTTGGAGAGGTAGATGGCTTGGTGTTGGATTTGCGTTTGGAGGGTTTGGGCATTTTGCCCAACTTCAAGGTCTAGAGCCTTATGAAGGATGCATTTAAATATTTATAGTGGACTGATAGGTGTGGGTTCACGTCATTCGTTGACGCCCTGAATCGGCGCGAGTCGCGTCAAATTTCAGCCCTACGACATGAAGAAGACATCACCCTCGTGATGTAATCTCTTCGCTTCATAGAACGAAGTCTTCTTCATTCGCCTCGTCCTGAATCTCACTCATTTCTAGGAACCTAGCCAGATCGCCCATTTGCTCACAATGGCCGCTGTCGATCTTCCTGCAAAGGTCGATAATACTCCTGGTGCCATAATTTTCATAGGCTACATCCTAGCTGCACTGATTCTGACCGCTCTCTTATGCCGTGATTTGATACATGAATATCTCTATCTTCCCAAGAAGCTCAGAAACAATGAAAAGTTCCACCGAAATTTCCAAGCATTTGCCGCCTTGGCTATGCTGAGCTTTGCCCTCTTATCGTACAATATGCTAGATTTTCTGCTCGAATCATATGAAGCATGGGCAAAAGTGCACGGCGTGGAGGTTCCAAGTCAATTTTATGGGTCGGGAGGGTTATTGGGCCACAGTCAACAACGGGTTTCTTTACACATTTGGAATTGGTTGACGGGCTCCACGCTGTTCACCGACTTTGCCAGGGGATTTTGCGAGTCTAATGAGCATTTCTGGTGGACTCAACAGGTGATGCTAGTGGTAGCGGCTTTCAATCTCTATCTGAGCGCTGAAGGTACATTTTTCCTAACAAACTTACTGGGTGTACTGACTTGGTGACATCAGGTCCAAAAAGGCACATCAAGAATCTTTGGGCATTTGCTATCATCTCACAGATTCTGCCGGTCTCATTTGCGCAGAACCTCTTCTTCCTCGCTCTTCTAATGAAGCCTAAGAATGCTGGCAAAACCCTTATTTGGACCCCAAACTTTGCCCTTCAAGTAGGGCCATTGCTCGCTTTTTTCGTGATACTGTCCATGGCTCCGTACACCATCGGAACACAATACTTCACAACCGTCAGAGTAGCCATTCGGCTATCTTTGTTTTGGCCAATCCTCTTGGGTACCATGCTGCCGAAGAGCTATGGCCATCGGCTATCAGAGCAAAGGATCCGGCCATACAACATCAATCTGGCAGCCATACTAGGCGCCTGCTCGGTCTGTCTAGTTATTGTCCAATCCTTGATCACTTTGACTTTCAGCGGGTTCGATGTTCACAGATTAGTTACATCGATCAACGATAACCCAGCTATCAGGGCCCTTGGATATGATTACCCATTGAGTCTCTTGAGCGCTTTTACCTGGTACTCTCTGCAAGAGAATGTGTCAAAGTAGTGTCTTTCAACTATTGGACTCTTATGATTCCCCGTCATAGGTGCCAGAGTAAACTCACAAATTATCTCTCGTCAGTTTAGATAATCATTGACGGGAAAGCTATTCTGGAAAGCTATTCTGGAAAGGAACATTTGACGGTGGCCTTCAGTGTTCGAATCCAATGTTAGGTATATGATCTCGAACAGGCAAAGCGTGTGGAATCCCGCCAGTGAAATCCCGCCATCATAGGATGACGGTGGTGGTGAAATTGCCTTTGGAGGACAGCGAAAAAAGGATCATACGATTCAATTACGTGGGACAAGTGTTTTCAAGTGATGCCTCAAAAGATGTGCTTGTTGGTGTGGCCGTAAAGCATCTTCACGATCGATTTGTCACTGTTCGTTGCCCTAGGTTCATTTTACAGCATTTCCATTCGGTTGCAATGAAAACGCAAGGTTTGAATCGTGATAAAGGGATGGAATGGCTCCACGTCCGAGTCAGACAGACAGCTCTCACAAAGAAGATGACTTGTCATGGAATCTAGTCTTTCAACAGCTGTGGCTTGTGACCTGGTTGTACAACATTTCAATCACTTTAGGGGCAGACGAGCGTCAGCATCACCGAATTGTTGGGAACGTGCAGTTGTACGACCTTACGGTGGTTGTGCATGCGATGTCACGACACAGATATTGTCTTAATCATGTCCAAAAAGCGCTCATGTCTTCGATACTCTTCAGCTTCTACTTTCTCTCCATCACCATCATCACTGTCACCATACAACAAATCGCCGAAACTTGCTTATACTTACAATCTGACCACTTTATCACTTCCCAAGAGGCATCTCATCATGTCTGACAGCCAACCCGACGTTTCTGACCTCACCTACGACCCCAACGCCGTCCCTTGGCGACCCCCACTCCCACAACGCCAACTTGACCAATTTTCTCGCAACCATCCACCCGATAATCGTCCACTCCTTGAACGAGTCCAGGACAACTCTTATGAGCTCTGGTACCTAGAGCAACATCCACACATGCAAGTGCACATCAACCGTCTTCGTAACGAACACGACCCGCAGCGACGAGTCGAGCGTGAACTAGCCTTTGAGCAACAACGAAGTAAAGATTTACAAAACTTCTTTGAGGCAGGTGTAGCCGAGTTAGAGTGCCTACGACAACTGGAAGAAGAACAGACTGCGTATCAGAGACAGCAGCTGAGAAAGGAAGCACGGCTGAATGTGCAGATGGCAGAGCTTGAGAGCTTGCCTCATCCTCCTCGCCGGAGCCAGAGCATCGGAAACTACCACTCACGTGAAAGTCCTATGGGTGAGAACGGTAGTACAAGACACCGAGCCTCAAGCGGCCATGCATCTCAACGTGGTAGCGACATGGACGGGATTGGCGGTGGTGATCACCGAGCTCTGAGCCGCCACGGCTCTTGCTCAACTTCACGCGTACAGGGACCTACTGACCCCCAACAAATTGCTGATCTCCTGGACCATTTCCGCCCGCTTGGAGGATTTTGGAATACGCGCTGACTACTGGTGATATGGCTTCCCTTTCGATCCAGATTGCATGCATTGATCGCTTGGCACGTGTGTTAAAGTTTGTATTGCTAGTGGCAGGGATCAGGAGAGGCAAAGAACCGTGTCCAGTCTGCGCAAGATACATAGTCTATAGCATGCAAATTCTTCCCACGTCATGACCTTTTCAGGCTGCTGGTCATCAATCAACGTTTTCATTGTATCATCTGCTGAGATAGAAATGTCAGGAGAATCTTTCAAGTCATAGCAGAGTACGCTGTTCAGACGCATTCATGAGTATCAAGCGAAGAGCTCCATCACTCACTACCATCAAACACCATCAAAACATCCCCCGAATAGTCCAGTCAACATTCACTCCACCTTGGAAATTCCAACCTTCTCATATTCTCGTTCCATTATCCGCATCAACGACAAACCATACCATGCATAGCCAAGACACAGCTCGACTTCTTGTATTCTAGGGAAAGCATCCATAATCTACTGACCCCCTTAGCCGATCTATTAAGGCTCCTGTATCTCACGCGGCAGCCAAACAAATTCCCCATTTCCACACGCAAACCATGACATTCATTGAACAAAACGACATTTCTTAGTTCTGAGTACCTCATGATCTCTCGCGTCCCGGACCCACCAACAACTCGTAGAACGTTTGAAAACTCCCGCGTCACGACAGTGGAAGATGCGAGAACACGCTCCCACTCGCGTATTAAAATGGATGATCATACTTGAAGACTTCAAATCTGTACATGTAAGAGAACTGCCGGCATTTGGTACTAGGACAGGTGCTTCTTGACTGTTGTCGCTTTTCGTAACAACAGGAGCCCGCCGCTGAGGGGTTCCGCGTGTACAGCAGTCAATCTCCCAATTCTTTCAATCAAGACGAATACACGATGACAATTTAAAGGCTTCAATACAATTGTCTGTGCTGTCCATCATGCTCCTTATTCGGACATGGTTAGGATAGACCTTATACCCCTGGATTTTGTTCAGCTGACCGGGATAGGATTTCAATAAATACACCTGACTACCATCATAGATAAAGCATACAGAGACTGTTTCTCTCCCAGGTTGCTTGAATGTAAGAATGCTATTCCTTTCCATAGGCGCCGCTTCTCTATGTCTTCAGCTCTTTCCACCCATATCCAGGTCGAGTATGTACCAACTCAAGCCATTCACAATCATGTATATACAACACACCGCAATGCCGCAACAAGGGGTATTCAAAATGACAAGTCAACCACGCTCCAACGCTATGTATCTTCCTCAGGTTGAGTCAAAGTACCATGAGCCTCCCAATTATCCAAAAGCTTTGCGATCCTCTTGAAAGAGACCGGCTTCGTGAGGAACAAATCGATCCCACTCGCAAAAGCTTCTGCTTGATCCTCACCAGACGCCAGCCCAGTCAGCGCAATAACGAAGGCAGACGAGCGCTCATCCCCTGCCCTGCTTTTGCCATCACGTTGGCACTCGATGTCCCGAATCGCGCGCGTTGCTTCAAATCCGTTCATGATGGGCATCGAGATGTCCATGAAGATGATGTCGTAGCCGTCTTCGGATGCCTCGGCGGCCTGAACGGCCAATAGCCCGTCGTCAGCAGTGTCGATACAATCGTATTTTCTCTTCCTCATGCTAGCCTGTAATAATCGTAGGTTTATCTTGTTGTCATCGACTAGTAAGAGTCTTGGGGAGCGCTTTCCGGGCTGTTCTTTTTCTGCTCCGTGTGGTGCGTTGCTTAATGGCGACTGCGCATGCTGGTGCTCGGCGACTTCAAGGGTCGATCTACCGGCACTTGGGAATTGTCCATTTTGAGCGGAGGTATTGTTCGAGCTAACATCGGGTGACGAGCTGCCATTGTTTTGGCTAGGGAATGGGAATTGGGTCGCACCATCTGCACCTACTGCTGTAGTATCACCGCTCGCTGATTTCGAGACTGAATCATCAACAGCCATCAAGGCATTCCGCGAATGACTCGCAGACATCTCTTCATTGGTCTGGATTTCGATGGGGTCATGTCCCTCGTTCGATTGAAGGGTGAGTTGGTTCAATTCTGGTAGATCTTCATGATGGTTGTTCGACGTCCTCTCGGCCGGCATAGGTGTGGTTGGTCCTCCAAAGCCGAGCTCGTACCCTTGCGATCTGTCCAGACAGACTCGCAGAGCTTTCGCAAGTTTACGCGGGCCACAAGGCTTTGAAACGAATTCCATGACAGAATGTCCATAGCTCACCTTGGCCACTTGGTTGCGGTTGGTGCTTTTACATAGCACCAGTATTGGAAGGTCTACTGGAGTCTTTGGGGGCAATGAATGCAGTGCTTGGTCGTCTGTGATCAAAGCTCTTACATCGTAGGATTTCAGATCCGCCTCATGTTTCTTGGCACGAAGGCCCAACCAGTGTTCGAGACAGGCTTGCAACGCAGGACCTGTACCTGTTTTGTGCCATTCGAAGCCAAACAAGGCGACACGGACGCTCTGATAGTCGCGCTCTAAAACGCTGATCGAGTCGTCAATGGTTGACGCTGTACCGCTGCTTGGTGTTGCCACTGGTGTGTCGGCACCGGGTACCCGAGATAGGGGAATTTTGATATCGACTTCTGTGCCTATCCCTACGTCACTCTGAACGTCGATCGTGCCAGATAGCATGGTGATAATAGATCTAACTATAGACAGTCCTAGACCAGTTCCACTTGCAAGAACGTCTTCTTGGCAGAAAGGTTTGAAGAGACTTGTCCGTAGATACTGTCGAGATATGCCTTTGCCGGTATCGATGATCTGTATCTGTAGAATGCTTTCCTTTGAGAGATCCGCGCCATCAGCAGCATCCGTTGAATGCTGCCCCTTGTCATCAAGAGAAAGTTTTACATGAATGGAGCCTTTCTGGGTATATTTCAAAGCGTTGCCGAATATATTCCTGACAGACAATTAATCAGTTATGAAATCTCAATATCGAGAGCATCAGCTAAGCAGTACAAGATATTTCAGGTCCTGATAAAACGCAGAGATGGTGGCAAGCTCCAGAACGACACGTAAAACAGGCTGACTTACATTATGACGCGCTTGAGTGCACCAGGCTGGGTGACAAAACAGTAATTACCTGGCTGAAAATCGAAAATGATTTCGACGTCTTTCTCTTTGCAGATCCTCCTAGATTCTGTTCCAACGTGAAGACCTTGCTCTCTTGCACCGACTTTCGCAAAATGAGAGAGCGAGGTTGCGTCTGTAGAGCTGATATCCTGGTAAACCTGGCCAGCATAGACGCCCTCAACGACTTCCTCGGCAATAGATGCAACATCGACTACCGCATACACGTTGAGCATCTGGGGTGCATCTTTGTCTGCCATAGTTCTTTGATTTTTAAGATGTCCCTTAATCTTTGCCCGCTTATGGGATCTATACCAAGTCCGCTCAAATGAATTGATCTTGCTGTAGTCGAGAATATGATTAATTGTATCCAGAAGAGTCCGGCCACAAGAAGATATGGTATCGACTAGGCTACTTTGAGACGCGTCTTGTGTGACGTCTGCAAGGAATTCGGCTGAAGCTAAGATGCCATGCAGTGGACTCCGAAGCTCATGCGAAATCGAGCCAATGAAGTCGGCCTTTTGCCGGTCGGCAGCCATGGACGATAGCCTTGAGACTTGAGCCATAATGCTATTACCGAAGGCTACGAAGAAGCTAAGCTCGGTCTCAACAGAGAAGATCTGATGTGCCGATGTCTTCGTTGTCCAGGCAAAGCTAGCACAAAACCACCTGCTTGAGCCCGCATCCCAGAGACCATAAAAGAGCAGTTGCTTCGCGTCAGGAAAATACTTTCTCAGCAATACGGTCTCTTGGTATCTTTTCTTACCTGAAAGTTCTCCGACTCGGTCAGCTCCTGACCTCGTGAGCGCATCTTCTTCTGAGGATGACAGTGTTGAATCAGTATCAAAGGACCAGAGTTTACCGCGTGGATAACGGCGAAGCAGGCTGTGCAATAACCGGTCGTCTATAGGATGAAAATTTCGAGGTTCAGTCTCACGAATTGCCAAAGGTACCGCAGCATTCGTAGTAGGGACGCCCGCCGTCTCCGAATCTAAGGTGGATCTTTTATTGTTATCGAGATATTCTGTGTTGTTCACTTGAGAAGACAGGTCGGTATTGTGGCGACGTCTTGTAGTGCTATCAAAGAAGACGACGCCCCCATTGGGTTGAATCCCGAGCGCTTCGTACAGAATGTTACTTGCCCGTATGAGAGTGGCACGATGGCCACTGTCGTCAAACGTCTGAGTTTCATCGATGGAATCAGAGTCGTCGTGTGAGCTTTCAGCCTGCTGATTGGTTGAAGAACCATCAACATGACGTTCTATGTATAGTCAGCACTAGAGCGCCACATTGCTCCGACAATTCTTCATTCATACGAACCAAAGTGGGAATGGTGCCGTGAATCAGGTCGATCCGGACCTGATTGGGATGTACTGCCGTCACTATTCATACCCGCTGCTCGAGAAGCAACAGAGTGGGTTCCTTCCAAAGTTTGATCTTGCCTATTTGAAGCACCATGAGATTGTTCTGCAGGCAATGTGCTTTTCCCTTGAACGAAAGCATTGATTCCCACAGATAGCTTTACTGTCTTTCTTCGCTCCTCAGCCTCCGCGCTGACTTCCATATGCTTCACGACGGTCTGAGCCAGCGTGCCAAGAAGGTCCACTTGCTCGGGGGTCAAGTGGGGGCGGGGTACGCTATCAAGGATGAATAGGGAACCTATGTTGATTCCTCTCTTTGTCTTCAAAGGCGTTCCAGCATAGTATCTGAATTGCGGCCCGTCTGTGACGAATGGCAACTCGTTGAAGCGAGGATCCTCTGCTAGATTTGGCACCGTGAAGATTGGATATTGACCCGCTTTCTCAGCAGTCACCTCAAGCGTACGCTCGCACAGCCGACCTGACTTATCCACGGAACCGCATCCAAACCACAATTCATCCCCAGCTGCGCCGCTCTTAGAGGTGTCCAGAAGGTTGAGGGTCTTCGTTGCTTCTGCGATGAAGTACTGTGTCTTCTTGCCTATGACGCTGGGATGAAGTTGGTGGTAAGCGTGTGGACGCACTCTCTACCAAGGCGCTGGTGTTACCTGATCATGGCCCTCTGAGCCTCTAGTCGGATAGCGCACAGTTGAGCGAGCGCAGTCAGATTGGTATCCGGCGAGGATGCTCGGTGTACTGAGATATCCTCGGTCGATGTATCGGGGGGCGAATAGTAGCGTAACATCTCATGCTCACGTACGACATCTCGCTTCGTTGGAGCTATCTCTAGATGACACACGGTCGCCATCGCTAATTGGCCGTTCCTAGCAGGTCCCGAGGCTTCTGCTCGTCAAGCTGCTGCGACTTCATTGAAGGGATGTCTATCCATGAGTGACAATATGGATGGATATTGCAGAGAGCTGAATACGCCCGTAGCAGCTTCTGTGGTCACAAACCTCAGCCCGTAGAAAAAAGTCCTAAAATGCATTTGGGCCGTTCGAGTTCTAGGCTCTGACGTCACGCGCTCGAATAACAGTTCGGGGCGGAAAATCTTTTCTCCATGGTCCTTGGATGTATCCAGATGAGCAATTCAGAGTATTGCCACCAAAAAATATCGAAAATGTACCTTTTGCGATTGCAGGAGGCGCGCGACTGTTACTGCTTTCGCTTACCTCGAATCGTGCAAAGATTCAATGTCTCCAAGAAAGTGCCACGCTATGTACTTTGAGGGACTGTCCACAATATGTAACAAAGTACCATCAAAATCGTTGGGATGGTCATTCGCAGCAAGAGAACATCAACCAGCACGTTCGAAATGAGGTGCAGGAAAAGTTCTTGAACTTTTGACATGGGATTGATCGTTGCTTATGGTAAGGCACGTTCATTTACATAAGTGCACATTTCTTGTCCGCCTTAAAGGCTCGTTCCCGTGGAGACTTTCTCATTTTGTAAGATCGCCCTAGAAGATTGGCAGTCATGAAACTGTCGTCGAGACCTTTACCAGCTAAAGCGGAGCACTCTGCATACGCAGCTGCTCCCAAGATTCTTGCTTTCATCAGTCCGTCCAGGTAATGCACAGGCTTCATTGTCCATGTGGCAAGCTTCTCGACTACTTCTTTGGAATTGCGCTCGTCCGCCTCCAGTCCTGCAAGCAGGATTGGAACGTCTGGCATAGAATGTCTTATTTCGGCTAAAAACTACAATCGGTCAGTCTCAGCGAAGACAGCTTGCATCTTCTGGTCATCCAGGAAATATACGAACTTTCTCTGGTATGTTCCAATGACGAAGGAGATCCAATCGCAAATAACACAGACCCCATTCCTCGACGCCCAAGAGAACGAAGGTGCGACATATGATGAATGGCGCTGGCTGTTTCGACCATCCACTGATTCCCATTGCAACCCGATGAGAATGTTGGACTTCCAAAGACCTGCAAAGTTTTCTCCGAGATGTGGGCTCAACCTGGTAATTAGGCTGGAGAAAGCCACTAAGGTGTGTTCTGCATGGGTCAAGCCTTGGGATGTGAAGGTCTCGCAAAAGGCAGTATAGGTCCGCCATACGACTTCCATGCGTTCCTTGCGTATCAAAGATTCCGATCTCTTAAGGGTGCGAGCAAAGTTCGCTTTTTGAAGATTCCACGTCGAGTCAGCACCGTCTTGTTTGACACGGTCTATGCCGCCACATTTGCAGCGCATGCTATCGTTGCACTCGAACGAGACCTCTTCTCACGTGCCGCCGAAATGGAGGATTCTAGAGCTCAAAAGGCGCTCTTGAAAACAGCAGGCTCTCTCGAACCAGCTATCAATATCATCACTTAGGTTCACCAAATTGTCATGGTCAATGGAATGACGAATAACAACTTTCGTGTCGCCTGAGTGAGCAACACTGTTATCATCAATACCTTCATAGGTATATCGTTTCGCTTCTTTTTCCAAGGCTAGTGTGCGCCCGCGGGCTGCAAAAACTTCGTAGGCATTCTGAAAGATAGCTCCCATTTTAGGTGATTCTGCTAGCCAATCTGCCTTGTCGCCTTGAATGTTGCATAACGAATCGATCCAGATGTGCCTTATACCCAGCGCAAGGGACAGTCTTATGGTTCCTTGAAAGATACTTGGCATAATCGTCCCAATTTATTCCGGCGGATCTTATGTGCGCATTCTGTGGTGTTGTTTTAATGGGCTTGCTGCAAGTCCAATAGTGACTTAGTGCGACGTACTTTTAGATGTCCTTTCGATCGGTGGAAATCAAAGTATCAGTTAGATCAAATGGTCCCTTTGTGTGCTCCACCTGTAGCAGTCGGCTGGTTTGGTGCTCTGTATTTTGTTGCCACATAAGGAGTGATTGGCGAAATTGTCTTCAATCCATTGGCACACTTGATAAGGCTAGAGCCACTGAGTACGTTTGGAGCTACCTGAGGAGCTACCGCAAAAGCGCTCCATGGACTGAGGTTGCCTGTTCTGCTCAGCATATAAGCAAACGGCATTCCAGCTTACTTCCGACAGAAAAGCAAGTGTGTATGATGGCAACGACACAACGATTTAAAAAAAGCGACTTAGTCATTCTCACTTTCTAGAGCAGAGTAAAGAAGAGCTATCAGACGTCGTCTCCGATCATATGCGGAGTTGCCTCTTGGTTCGATTAGGAGACGTGCCTCTACATATCCAGTCCTCTCCTTATAGTTCAAGCTCAATAAGAATTTCCTTAGGTCGAGAGGGCGATTAGTAACGAGGTCAAAGTCATTCAAATTTTGGTTGGCCAGAGAGTAGAAGTCCTCCGTGCATTCGGCTATATGATCTGCCAGGTAGTCAAGATAATTTAGCCTGTTCCAATTAAACCCCCACGCTTCACGGTGCTGTTGTAGACCTAGCCAAATTGTGTATCAAGAGTTGCATGGATTGGCGTCTTCAGTGAGAAGCGCCACTGTTGTCCAAACTTTGGAATTGCTGCCATCGATGCCATTGTCCAATGCAGATTTAGACGCATCGAGATCTCCTAGATCGATGTCGAAGACGTAGGACGCGTGTCTGAAGCCGCAACAGCTATGTCAATATGATTTATATCGATATCAGTTCCAGGGTGAAGTAATATGAACAAAGCTATCGCCCCGCCCATACCGACACTTAACTTGTTGACGAGGTATCGTTTAAGTTATCGAACAGGTACTGCTCCACCAACAGCAGCATTAGTCTGGTGGATTAGATAGCCAGATAATCAATCAGTTGCTTTAATCTGTCAACCTGACGCATTGATCAATGGATTCAATTGACGAATGAGGTGTGGCGCGACTCTTGTTCCAAAAGAGCTCAGACGCTTAGGCTTGGTCGCCTCCAGCGAAGACTTCGGGTGCGAAAGATGCTGCACACGTCTTTGCAGACGTAGACCTGTTAATCCTCACTTCAGTGAAGAAGCGGTGGAAATTTCGACACCGCTTCATCAGCTCACCCTAGTCAAAACAATCAATTCGACCTGCATGGCTGAGCAAAGTTAGAATAAGCGATATCAAACGATTAACCACTGATCAACATCAAGGCGTCTGGATTGGAGCACTCAGTTTGAATGATTTCTCTACCTATGCAACCTTAGTAATAGTCCTGTCAGCGCCCTTGCTTCGTATCAAACAAAAACACAAACAACCACGCTGAGTTCGCTCAATCAACAAAAACAATAGCGGGGATGCCATGCTCGTCACCTCGTCGTCTCTCAAAGGAAAACAAACACCTTGGGAACACCTTCGCTCGCATTCACCCGTGCTCGTCCCCATTCACATGCTCATGCTCATTTTCATCTTCCGTGACCATTATCTCATCACAAACCTCCCTCCCTTCTAAGAGGCGCTTTGATCAGAGCACAAGAGCCCCAATCAACCCGGCAGCGCCCATGCCCACAATGCCAGTGATGCGAGGACCGGCGGCCTTGGATGTAGAAGAGGGGCAGCAGCGCTAGCGGAGCCAGAGTCGGTGGCTGTGCTGCTGAGAGCTGCAGAAGAGCTGGTCGACATGGGAACATCGTCGGCTTTGAGGGTGGGGCAGGTCTTGCACTGGTCGCTTCCAGGGTTTTGGATGTTGCATTGGGCGAAGAGTTCTTGGCAGATGTGGTTGGGGAGGGTGTCGAGGTATTGGTCTATTGAAGCTGGCCCGGAGCCATTGGAGCAGGTGCAAGTGTAGGTGAGGGTTTGCTAGGAGGGAGATGTTAGCTTTGAGGAAAGAGAGAGGAGGGAGAGGAGGGGAGGGAAAGGTGGGCAAGGTGGGGTGGAGTATTACGTGATCAGATCGACAGAGTGTAGAGGAGTCACGATGATTGTGTCAGTGAGGGAGAAATTGAACTTACGCCATTGCATGTGTTTGCTGTGTAGAAACCTGGTCCACCGCACAGCTTCGGGCAGCTGGCTGTTTCACCGGAACACCATTGATCTAGGATAAGTAGGTCAGTGGATGCAATTGATCACACCAAGTGCAGTGTTGAAGATTGCGCACTCACTCCTCTCTGTCAATGAGACCGAGTTAGGGTCGAGGGTTGACGAAGAGTTCTGGGCGGAGGCAAAGCCAGCGAGGAAGCTCGTGAAGACGAAGATGAGGGAAAGCATGGTGATTTTCGATGATGGCGAGTGTATTAGAGAATTACAAGTAGTACAGTGATAATGGCTGTTCTTTGGGGAATGGATACTGAAGCGACAGTGCTGTGTGCTCAATGAAAGTTCTACTGTTGTATGTTGTATTGTTTTGAGCAAGAAGAAGATGAGAGAACCCGCCGGCAACAACATTTATTATCTTTTGAGTCTCTGGCCGAGGGCGCTAATTGTCCCGCCATCATGACGCTAATGGATGGGGAAGGTTCGATCAGAAATTGACGGGCAGGAGCCCCCAACCCCACCACAACCACCCTAACATCTTCCCCCATTGAGCCGCGCGGCCTGGAACGAGGCCCAGACCCAGTGGGTCCATACCCAGTCTTCTTATCTGCAGAGGCCGCCAATAATACAGATGCTGCATAACGAACTCAATAGGAAATCTTGTAAACAGCTCATTCTGAAGTCAGTCATCAATATAATGGCTTTGTTTGTGTGACTAGCACGTGCATCTCACATGGAATTCGAGCTTAATTTCCAGCCTGCTGGTGGCTGGTAGCTACCCCTGTCAAGACACGGCTAATCATTCCTCATCTGAAGCGAACATATCTTCCGCTTTTGGTCGCTGTCGTTTCCTTGCTGCTGCTGCACCAGCACCGTTCAAGTCTTGTTGAGCGGCGGCTTGGTCGGGGTCGGCAGGCACAGAAGCTACTCTCTCGTCGCCCATGACCGCGGCAGTAACATCCTCACTCGTTCCGCTCAGCTTCAATAGATCCATCACCGCTATATCCATCTTCACCTCGTTCAGCGCTTGTCGGGGCGCTTTCGCAATTGCTTCGAGATCGAGTATTCGACCATCAAAAGCCTCCATGTTGGCCTCCATTGTATCCGCAACGTCATCCTCATCTTCATCTTCATCCTCGTCCGAGTCATTTGCATCTTCCATCTCCTCATCATTGACCTCGTCTTCAACCTCTGCCTGACCCTCCATTTTCTCATTCAAGCTTCTCCATCGTTTCTTAGCTTCCCTTGCTTTGCGCTCTTCCTCCTCCGCCTCCTTCTCAGCTTCTTCCTCTTTCGTCAGTGGAGGATTTTCGAACAATGAACTGAACTCCGCTTGGCTCTCGTTAGGAAAGACGCACCATCCTTCCCACAGGGCTAGAATATGGTTCACGCTGCGTTTCCATTTCTCAGCACGTAAGCGGCCCCATTTCAAACCCTTCTCGAGCCGTCCAAGATGTTCAAAGGTACGATGATTTTTAATTGCTGTCTCAAAGAGCGATCGATAACGCCATGCATGGCGGACACCAGACGTGGACGAGGAAGACAAGAGATCCGAAATCACGTACAGTGCTACAAGTTTAGCAGCGCTTGTGTCGTCTTCCGGTGATCTGTCTTCACCTCGAGGTATGTCACCGTTCGTATCTTGAGCTTGCTCCCTGTCGTCTATCCCATTCTTATCTTCGCGATCCGGATTGGCGCTCGTGAATGCGAAAGGCTTGATGACGTTCGTGACAATCATTGAGACGACCTCTTCCGCGCCCTCACCGGCGTGCTGAATGGCGAAGGCAGTCACTCGCGCTACATCTCCCCGTCGCAATCGAGCATTGGCTGTTGGTAGCCGTGCAAGCAGATGGGTGAGCTTTGCTTTTTGGAATGGGTTCAGGTACGCTTGTGTTTCGACTTCGACAACTGGGCCATCAGGCGGAGGGGCACCGCCATGATGCTGGGCATAGCGTCTCCGCCCCTCGTCACCAGAGTCTTCATCTTCTGATGAGTGGTAATCCGAGTCAGATACAAACTCGTCAAGGCGCGTAGTGTATTCGTATGGTAGCTTCTGCTCTGGTGCAATCCATGAAGCACCGTTCTCAAAAACGACATGTTGCGCCGAAGTTGCGGCTCGGCCTCGTCTACGGTACATCCCCGAGCAAATTTCCCAAAGTCGCCATCTGTAGTAGACACCTCCTACGCTACGAGAGTCCCACAACCAGGCCCACTTCTCGTCTTGTTGGACCTCTTTGCGGCTCATCAGGAGAGCTTCAAACTCAGGGCCATGTCGTACGAGCGCTTCCAAAGTTTTGTGAATGATTTTGAGCTGCTTCAGATTCGAAGGCGGCGTCACTGTGATGTGAAGTTGTGATGCAGCTCCTCTCCCAAGATTTTGAGGCGAATTGAACGAGGTAGGCGGTGCGAATCCCCCTCGATGTACTGATGACGGAGCTGCTCGTCCAAGGAAGGATGCAGGTGCTGGTCGAGCCCCAAATGGCAGAGATATTGCTGAAGACCCGAAAGCAGCCGATGGTCCAGCAGCACCAAGTGACGTTGTGGAGAGATGTCGAGAGAGGGATAGGTAGTAGCCTCGACCCATGTATCGATTTTGGAGTGCACTAACAACCGTATCAATATCTAAGGCAGGCGTATCTTGGGCTAAAGTGATGATTGCCGTCATGGACCGTCGGTCCGTGTTGTTTGTGCCCGGACCAGATGGAGGGATGATGCGCACACCTTCAACGGTCAACGTAGACGGTATTGTTGCCTTAATGACTGCCGGCGACGTGCCCGGAGGCAGAGACGATAGTCTCAACGTGGGTTTTGGGACATTTCTGTCATCGGCCTTCTGCTGGTCTTGTGCGTCTTCAGCCGAATATCTTAGGGCTGTCCTTGGATCTGCTGGCCCTGGGACTTCATCTTCAAAAGCGAACAGTCCTTCTCTTCTTGAGGGCTCCGAGCCATCGTGTGGTCGTTTCCTAGGAGGTGGACCGAGTGACGGTGGTCCTAAACTACCAGGTCCGCTGCTCTTGATTCCGAGGCCACCTCTTGAAGGCCCGGAGAAGTGCCGTTTGGGAAAAGCTCCACTACCTATAGATCCACCTGTCTGATTGTTTACCGACGACCGATTCTCACCATCGTCATCGAAGGACTTGACGAAGTCCTCATAGACCGCAGCGGTTTCTTGTTGCTCTCGCTGTCGTTTTGCTTCCGCTTCAGCCTTCTGTCGTTCGAAAAGTGACTTCTTTGTAGGACCCCCCAGTTTATTGTTGATGTCTGGAAAGTCCTTGATGTCCGAGTCCTTCGCCATTGACGGGACTATTAGCAATATTTAAGATGCGAAGGGGGGCATGGACAATTTTGGCGCGCTCCATTGGGTTGGCCAATCACAGAACGGTGCTGCACGTGACGTAAAGCCGTACCGCGATTCACGGCCCCGCGCTATGTTGCCTATCTCTCGCAACAAGATGTAGCCTAAAGGTTGATACTGTTTGGGCGCTCTTCATAACTACAGCTGAGCTTCATTCAGTCGGCTTGAGGTGTTCTGGAGAGATGGCGACGAAGATTGAGATTCAGGACCTTCTCCGCTTCCTTACTCTGGATGCAAAAGTGCCCTTGCCTTCAGCCATGAGTAAAGTGAAGGATTTGCAAACAGTCAATCTGACCAGGTAAGAGCCATGAAATCTTACTTGAGGACGAGCTAAGATGAGCTTCAGCTCTGAACTCATATCGAAGTCTTCCATTACATCAATTAAATCCATTTTTCCAGATGAAAAACAAGCCAAGGCGATTCTTCTTGCAGCAAAGCGTGTCATGAGAAAGCGCACAGGAGGAGCGATGTCTACAGTATCCCCCACTAAATGTTCAAAAGTAAATCCTTTGCTCGGCTCAGAGCTTACTCCCGCCAACATCGAAGCTTCTCTGGCCCTACCGATTACGAGTACCGATGAGGATTTAATCAGTGCCACGAGACTTTCCACAAACCGCGCTCCACTTGTCTTAGCTTTCGTTGTCATTCTACTCAAATACACTATGCCATCGCAGCCCCTCTCATCTCGCCTCAGCCTTGCTCAAGCGGTCGTGAGCGTGAACAGTAGAAGCAAAGCCGTCAACATTGGACTCGTGGAGAAAGGCACCGGAGCGGAAGAAGAAGGCTGGGGACTTGGTCAACCAGTAGTGAAGATAATGGGTAGGGAGATAAAAATCATGAGGCGCCATGGGTACGATCCACATGAAGGAGCCGCAGTAAAAGCTGAGAACCAGGAGGGTGGAAATATCAAAGAGGAAGAGTCTTTAGATACTGAGTCGACTCTGAAACACGACAATGAAAGTTTAGATGAAGAGCCGGCGCTCTGGGGCCTCGACCTCGAAGCGCTTCGTTCAGGAAATGGACCGCTATTTCCCACAACCCAGCAGCAGGCAGGCGGTTTAGGCTTACCGGTCTATAGTGCACAAAATGCTCGTGCATATATTATGAAGTCATTCGCATCGTTGGAGACAGAAGAGACTCAGAGCTCCTCATCTAAAAAAGCTTCAGCTTCGGCACAGAGGCTTCAAAAGGAGGAAAATCTAGCACGCCTTCTTAGGGCTCTGGATCTGCTATACCAATCCTGGGCCCATATCCTGTCCAAGGACGATCTCGACAAGAGAGCTTGGTCTTGGTATGTAGCCGTTCGACCTGATGTCAAAGAGGGTGTGGCAGGATGGGGTGGAAAAGGAGAGGTGCACCTACAGAAGATACTTGATATGAGACGGAAGGGCTAGCAAAAGGACCAATGTGATGGCGCGTCACCGACCTCGCAGTCTACTCTTTGCAATTTACCACGAGATGATCGCTATGGCTTGAGATACCATGAACGGATTTCTACCGTAGACCATTTTCCAACGTGCTCACAGTAACTTCAAGATTCTACATGACTATCATTCTCGGTATGGACGACCTCAGTCCTAACGAAACATTAGAGGGTCCAAGAATGGCCCCAAAATGTGTCTCGGACTTTGAAGGTTCGCCAAATGTGGCATATTGTTTATGCGCACATAGTCTCATAGCAAGGTCTCACCGAGACAAGGCATTACTCATAGCAGCCATGCATAAGTCCCTCAAGTTGCAGCAATTCAAGAAGATGCAACGCGGATTGGGTATGCGGCAAATCCTGCTTACCGTTGTCACAGCTTTTTTGCTCAATAACCCCCTCGTAAGAGCAGCACCCGCCTCTGGCGAGATAACGAAACCCACCGAATTGACACCGCCCATTGTATCAAGTGACAACTGCTTCAAGCCTGGTCGTTTCCCGGGCGTGAAGCATCTACACAAAACCTCACAACAAGACTGTCATCTTGCAGTCGAATTATGGCGACAAGCCCATAACCCATATCCTGGACACCCCGAGAAGGCCATAACATTCGCAAGAGATCCAAGTGCTCATGCTGGCCTGGTAATCAATTACAAGGCTCCCTTCTCAGTCCCGTACGGGCACTGTCGAGTGCAGGTCGATTTAAAGTCGGAAGACAAGGACTTGGTCGCTTTCGCTAGCTTCGGGAACACTATGTGGCTCCTGGATGATTTGGTTGACGTGTGCGTAAGTCCAAAATTTGGCGGCTTTGGAGGCTCTTCAGCGATGGCCCCAAGGCTGTTGGCCAGCGTGTGGGGACAGACGGTCAGATCAGAACCTCTACAATTTGAGACGAAGCTCCTCAATGCCACAGGAAATCTTGCAGAAGTGGACTTCTCGCCACATAGCGACCAACTCGACGTGCTCCCTACTCAAATTGAATGAAAAGAGACTGCCATGCGATGGCAGCTCTACCGTATTGCAAAGATATGCACCTCATTGAAACTGCTGGCTTGGTTGTAAAAGGTATCTTGACCAGCGGCAATGATGTCTTATTCGATTCTAGACCCATTATGATCGCACTTGCTTGGCCGGTAAGAAATGGACGCGTTTTGAGTAGCTGAATGAGAACATTTGGCGCATGGAGGTCTCATAAAGCTGAGAGGAATCGAATTTCTTCTCTAGAATCAGGAAATTCACCTCACTTTTCTACCTCTTCCGCTCATGTCTAGCTTGCGGGCAGATCAAAAGGAAGCAAACGCCACCAGCTGTGGCAATGTCTATTGGGTTTCCGGAATTTAAATTGCATATGATCTACTTTGAATCATTATATCCGGCACTCAAAGAACCCGGAGTCAAATTGCGTTCTGTGTTCTCTCGTTGCGCAGATACGGAGAGCAGCAAGCTGGTCATCTTCCGAGAGCTCATTTCCTCTCTTCTATCCCTCTGTCAATCCCTCTGTTGTTTTTCCAATCGACATTTCACGATCAACTAATTTGAGTCGCATTTGCAGTTGACACTTTGTACCAGGATCCTGTTCCACACGCGAGATCGCTGTTCACATGTGTTGCTTTAAACTCTTCACGATTAAACCAGATGTCCCAACTCGCGAAATGATATCCCTATCCACATATAAGTCCATGGACCTCTGCAAGCACAAGCAAGAAGGATGAAGGGTCAAGTTTAGGTTTGAAGACAGAATGCTGGCGCGCAAAAGTCATGATACAGAGTTCCCTCAACCTACCGTTGTCTCAAATCCCTGCTGTAGCATTACGAGATGGAATCTAGCGGCTGCGTTGCTCATAGACTTTTCAGCAGGCGCAGCAAGCCCCAGCCTGTAATGTCCCCATTCCCACTCACGGCTTGTGCCTTTCTCTAGAAAATCAACCGAGGCTTTCTTGTACTGCTCTGTTATGGCCATGTCGGCTTGCGTTTTCAACCTTGAGAAGGCGGTTTCGAGGACGGGAGACGCCGGATCACGTCGTCGAACTAAGATCTTGTATTTTGGTTGACGAACCAACTCCCCTGTCGGCTTCGTAAAGTCAGGAAGGAACGGAGGCTCCCACCAGATGACCGGTGGTGGATCATCCTGAAGCTGTAATGTGCTATCTAGCCTTGTATGGCATCGTCAGTCTCAGATTTAACGGCTTGGACATCAATGCAACACTGACGACTGTACGACGTCTGACACTGCTGATTCCATACATCTCAAGATAAGAAGCCAGAAAATCAAGACTGCGATAGCCATTATAACCAAAATGTGAGACTTCGAGGACAAGGACGTCAGGATATCTCGGGCTGTTCGACAGCTTACCTTTCTTCCCTCTTTGTGTTTTTACAAATGGAGAAGTTACATCACCATTCTGCGCTTCAAAAAGAACGGCGCTTCTGGCGCAGCCAGATAAAGAGCCGACATGTGTGGAGCTCAGGGTCCTAATACAGCACTTTTAGCAACCCAGGTACCCACGAGTAAGACCTATATATCTCAAAACCAATTTCCAAGAGTTCTTGACCAAGGTTGCAATAATTCTTACGCCATTGCATATCAAGCTCAAGTAGAAATCAAAGAACGATCTAAGTGAGAGATGCGAAATGGCGAGTCATATATTCAAGATATATAGAGAGTACCTTTGAAAAGCATGCTTGCAGACTGATCACATTCCAAGGACCTCAAACAGGAGCTGTCTTCGACCACGGTATCGACGAGGTAGTAAGCCAACCTGAAGCTCGATGTTAAGACCATATAGAACCCACCATCGCAGTCCACTCGCGCTAAGTCGCTTCTCCAATCATGATGTCTTACCTTTGCACGCAGGGTCTGACAATAGTCCACTGCCAACCTGACCTGATCTCAAAACATCCACAAGATTAGTATCTCAGCCTCTACCCTATCTGCATCACACTCGTGTTTCCTTCACACCCCTTTTTCAGTCCCCACAACAGCAAATATTGCATTCCCTCAACAGGCCCTGTCACCTGCCAACCAAACCCCCCACCTCCCCCTCCAGCTTCATCAAAACATCCACACTCGAAGCGCTGGAAGTCGTACATCGCCATATCGATACAGCAGCCGCGTATGCAAATAGTCAGGTCGAGAGGGAGAAGGGGATAAGGAACCTGGATGCGAGGGACTATTTCAGGTTTGATAAGTATAAAGAGGAGGTTGCGGAGCCGTGATATGAGGGAGTTGGGAGATGGGTTGCCAGGATGGGCATCACTGACTTGGAGCATCGAGCCCAAAACGAGACTTTTGAGGCACGTGGATGGCATAGCGGAGATATATTGGAGAGTGAAGACCGTGATTTCAGTACCCGATTAAGAACCTCGACAAAAAAGCTATCAGTATCGAAGGTGTTGAATTTCGGTGCTTCGTTCGAAGGTCAGCCAGCGGTGATATCATTTCAAGTATTGTTTGAGTACATTTATTAGGGTGATATTGACAAGGACATTCATTGGTATTAATAAATTCTATTTAATTTTATCAAATTTGTAACCAAGTCTAAAAAAGGGGTTGGTTGAAAGTGTTGCTCCGAAGGGTAAGAATTTTAGTCTGTCCAAGTCGCTGGATCTTCATCGGACGATCGTCTCTATTACTGCTACCTTTCTTCAAGCAGCGCAGGTTGCAGGGGCGCGGAGTGGTGTCATAGCCACTTTTGCCAACTATTGCATTTTTGACAAGCAAGCTCGTCAATCTCGCTCTGAGATACGACTTCCTCGTCGATAGTGCAGCCACAAACATCAATTGGGCCTGTGTTCTGTAGAGATCGCAGGCTCCATTCCTGTAAGTAAGTTGGATTGGCGACAGCTCCTGCATCGATGATCAAGGCCATACATAAGGTAATTCGAGCATACAAAGACTCGTCTTGTGATCTGGACCTGGCGTCCGCCGCTAAGGCGAGGACTCCGTGGCCTTGGAAGGTTCTCGCATGAACGTTAGCCTCATACTTGAGGAGTGCTTTTGTAGCGCCAATGTTACCGTCGACAACAGCTATGTGAAGTGCAGTCGCACCAAAAGAGTTGCGAAATTCAACATCAGCACCAGCGAGAATTAATGTCTCAATCATGACTCCGTCTTCTTGTTCACTGGATCTACTTCTGGCGATGTAATTCATCATTGTAGTCAAGCCGTAGGAGTCATACTGGTTGGGGTCGGTGGTAGATCGAGCAAGATTGCGAAGTTTCAAACCATGAAGGTCATGAGGATATGCGATGACATCTGACGCGCGAGACTCGATGAGCTCGTACAACTTGGTTCTAGAATAGACCATAGAGATGGCGCTTGAGATCTGTCTGTGTACATGTTTAAGATCATCTTTGTCTGTAAACACACGGTCGAGATCAACTCCCGGCTTCACTGTTCCATAGATCGAGGAAAGGAAATGTTGAGTTGTGGAAGTTGAGGAGGCTTTTTTGAGGGTGAATGAAGAGTTGTCTCGATAGAGACCGGAAGGCAGAGGGGATGACGCCTCGATATGACGAGCCTGTTTCAAACATTCGTGCATGTACGTCTGACCCTGTAGATCTCGAGTGCTGAAATTGAATCCCTTTGATCCCAACCAATTCAAGAAGCTCGTCAAATTAGAGACTCCAGGCCCGGGAACAATGACGTGCATGAAAGATTGGCCGAAGGTATTGACTGCATTGATTGACTCTCCCTGTTCAATCAGAGACTGTAAGAACTTGTAGTCCGCTCCTATTGCCGCAGCTAGATGAAGTCTCGTATTTCCGAATCTATCTTGCCAACGGATGGGTAAGTAATATGTCGCTCCCCTCTTCTCATAGAATATTGTTGCGTGTACCGTGGCATGTGCAGTGTCCGCCCCAGAACCCAAACCGCATGAGATAGCATCCCAACAATACGACCTGGCAAAATTGCGACCATGCAGAATATTAGGACTCTGTATGCATGTGGCATTGGCAGCTGCAGAGAGCGAAATTCCACAGGACTTGAATAATATGATCGGCATATTCGGCTCATGCTCCTTAGCTGAGCAGGAATGAGCCATCCATTTTGATAGAGAATCCGGAATTCCTCTTGTAGGATTTCCCTCTACTTGCACAACTGGTTTGCGTAGAAGAGAAAATGAAGTCCTGGTGGAACTTATCGAACATAAAGAATGTCGCAGTATTTCTAGCATGTCCTGTTTGTGAGACAGAGAATAGGCGGAGAACCTGATTATTAACGAACTAAGACGGGACGAGGAAGTTGATATTCTGTTTCTGGTTGATGTATTGGTAGCCTTCCCAGAAAGCCTTTCGATGGTGGAGGAGGCCATGGCGGTATTTGAGTGGGTTTGCTCATCGGCAGGTTTCTCTGTGTCAAGAACTGTCAGACCACTCATCACTCCATTGAATGCAGGGGCCTCGTACGACTCGGCAGTCACAGGTTCGGTGGGCGCGTCTTCTAGCATTGTATAAGTCTCCGGTCTGAATAAATCAGCGAGGTTCAAAGAGTCCAGATCTGTGTCCTCAAAACGGGTCCCAGGGAGGAAAAATGATGTAGAAAGTTTGGCAGAGACTCCATCGAAAACTTGCGGCGCAGGTCTCTTAAGAGGGTTCACGAGTTTCTCGAGGTGCTCAGGATCGGTGATGAAAGGTAACATAGGATCCACGGAAATGATTTGAGCTGGCGGCTGCGCCGAAGTATCGAAACATAGGGTGGGGTTTTGCCCCAGTGACGAGAACTGGTGTTGGGCAGGGACATAATCAAAATGATCTCCCGAAGTTGTGCCATGCAATTCGACACCTGGCATCCATCCGTAGTTCAGCTCGTTGAAAGGGCTCGGTGCAGTGCTGGGGCTCGGTAGATCAGTCGAGAGAGAGCCACTTGTTGAACTCCCATCAGCACAAAAAGTTGAGAGAGTTGGAGACAACTCGCTTCCAAAGTGAGACTCGTCTGGTGCCAATCTTTGACTTATGTACGGCTCGGAAGTTTTCAAGAAGGCGTCGTCGTGACGCTTGACTGCAGTCTCAGAGCTGCACGCAAGTATCTGAGAGACCCGGCGTCTTCTCGCAACGACATCTTTTGCTCGCATTCGATCATACCGTACCCGTAGGAGGTCATGAAGCGTGTTCTGCACGGTTCGCTTCCTAGACTCGTTAATTTTATTCTTTTGGTGTGAATCCGAACTCACTGGACAGGTCTAGAATGAAAGCTGATCACACGACATATGTCTTCCAGGGTCATATTGGTCAGGAAGTAAAGCCGAATCAACTTCCGCCGCTGTGATGGAGACAAGGCTGGGGGAGCGCCCACTCTGGGCGACTTCCGTCCATCATGTCTCTGCTTCTTCGCATGCCCACCCTGTAATGGTGAGAAGGACAGTATCGGCTTGACACGAGCCATGCATCCAATATAATTCTCGATGAAAGTGGACACGAGACTGCAAATGATGACAAGACCCTCTACCTGTCGAGTTTCTTGGCCTGTTCGGAAGCTGCACGCCCAAGCCGGACATCAAATTTGGGCTGATGTGACGTTCGAGAAGCATAATGCAGAGCAGGAGTAAATGTTCAAGATGTGTGTGTGAAAAAGATTGGCAGCTGAGATGGCAAGGCTACGAAGGCTGTGGAAGTAATCATACCGTATAACCTTCAGCCACAGCGCCGGGGAATTGGCCTTAGGGTTCTATCTCTTTCATACACACACGATGTTAGTGCCATATCGAGGCCTCTAGCGTAGTGCAAGAATTCTTTGATTGGCCATTGAATGATGAAGTGCATCTGCCGGCAGCAATTCTTGCACTTCGCTCTTGCGTTCATCTTCCAGGTTGACTAGGACCGAATAGAGCGAATGGTGATGCGACTCATTGTTCATGTCAGCAGACTAATACTCGATGGTTTCCACTACGCCCACGGCTCGGTGGTCTATCATTTCCGTTGCTGTAGCAGGCCCTACAGAAACATTCGCCATGAATTGCGGACACACTACTGTTGGTGATTATTGGGGTGGGCTCCGCAAATTAGCCAGGTTTTAAGGTTAGAGAGCGAAGCGAACAGGTCCAAATTTAGCAACGGATATATATGCCAATACGGATGTCATTAGTCTCTCTGCAGTTTGAAGGCGGTCCACCTTACGCGTTCTTGCACTTCGGTCTGTGTCCTACTAGGGCCCGAGATTTGATCTTCGCTTCCGGTCGGGTGCCCCTGCACGCCACGCGACAACCCCTACTATTATCACAAATTCATAATGCAGCATGAAACAAGCTGGCCCGTGCACCGAGATGGGGCGACGGGGCGGCGGGGCGACGGGGCGAGCGGGGGAAATCAAGATTGCCAGTCTAGGGCCTCCTAGGATTGTTCTTCGATCGAACCTCACCTGCTGTTTGAACAACCAATTTGGGTACTTTTCCAGAACGGGCTCGATGTCTTCGACGAACAACTCACCGCGCAAGACTGCTCAATATGAGCTTTCAAGTGGCCTTTCCTGGCTCGAACCATGATCGACCTTTCTCTTGTTTTCAGCTCAACTATAGCGTGAGCTGCAATGTCGTTTAACGCGGACCAAACTTGGGGCGGATCTCTAAATACGAATTAGCTTCCCAGGATAATCGTCAAGAGTGCTACGTTTGTCTTTCCAAACTGTTCATAAGCGGAGTCGGCCATCGATGCTCTTGTTCTGCCGATTAGCGATGGGGAATCGCGTGGTAACCTTCAAGCTTAATTCCATATCTGTCAGGCACTTCCTAAAACACCACTCATATTCCTGTGTCCTCTACGCCTACATAAAGACTATCTACTCTCTACAGTTCTACTCTTTATCCCTCAACCACTTCATTAACACCGTATTCCCAGACAGCAAAAGACTTTCAACCCACAAAGACTGCATTCGACAACACCACAGCCCATAGCGCCCTCTATCATTCAAGCACCCTTTCATATTGCCCGAATTGGGAATGCCGAGTACGCGTCCTCTTCTTCCCTCTTTCCTCCTCCTTTATTCCTGTCTACGCACCCTCGCACCCGCTTCCTCACGAACTAACCCACCTGTATCCTTGCCTTCCTTCTCCAACGTCTGCACCATGGACGCCAGTAAATCACCACCACCTTGACTACCCTCCCGACTGATCTGACCATCCTTTCCCCATCATCTCTGCCTTCCCAAACACCTCACACCACAACCCAACCCAACCCAAACTCACCCAGCTCCATCCTCTCACCACCACTTCTTCCTCCTCCTCATCCCAAGCCCAACTAACGAATTCCCACAGCATACTTGACGCCAGAAACAATCGCGACCGTAGTCATTGGCGGCATGGGCCTCATCATCGGGCTCGTAACGATATACCAGAATTATCTGCTCCGGCGGGACAACAGGCGACGAGGTGAGGAAGCACGCTTCGACACCGACCCAATGACAGGAAGATCGCTAATCAGCAGATTCAGAGCGACGAGAAAGGGACGCATAACCTGATCCAAATTCTAACATCTCTTTCACGTGGACGATCACTGCAAGGCCAGCCCAGCCCATAGAAAGACGAGATATATTATAATTATGCAGAAACCCGTGACCCGATCCAAAATCAACATCTCGTCCACGTGGTCGATCACCGCCAGCCAAGTTCTTATAAGAGGAGATGCCTTGGATAGGCGAAGAGAGAAGGAGCAAGCAGGCTTCCACCAACGTCACATAAGGGGAGGGGAAATGTGCGAGTACATTCACACCAACACATTACATACCATAGAATAAACCCACAATGACCAATAGAATTTGCCCTGGGTAGATATAATTGTATACGGCCCATCCCATTCCATCCCATCCCATCTCCATCTCCTCTCCCATTTCCCGACGACACATCTCTTATCTAAACGAGAATATATGCACGAGAAAAAGGGCATAATCTACCGACCGACCGACCGACCTGATCGATCAAACATGAGACGAGATACGGTATGTGACACATACATACACATTTGCACCCTGATCGCGATTTACCTATGGGTGGGTGGCTATAGCACCAAACGCCTTCCTTCCTTCCTTCCTTCCTTCTTCTCACCCCACGACAACCTTGGAACAAAATCAATCCAGCGGTCTCTAGTTTCTAGCCAGCCAGCCAGACAGGCAGGTAGGCAGGAAATCTACAACTCCTCCTCCATCTCCTCGACCGCCTCCTTCTTAACGGTAGCCTCTGGTTCCCTCTTGCTTGGCTGGACCTCCGCTGGCTTTCCGAGCACACCGCCTAGAATCCCGCCGAGACTGGGTCCCACATTGCCTACACCACTACTAGCATTGCTACCCTCCCCAGCATTAGCCATGCGATCGTGTTCCATGCGTCCAAGCACATCAGCTTGGGGGATCCCGCTCATCCCGATGCCCAAGCCGAAGCGTTTCCGCATGTCCTCGTCATCGATGCCGCTCAGTGAGGACCTTGCTTTCTTGAGCGGGGAGCCGACGGAGTTGGCGGCTGTGGTTGTGGAGGGAGCGGGGCCCGAGTCGTTGAAGGCTACGCTGGGGAGAAGTGGGCCGTTGTTATGGGAAGATGGAGTTGACTCTGATGTGTTGATGTGGGGTCTGGTGCTATTACCTTTGGTGGGAGACACGCCTCGCACGGGCGTGGTGGAATCGGTTGGGGTTTTGCGGTTTGCGGGTGCAGGCGACGGAGCGACGAACGAGTCGGCTGAGTGCTGCCGTTTGAGCTGACAGAATGAGCATGAAAGTCGTATCGCGCATGAAAGATGGGACTTACACGGATATTTTGCACTCCATCTGCCAATTCTCCGTGCCTTTTTGCTTCTTCGGGCGATAGCATAGCGTCTGCATCTCTCTCCCCTGCCTTTTCGGCTTTGACAACAATGGCGTCCCCATTGTCGTGCTCATCATCACTATCGAAATCCTGCTCCCGCTTTATGGTTGATTTCTTGTTACTTTCCCCATTTGTCTCGGTTGGGTCCCGCATTTGGGAGAAATTCTTCAGTCTGTCAGAGTCTAAGGGCTTGAATTTCGAGAGATCGTCTTGTATAGATCGTCGCTTGCCGTTTGATACAGGCGTCTTGGGTGTGGGCTTTGAGGCCGTGGGGAGCATACCCATCTTGTGGAGTTGCTCTAGGGACTGTCAGCGTCGAATCAATAAAAGAGCAGTAAATACGTACTCTCTCCTCTATACAAGAAGGTAAAGACAGCAAAAGGCTTATCCTGAGGATCAATACCAGTCACGGTCTGGGTGCTGATACTCTTGGGATCCAAGGATTTTGGCTTTGCAAAGCTAGTTTGGTGATCTATGTCTTCCTCTCCTTTGCCCTGATCATTGCCTGTCCCTTCCATTTCGTCCCCCTCGTGTGCATCAAATTGCGGCGAGTATTCCCCCCGTCTAATGTCACCCGAAGCTAGAACCCGGTATAGAGCGACCTTGATCTGTCCAGTCGACTCGGGTACCGGATCATCATCTGAGTCCTCAGACTCACTCAGGAGCAAGTCATCCGAGTCTGAAATTTGCTCTAATGGGGACTGCGAGTCTGCACCATAGCGGAGGACACCCTTCTCGGCTTTGATCCTTGCACCCAGAATGGATGACTCTCCCTCCTCGCCGTCACTTTCCTCTACCTTAATCTTTCTACGTCGACGTTTCTTTTCCATCTTTTGCCTTCTCTTTTCAATTGTTGCCGCGGCGTCTTTGCCGTCGAGATCAAGCCCATTCAGCCATCTCTCTAGACCAACTTCTCGGAAAAGGAACTCTCTTTCTGCTAATCCTCCACCCTCTGAGGTTGGTACGCTGACCCATCGAGAGTTGACCCATGTCTCCTCTCCCCTTCGGAGCAAAGTAGCTACCTCTTCCTTCGGTCTCCCATCGAAGTATATGTAGGCTGCGATGGTCTCGTTCGGAGAGGTCGTAAGTGGTAAATATGGAGCTATCGAGGATGCATATCGCCCTCTATCATGGCTCATGCCAGGGAGCGTGCTGACTTTCCGAGGGGTTGGGTAGGGATTCTCTTGGGTTGGTTTGGGAGAGGAGTATGGCACGTTCAACCCAGGCGTGAGTAGGGTGATTGATATAGCAAAGGTAGACTGTTCTGGTCTCTGTCCATTGGCTGTGGAGTTGTTCGGTAACTTGGGGGAGGTACTGGTATGTAAGAGCTTATGCGGGAGAACCGAGACTGTTTCTGAATAGAGTATTCCGAAATAGGACCATCAGGCGTATGGATACTGACGGCCAGACCTTTGAAGCAAGGCATTGTTGTCGCTTTGACTTGTGAGGTACGAGGATGTTGACGAGACGGCAAACCAAAAATTGGAAAGAAGTGTCAGAACTCGAGATGCAGGGCGAATGCGGGGTGCGGATCGTAAAGTCTTTGGAATGGGCTCAATGTGAGAGCGCTGCGTAGGTCTTGTACATTTTGAGGTTAGCAAGCAAATCAGTCTGAAGTCAAAGCTGACGGCGTGTCAATTTGAACGAAGTGGTCCGTGTGTCTGGAACAGGGAGCTCTAACGCGAGGCTTCGAGCTGGAGATTGGGAGGGACGAACAATTTACTCTGGCATAATGAAAGCAGAGTACAAAGGCTGTGGACATTCGCGTTCGAATAGTCGTGGCAAAAGCTACAAAGCTGCAAAGTAAACGTTGGTGAAGTTCTCAGTGCTTCAAATCACATGTGATGGCATTGGGCATGTTGAACTAGCCTCTTCGGGCACGCCCGACAGAAATCTCCCTAAAAACCGAGACAACGTCTTTTCAGCACGGACACACCGTTGAACCCAGCAATAGATATATCGTCTTTCGCGATAGGCCTTGAAGTCTAGTTACGGCATTGCTTATATGAATTATACATTTTGTTTCGAGTACTATCGTGAAGAAAGAGCACGGGGACGCATGGCGCCAGCCCAAACCATATTCATATGTACCAGGGCGTTGTCCCTCCCGCAAATAATCCCAAAACGCCTATGCTACATGATTCGTAAATTTCTTATGATCAAATGCCATAAAGGTGGAAGGTTCAGGGTCCGACTTTCTTAGGCCTTCTGCCATGAACATTGGCATTGCTGGTAAGTAGAAGACATGTCCCGCCGTATCCTAGACCTTCGATGTGGACTTGGTCCACCTCCGACAACATCGTTGTGAAGAGGAATAGTGGCTTCATATTCAGTCAACAGGACGGTGTTCAGTGCTGGGCCAAGCCGGAAATCATCTAGAACTTGAACCTGTTGGCAGTACGGAGCGGTAGGGTTCACAGCGTTTCGCTTTTCTTTAATCTTGATAGTCTTGGGGTATTGAGGGTAGCTTGATATTGGCACCTGTCTTTTGGGATAGCTACCCGTTGGGGATGCGGAGGAAGAGGAACTAGAATCCGAATCCGAATCCGAGTCTGACGAGTCATCCTCATTCTGAGTGTAAATGAATCCGCTGAAGACGGTTCCGTTCCAGAAGCAGTACCATGGTTTGTCTCCTGGGCGTGCTAAGTAGGTCTGATTCCAGTCAGATTGCTGGAGTTGGCGTTCCGACAAGCTAGCATATTCTTCCCAGCCTTCTAGCCATCGCCTTACTGACCACACGCTGTCTCGCTTGCTCGGGAGCACAGGACCCGGGAAATCTTCAGCCTTGACAATGACCGTTTTGTTGAATTGCTGATTGAAAGAGTACGCAGGGCCTTGGTTGAAAGCACTTTTGCTCTTATCTCTTGCCAGGACTAAATCCGTGAGGCCAACTAACTCAGGAGGTTGTGCTCCGTATCTAATCTGCTGATTTGGTAGGTTGCTGTAAGTCAAATTAATGATGGGCGGTGCCATTTGTCCACTGCTAGGCATTTGTATATCAATTTCGAGATCCGCGCCATTCGAGCAATCCCAAGCGTTGTTTTGGGCAGGGTTTGTGAGACACGAGTTTGACGATGATAGAGGCTCTTGAAGAGACACAGCCCATGTACCAGTGGGGATTATAGGTAATTGGGTCGGAGTTGGTATTGGAGCAGCGTCATCGGGAGTTTCTCCGGGTAGAATGGACGTGGTCACTATCGATGGGGAAGCTCTGTGATATCATCAGTAAAGCGTCACAACTCACACCTGATTGGCAAACGTACGTTAGATGTGAAGGGGAAGCAGTCGCCTGCATAGCAGTCTCAACTCCTTTCTTGACTCCATCTCGGTGGGCAAGTACACCGCCAAGTACGCCACCAATCATAATGGCAACGAGAAAGGTGACGACGAGGCTCAGAAGCCAGCAAGGTAACACGCCCCAACAAACGCGTTTCTTGTAGCTACGATGTGCACGCTGGGTGAAACTTTCTTTCTCCTCTTTCTGAAGCGCTTCAACTTGGGTTGTTGTAGAGCTTACAGGTGTAGGATAGTCTCCAAAAGGATCGCGAAGGGGCGAATGAGCAGGATTTTGCGTTGGTAGTTGAATGATTGGGTGGCTGGTTGTGTTATGGTCATTCTCAGGAGGAGCTCTCTCATTATCACGGATCTCCCCTGCATTCAGGGTAGAACTGTCACCACTTGACGTCTGATTGGGAGTAGCTGGACCATAAAAGCTTCGAGTAGCGTGGGGATCCCGTTTCGGTGGAATGTCGTTCGCGTATCGCGTGTATGGGGGTAGTTGTTCGGCATAGCCATCTGGACCGACTATGTCGTCAATATCTTCACCCTCCGGCCCAAGGCGCCGCTGGTATGGCTGAGGGGGTGGTCGAGATCCGACAGGATAAGCGCCCGTAGACACATCATTCTGCACAGATGAAGCGTTTTCTTCGTCTCCAGCAGTTGTGTTCTGCGGATACAGACCATAGGGCTGCGTAGGGCCCCTGGGACCTGTATACGAACGTTCTGGCTGACGCATGGTCGACGTGGTCGCTGTGCTTGCTGCTCGCGACAGCCCTGTATTTTGTAAATACATGCCATATGGTTGGCTTGGTCCAGTAGCACCCTGATACGGGCTCTCTGCTCTTGAAACTCTGAATGACGAGTAGGTAGATCTTCGATTCGTTGCGGGAGATGTTGCTTCTGAGGCTGAATTTCGGTTCCGTGCAAATGAAAATCGCGAAGCAAACGGCCTTTGATAGGAGCTATGTTGTGAAGTTTGATCTCTGGAAATTGTGTTGTCCGGTGGATCTTGCGGTGAAGAATGAGAGGTTATTGAGGACCGTCGCGTTCCGGCCCCATCTTGATGTTGTAATTCATGGTCATTCTGGCTGGAAACCATTGTTGGAGATGTCTGTGCTGATTCATTGTCGAACACGGGCAACGCGTGCTGATCACCAAATACGTTCGATGCCGAAGACCGTGTGGATTGTCGTGTTGAACCTGAGGATCGATTCGACCGACGATCCATGACCGCGGCTTTTCTAGGGCGCTGTGGCTTCAGTAAAAGCAGAACGCCGCTTCTTCAACGTGGTAAACAAGATGTTTTCATGTCATTTGCATCCTACGTGGCTCTTGACCTTGTATTTCGGGGGTTTGGGGATGGATTGACGTTTCGATAAGAACTGCGAAGGAGCCAGGGGCCGAGAAACAAGCGATTAGCCTTGGGGCGAAGGGCGGGTCAGTGGCGCTTCAGCTAAAACGTGCCAAGACTCCAAGAGCCCGTTCCTCCTTCCCAAACCCCAATTAAGCAAGGGTGCAAAAACACAGATATCCACTCCCACATCAGAAGATCAATTAATGTTCCATTATGATCTCTACTCAACCTACAGCGCTGTACAGTAGTATACAATCACAATGCTGATCTTGGCAGGCCAACCGTCTATCGTCTATGTATACTTGAAGGCCTCGGGGAATCTCAGAACTTAGATGTCATCAGTATGGACAAGCCGCCCTGTCAACTCGGATTATTCGAATCAATCAAAGCAAGCACTGCATATTTCTCGAATGTCTTTTTCAGTGCCGGTGCTTAATTTTCGCAGAAACCAAGAATCTTGATCAGTCCTCATGCCTTGATCTCGTACTTTCGTTGGTATAGATCGTTGACCTCTGTCAAGTAATATGTACCGGCCACGATGGTATTCACATTCCCACTCGGTGTGTATCCTTTCTTCATATGAGCTTTCTTACGTAGCTCGCACATCTGTGAAATGGTCAGCAGTTCCTCCATTCGAGTTGCGAAGAGTGCGGACCTCATCATAGACCTCCGGAGGCACAGTCCTCCGATTGTCTAATCGTGTTTGCAAATCTACTTTCGTTGCCATCTCCGACGTATCTCCGACGACTCTCATGCTGAAGAAAGAACTCGCAAGGCCACTCCCGTAGCTGAAGACTCCTATTCTTCGACCTTTGATCTGCTCGCTTGAGATATTGCTGAGGAGGGCGACTAGAGAACCGTAGACACTGGCACAGTACATATTGCCGCACATAGTCGGCACTTGAATACTTGGCTGTACCCTTGCTTGGAAATGTTTCTTACTTAGACCCATAAATGTCTTTTCAACATTCTTGTCGGTCAAGGAAGCCTCGTAGCTCAAATCTCGAATGTCCTTCGGAACAGGTTCAAACGCAGGGCTGTCAGGCGATGCTCTGAAATCATTGTACAGCAACCTGCCATAGGATTTGGCGACCAGTTTACAGGCGGGGGAGTGAAAAAGCATGTAATCGAAGCGATCGAGGGGAGTCGTTCGTTCGCCTCTAGACTCATGCACACCGTTGGCCATTCCACTGCCTTGAAGCTTCTGCTCTCGCTCATTGTATGCTTTGTAGCAAGCATCTAGTGCCTGCGTGTAGCACGTGACCGAATAATGACCATCGACGACAGGATATTCCGACGTCAAATCTGGTTTGTAAAAGTCGTAGACATGTTGCATGTGAGTGCCTCTCATGCCCGGCTCCAAGGCAATTGGCGCATTCGGACCAATGAGCATCGCGACGCAGCCAGCACCACCTGTCGGTCGTGCATTGCCCTTCGCATACAGCGCGATGTCTCCAGCCACCACAATAGCGTCCCGTCCATCCCAGGCAGATGACTCTACCCAATTAATTGCGTTGAAAAGGGCATTGGTACCACCATAGCATGCATTGACCGTATCGACACCCTCGACATTATTATTGCCAGACTCCTGAAACAGCTGCATCAATACGGACTTGACAGACTTTGACTTGTCGAGTAGTGTTTCTGTACCAACTTCCAAACGCCCAATAGACTTTGGATCGATGGAGTATTTTTTCAGGAGGGAGGAGACAGTAGTTAGAGCGAAGGAATAAATGTCTAGGCCAAAAGTCAGTGAAAGGTCAACAGGTTCGCACGACTTGCGCTCACCTTCTCGATCATCACAGAAGCTCATTTTCGTCTGGCCTAATCCAATCGTGTATTTTCCAGTGCTGACTCCATCGAATTTCTCCAGTTCAGCTTGATCCACGCACTATTGGCTTTCAGCTCACAAGGATCCTTAAGGTAAGTAGACAACAGGGGGTGGGGTGCTTTACCTGGCTGGGAAAATACATTTCGATTGCCTTCACCCCAACATTCTGCGGTCGTGATGCCATGGTTGTGGGAAGTCACTTGTAGGAATTGATGCCTAGAATATGATTTAATTGCGATATCTCTCGAACATGCCTTATCAATGGATCTCAATAGCTGCTGGTTCACAGATGTGATGAAAAGACTGGAGGCCGTGACAAAGAGGTAGTTGAAATGAGTCGACTTCAGGAAAGACAAACTCCGAGACACTTTATATGGTATGTTCAGATTTGAATGCCTAGCGAGCGATCAATGGTTCCGAGAAACGGGTGTGGTTGTGTAAGTAAATCACGAATGTTGAAGCCTAGACGCGCATTATTGCCCAGATTTTCCCTTAGACTCGAGATTTGCCTCTTCAGGCATTGCCGCCCCTGACGCAAGATGCCCACAGCGGGTCCTCTCGCTTCTTCACTGCCCGCCGCAGGGTCTTTCCCCTGAGGCCCACCAGGGCCCACGCCCATTCGCCCCTTTCGCGCGGAGTTAACGGCGTCCTTCCCCAACAGCATCTGACCCACGAAGAACGCAGATGTCGAAAGCATGTCTCGAGCCAGAAGACTTTTCTTTGACCCTACCAAATCAATCCTGCTGACATTGGATGCATTTGGTACATTGTATAGGCCTCGACAATCAATAGCTTCAATATATGCCAGAACTGCACGGGAGCATGGTCTGACTGGCTTCAGCGACGGCGATGTCGATGCAGAGTTTAGGAAAGGTGATATATGCAGAGACGCTTACAGCATTGCTCTAACATGGCCTATCGCTAGCATTCAAAATGACAATGACCGAGCATCCTAATTATGGGAAGTCCAGTGAGATGACCCCTTATCAATGGTGGACAAATGTGAGCACCCTTCCTGAAAGCGAGATCTTCAATGGCCTACTCTAGGTCCTCATTTCTTGTCATGATTATAATACTTGGAAGAAGGGAAAGTGATGGGAAACTCAAATTAGAGCAAAGATCTCTGTCTCTATTGAGGGTACTTGACCCACCACGCTCAAGGCGCAAGGATCCTCCTTTTTGCATGTTATTTATATTTTTCCATCGTCCATCTAGGGTAATGATGTCGTCTATCTAGATCATACGTTCAACATTTTCTCCGTACGCTTCAACTCATGAAGTGCCGTCGAAGCTGATTGCAGAATTGTGGGACATCTTCAGTACAAGCAGAGGGTATACGCTGATGCCAGAAGTGGCACCCTTCTTCAAAAAATTGGCCAATCTCAGAAGAGCAATGAACTCAAAGCCTTTCCCTCGAGTGACGCTTATCACAGGTATCGTCACCAACTCCGACGACCGGGTATCTTCAATCCTGACGAACTTGGGTCTGCGGGTCAATACTGCTCGACGAGCACAGCAGGACGAGCTATCGACATTAGTCAACAAATTTGATCTTGACTTCACAACAACGAGCTACGACGTTGGCCACACCAAACCTGCGAAAGAAATCTTTGAGGCTGCTTTCGGACAAAGCGGGTATTCAACATCTGAGAAAGTCCAATGCGTCCACATTGGTGACGATCTCGTCAAAGATGTTCAGGGAGCAGATCAAGCTGGATGGGAAAGTGCACTGCTTCTACCGTCAAACCCCTCAGTAACATATGTTCCTCACCAGGACCCGAGCATTCGCCAAACGTCTTTGCAACTTCTGCATTCAGAGCTTGGCAGCTGGTGGTCTAAAGTGGCATCTTCCCCATCAAATCATAGGTTCAATTGATGGAATTGGTGATGCGACACCATCAGCGCCGTGACAATGAGGCTGTCCAGGCACAAAATCTCCGTACTCGTACAAATTGCCGAGGTCCATCCAAATCCATTGAAATTAGCGCGATTGCGTCGGGACTACTTCTCCATCAACGCCATCATGTAGTCAAGATCAAATTTGGGATTGAGTCCCTTCAACATCGCAAAGTCGGTCGAGAGACTCAAGATACATCATGGATTTGTCAAACAAGAGCGCTGTCCTGCGCTTCATCCTTCCCCAAGTCCCTTTCCTCACCAGAACCGCACTTTGGCACACGCTCTACCTCAGTCCTACCTCCACGAAATGGGATCTCAAGACCGAGCTCATCGTCAAGCTCTTACGCGAAGTTCTCAGCACTCCAAATCCTCGCGGAGCCCTCGCACAGCAACGAGCGTCGATCAAAGCACCACCAATCAAAGGGAAAATGTGGATATCAAAAACAACTCTACTCGCCCCAGAGAGTGATGAAGTCCCACAACTCTTGTACCAAGCGATTGATGACCTCAAGAGCTCCCCTTCACAGATTTACACTAGACCAGCTGTTCTACCAGTAGAAGCCGAATGGACAGGCTACCGTCCAGATGTGGACTCTCAGCGTGCTCGCCCCGACCTTAGTGAACGCCAACACTATGACCGCCTTATGTCAGATACAGCAACTCCCATCACAATCCTCTACTTCCACGGTGGTGCCTTTATAATGATGGACCCAGCCTCCCACCGCAATCCGGTTTCCCACCTATCTCATCTAACAGGTGGCCGTGCACTGAACATCCGCTACCGTCTCGCGCCTCAGCACCCTTTTCCAGCCGCCCTCCTCGATTGCTTCATAGCCTACCTCTCGCTCCTCTACCCTCCACCGTCCTCCTTTCACTCTACTGTCCCATCCTCCCAAATAATTCTAGCAGGCGACAGCGCAGGCGGAAATCTCGCCCTTGCCCTCACCCAACTCCTGTTACAAATCAATCACAGTACCTCTGAGGCCCAAAAGCAATCTTTTCGCTTCCATGAACACGAAGTCACCCTGCCTCTCCCTCTTCCCGCAGGTCTTGCGACACATTCTCCCTACTTGGACCTGACAGGCTGTCTCCCCTCCCGCGTCTCGAATGCGCAATACGATTACCTCCCTCCACCGCTGACATCCCTACGCCTCGCTACATGGCCAAAAGACGAAGTCTGGCCTACCGACCCTCCGCGCGGAGACCCCTATTGTGAGACCAGCATTCTCAATCATCCTCTTGTGTCACCCGTTTCTGCAAAGAGCTGGGAGGGCGCGCCACCAATGTGGCTAGCCTATGGAGAAGAGATGCTAGCAGATGAAGGAAAGCAGCTTGCAAGTTTGGCGAGTGAGCAGGGCGTGAAGGTTATGTGGGAGCAGTGGGAGGCACAGTGCCATTGTTTTGGCATGATAATGCTAGGGGCGGCGAATTCAAAGCGATTTTTTAAGGATTGGGCGGGATTCTGCAAGGCGGTCTGCGTTGTTGAAGAGGATAAGGAAGAGGGCAAGGCCAAAGGAAGCTTGGCAAGCAGTGGGCTGTTCTTCGAGGCCAAAACTTTGAAAGAGAGGGAGGTCGAGGTTGCTAAGCTGAAGGTCGTGGAGAAGAGCGAGCTGGACGAGCTGATGCTCAAGGCCATGGAGAAGAGAGAACTGCATCCCGCAGAAGCGACGAAGACTATGCCAAAGCTCTGAGCATGAACATTCTAGACTTGATAAAAGTGGTCTTCATATACCCAATAAATGCAATCCAACTTCATCCTAAAGTACCTATCACCTAGGCACTCTCAACAACAACCTCACAGCCCACACTCCCCGCCAGAGCATACGCCTCCAACTTCCTTATTCTGACCCTCATGTCTTTTACCCCCTCCCCTCCCCTCCCCCTCGTCTCCACACAAACAGCCTCCCCAACCACAGACGCCAACCTCTCCACCGTCAAAAACTCACTTCCCTCAACAACCTCCCCCACTCTCCTCACCAGTCCCTGCCAAAATCCCTCCTCCCTCTCCCTCCCCCTTCCAATCTCTTCTTCCCCGGCGGCCATATCCTCAACAAACCCCCTTCTTCAAACCCAACGCCCAAATCCAACACCACACTCTGCTTCTCCAACCTCTCATGCTCATTAACTCCAATTACGCACGCGAATCCCAATCCTCTAACATCCCACTTCTCCTGCCGCGCCGCCCAGCTTATTTCCCACCCCTCCCGTATATCGAGCGAGCAACTATACCGCAGCCCCGCTCCTCCTCCCTCATCGCCCGTACCTGCCCCTATCGTCCTCAGCACGCCCTTCGGCGCCACGATCTCAACATCCAACTTATGTACCGGCCACGCCACTCCCTCCTTCCCTGCCCCTCCACTTCTGTTACCACCACAAGCGAGCACAACGACCCGTCTCGCCACCTCCTCCAATCCGCCCTCCACCCTTCCATCCCCACCTTTCCCCCCACCCCCAAAACCCCCTACAACAGCAGCATAAACACTACTATAACTAAACGTCCCGCCTAACTCATCGCTCTCGCACGCGCGTGGCACTTCGCGCAGTACGAGGCCGAGAGATATAGCGATGGGTTGCGGTTTCGAGGGGCGGGACCATGCGTCGTGGCTTAGGGTGAGGGGAAGGGTGAGGGAGGTGAGATGGAGAGTTGTGGATGTTGTGCGCGTGTTGGGGTTGGGGATTGCCATGTTCGTTCGTTTTTAGAGCGGTGGAAAGAGGGGGGGGCGGGGGGGGGTTGTGGATGCTGGCTAGGGAGGGTCGAATAGGCGAGAGAGGTAGGGAGGTGAGGACGTAGTCGAGGGGAAGGGGAGGGAAATACTGGTAGAGTACGGAGAAGTAGAGGAGACTTTATTGTGTGAGGTGGGATATAATGAGTATAGGTTGACGGGGTGGAACGCCGTTTAAGATGCGAGGCGGGTGGGATTCCGTGGACCGGATTTTGGGGGATCGTGAGCGTCGATGGTGCAGGTGAAAATGGGCTTTCTATTTGGTAGATACATTGGGGAACCAGATGTCTAGAAAGAATTGATTCAATGGACTTTTGTGATATAGTCTACAACAGCAGAACATATGGAGCTTCTCCTCCCTCGCATAATCGTTTCAAGCCAGCTGTTCTGTGCAAAATCCATCTGGTTGACAGCTACTTTCCTTTACTCACAACAGTTCTGCAATCGATGATATCACCTCTCACATCATACCAAGTAGCAGAACCTTCCTACTCCCGCCAATTTAAATATCCTTTTAAGCCCATTGGTTGTTGGAATAATTGTGGGGTGACAGAGGTGATTCTCTAAATGAATAAGCGAGTGATCTTTCGTTGCGAGAAGGCCTCGCATTGACAAAATAAATGTAAAGAGAAGTGAGAATCACCAGTATCCCCTCGACTGACGTTCATCCCCATATCCTCCCCCGTAGCCCCTCGGTGGAGGAGGAGATCGACGAGGGGGTGGATAGTCGCCATTTCGAGCATAAGGGTCGTCGTATGCGCCACGCCGAGGTGGAGCGCTGTATGGGTCAGGCTCTCGACCGTAACCCCCACGCGGAGCGCCATACCCGTCATCCATTGGGGGAGCACCACGAGGTGGACCGCGGGGTGGCGATCGATAGCTACCATGACGGCCGTAGTAATCGTCACGAGGGGGAGGTGAGCGGCGGCGATATTCCTCACGGCGAGGGCTGTAGCCGCGGGGTGGTGGTGGACGACGGTCGTAATCGTAACCTCCATTCGGCGGGTACCCTCCGCGTCCGCGGAATGAAGGCGGAGAGCGGGAACGGTAGCGCGAGTCCTGACGACCTGGAACCTCCTCTTGGATCTGTAGGATTTCAGTATCGCCCATTAGGGGATTGAGCAGAAGACTTACATCGGATATGCAGCGAACAGAGGTACCTTTGAAATCTTGGTTGTCAAGCTTGTCAACAGCGACTTTGAGGTCTGGACCAGTTTCAAATTCCACGAAACTAAAGTGATTGTGAGCAAAAGCTTTGAAGATATATGAGCAGGGGAGACTGACCCTCTACCATCGCGTTCACGCCCAATTTCCGAATACACCACGTCTAGACCAGAACGACGAGCGAAGTCTTTGAGATCCTAGGGTCCCGGTGAGCCAGTGTCCAGGCCAGACATTTACCGCACGATTTTCTTCAGCGTAATGACATTGTGGATTCATCTCTTCGCCAGATCCACCAAGAAAGTAAGAAAGGGCCAAGCCTTGAGCACAGCAATCCACAGATAAATGTAGAGCAGATCTAAGGGCAGGGCATACGGAGGATATGAAGAAGCCGATTGAGAGCCCCATCGCTATAGTCTAGCAAGTAGCCCCAAATTGGCACCACCTGTGAAGGGGGAAAGAGAAGCACGACCCTCAAGACCATGAAATTGCCAGACAAGCCGGCCGGGGTCGGTCACGCAAGCACAGTCCTACCATTGAGAGCAAGATTGCCAAAGCCAACGAGATGAAGTCAATGCGGCCAACCAATATAGGGGATGACGTGGAAACCAAGAGTGTCAAGCAACGAAAGAGTAGCTAACCTGCCAGGAAGTTTCCACCGGAAGACCCGTGATCTGCATGCGGAATGCGGTACGCCGGGGACGTGGTGGACGAGGGCGCTCAGGAGCTGGGTAGTCTCGAGGACGCGAGCCACGAGCGAACTGGACCGTCAAGCGATTGCCCTTGAAGTCAGATCCGTCTAACGACTGTATCAGCATTTTGAAACCCTTTTTTTTTTTGGTCCTGTGTAGAGGCTTCAAAGGGTGTAGCATGAACATACGGAAATCTGTCACTCAAGACCGTTAGCATAGGCATGATTATAAGGATTGGATAATTTACGAGGCACGACATCACGCGCATCAGCGGCGTCCTCATACTCCAAGAAGCCAAAGCCATTCATTATTTTGATCTCGTTTATGGTGCCTGGCCCGTCCTGAAAGTGCTGCGTGATCTCCTCTTTGGTGACTGCAATCCAGAAGCAATTGAGTCAGCGAGCGTCCTGTCAGAAGAGTCTATGCCAGGCCATGTAGAAGTGTCAAACAATCTGCGGTGATCCTTTCCAGCACGTAGTAGGCCTAGGAAGCAGCCAAGACGACCACCATTCACCTGCGGTGAAGACGGTCCCAGAGACAGTCGCAGCGTAGGGGATAATCATTAAATTCGTTTTGCATACCATCGCGAGGGAGATTGCCCAGGTAAAGGCGAGTGGAGGATACTGAATCGCTCATTCTCAAAAAACTGTTGTTGGAGAAAACTAGATTGCGATATGCGGTGAATATAGCTTGAGATGTGGCTCGAGAGATGACAATTCTCCAGATTTCAGTGATAAGAAGGATATGTGGTCGTTGCCATCGACGGATGAACTCGGTGGAGATGTGGAGGAAAGATGGAGAGGGTAGAGGAAATCTTGCAGTTGAAGTGGGAGCCGTAGAAGAATTGGGCGCTGCCAAGACTGAGGCGGTCTGGACCAATCACAACCCTGCAGGGGAAAGGTAAGCTTGCCCAAGGTGAATTTGGGTAGCAATGTAAGCCATCAACAACCTAACACGAGGTACATGCAATACTGATCATGGTGAGAGAGAAGACTGCATAAAGCCAGTATCAGGGCGTTCGGTAAGTATGTGCAATCTAAGTCCAGCTTGCAGGTGTCTAAGATACTTCATATGTACAAGAAGTTACGGTAGGAGTTGAGGGTATGACCACCATCTTTTGAGTATATTCGATTTATTCAACATGCCCCAAACAGATCATCGAGATCCTCGATCTGTATTTCTTCTAGCTCTCTCGTATCCCACGTCAATGCGGCCCCGCTGTCACCTAGTATGGACCCTGACTCCTGCATCACAGTGTCTTCGTTTTCCGCGCCAGTCGTCTGTTTCTCAGCAAAAGACTGGAGTGGCTTGACCAATGGACTGCTCTTGGGGCTACTTCCAAGGGGTAGACCAAGTGATTGTGGGTGATGAGTTCCGAACAAAGCCTCAGCAGCTTCCCTGTTAAGCCGTGCTTTGTCTTCTTCATTTTCTACGGACTGGAGTGACGATGTGAGCTCGATCGTTGGCCTAGCGAGAGCGTCGTCCAGACTCATACCACGCATCCTCACATTACTCGCCGTCTGTGTGAATTCTTTTTCGTCGCCTTCAAGGGGAGGGCTTGCGGCGCGGTGATGAGGGGACAGGCTGTGATCGAAGCTCGAGTTATTCGAGTCCACTCTTGGCAGGCTTGATCTGTGTACAAAAGAACCAGGGGTGACTGGGGTAACAAAGTCCATCTCCGGCGAGTTGTCGGTCCCATCGAGATTATGCGACGACAAGTCAACTTCGGGGCTTGGACTCAACGCCTCTCTCTTTCTTTCTTCGGCGGCTTCCATGTCCTCATCAACGCTCGCACTGCTGACGCTAGGCGAGATGATTCTTTTGCTTCCTTTCCCGATCGCATTCGAGGCGGCGAAGAGGTCAGATGAGTCAGTAGGGAGGTCTTGGTGGGGTGTGGTGGTGAGAAAATAGTAGATCTTTCGAGGATGAACAGCGGTGAGTTCTTTTTCAATTGGACATGGAGATAATATGCTCCATCCAGGTCGCTTGATGTATGCTGCAAGACGGGAGGAGAGAAGAGCGCCTGGATTTGCAGAGCTGTGCGACGTCAGTTTATGATCTTCTACAGCTACATTATTAATTTCCACATACCTAGCGACGGCGTCGTTGACGCTCGAGAGCACCGTGGCAAGCTCCTTTATCATGTGAGGCCGGTTGCCGGTCTTTTCTAGCTGTTGGATGACTCCAACGACGATTTCGTCGTTTATGCCGTTCGTGTCGTACGTGGTACGCGATGAGGGTTCGGGTGACGTGGGCGGTGTATCTTCATAGCGCCTTCCAATTTTGGGCCTCTCAGCAAAAGAAACATTCTTGGTCGTTGACGAGGATGTTGTAGATGCCTTCAGCGCAGGAGTCGCTAGCGGCGAGCTTGAGTCCGACGTATGTGACTGTTTTCTTCTTTTCTGGGGCGGCTGTTGTGGTGGCGAGGATCGTTCTTGAGTTGGGGAAGCCTTGGTGGTAGAATGGCGGTGAGCGCGAGAGGCGTTAGGGAGCTGAATCCCAAGTGCAGGCAACGAAAGCGACTTTCGTCGGGTATCGTAAGGCATCTTTAGGCGTCTTTCACGAATGCTGCATAGGGGTGTCTTTTCGAGATTGCAGGAGATGTTGATGGTCGCCGAACAGGGTGTGTATAGGTCACGGTCTTGGAGATTGTTGTGTAGAGGCAAGGTGCGGGATGCAGAAAAAGTGCGCGAGTCAAGGGATGATCTGCCGTGACGACGGTTGCTATTGGGAGATGCAGGCTGCTAAGAAAGCAAGGAGGAGTGCATCGGAATGCAGCCTTAAGCAAGCGACTACAAGTTTTAGCCTCTTAACTTTCTCAAGCACTCCTTTAGCGGGCGACGACAGATGGATTATCGCGCACAGCTGCCAGCGCCCGAATCTTGAAGGAGGGTCAAACGATGGTCCGGAACTTTGGGGATGGAAGTTTTGGGTTTGGGCGAAGGTTGCTTTGTCCCAACTCCCTGAGAGGCCCGAAGCTGACTGGTGTGCTTGAAACGACGAGGCTACAGCGAATTAGAATCTGTGCGGCCTCCTGAGAGTCCAGGGTCTCTGTGTGGGTCGAACCGCCGGTCTGAGAGCGGCAGGCAACGACGATAATAATATCTCTCTGTTTACCAGCCAGGGCTATTCTCACCACGAGACAAGAAATCTTGGTAGTACTGGAATAATGGTGATGGTAAGTAGACGAAGTATGTTGGATGAAGAGCGACAACAATGCACAGGGAGAAGGGGTCCAGAGAGAGATAGAGGATAGGGGAAAAGGGAACAGAGAAGGAGAATAGCGCATGGATGTCATTTTCCAGCAAATGAGAGTGGCGCAAGCTGACATCACTATTCTGGAAGAGGCAAAGCGGTGGATGGATTTCAACTATAGCAATTTCTGGACCGTTTTGACTTCAGACGCTTCATCCTCTGGTAACTTGGTTTGTAACGGTTTTGACGGGTTGGTCTGCGACGCGCTTCTTAACCTCCCAAAACCCGGTTGTCAACCCATCAGATGCGTCGCGACACGACGCGGATGCGGATTCGCCCTCACCGTGAATTGCCACGTTTAGTCACGCGATGGGATTTGGTTGAAGGCTTGCCTTTGGCTTTGTGCTCACGTGTCTCTTTGTCCTCTTCCACTCTTCGAGAAGCTTTGTAGGCTGCCACAGAGCCCATCACGAATCACATATCACATATCACATTTGCCCCCACCACCTCGCTTTGCTCCGGCGGTCGGGGCAAAGCCACCGGGATCGCGGGGTAGCTGGGTCCACAGCCAATCAGATTGTATCACCGGGATCTGGACAATAACCGCAGAGGGACCAGATGTCGGCAAAAGACCCTGAGCCTCAAGATGCTGCTAAATTCGGATCATGGCTGCCGACAACGGTGAGATCACTCCAGAACCCTTTTTGGATGTTGGCTTCCATTCGTATCATTGATGCGAAGAAGGCTGCTATGCAGTATGCACAAACCGCATTACCAGTCTATCTTTACAGATGAAACAGTAGGATGCCTGCTGATGCTGAGATCTCTTTCTCTATCGTGAGGTTATATAATGTCAACCACAAAACGTAGTATTCTACTACAATCCTTGCATTTTGCTCCTCTCCCTCATATCACGTCATCACGTATTTCGGACCTTCGCCTCCCTGAGGGGTCTGCCAATTTATATTTTGAGCTGGAGCTTTGATATCGCAGGTCTTGCAATGTATGCAGCTAATGAACAGAATGAGTCAGCATCTGTGGAACAGTCCTGATGAGAATTGCGATCGCTTACTTTTGCGAGTTGATCTGAAATCTCACTCCATGCTCTTCATTTGCGTCCTCCACGTATTCATACACGCCAGCAGGACAAAAGCGGTTTTCAACGCCCTTAAAGCGAGGCCACATCTCATTCTTATGCTTCTTCCAATCCTGCACCTGGAGATGACATGGCTGGTCCTCTTCGTGGTTTGTGCCTGTCCTCGAGACAGATGTCAAGATATCGAAGGTGACTTCACCATCTGGCTTGGCGTATTCGATCTTTTGGGAAATTGCCGCCGGCTTAGTGGCGGCATAGTCACCTGGTTCCTTGTGCTTCAAAGTCCAAGGAGTCCTGCCTCGGAAGATATATGCCTCAAGTCCAGAGTACATGATTCCACCGTAGATCCCTAGGGGGTATGAAAAGATGGTCGCATATTCCGGACTTCTTTCAATTCTGCCCAGATACTGCTGTTGCGGAGCTTATCCTCGTAGTCATATAGAAAGACGGACGAGCCAGCGCCTGGAGGATTATTGGTCAAGGCTGCATAAGAAGCCTCAGCTGCCAGCATTCCTGACCGCATAGCTGTATGCGTTCCCTTTATTTTTGGAACATTGAGAAAGCCGGCCGTATCCCCTATGAGGGCACCTCCAGGGAACGCACATTTGGGTATCGATTGGAACCCCCTTCGTTGAGTGCTCTAGCGCCGTAAGATATGCATTTGCCACCTTCAATGACAGATCTGTAGGTAGGGTGTTGTTTCATTTTTTGGAACTCTCCATATGGGGCCAGCCAAGGATTGGGATAGTCTAAGCCAACGACAAGTCCCAGGCTGACAAGATTATCGCCAAAGTGGTAGAGCCAACCGCCACCGTACGTGTCCTTTGGGAGAGGATAGCCCATAGTATGAACAACCTCTCCTTTTTTGAACTTTTCCGGTTGCACCTCCCATACCTCCTTTAGGCCCAGACCATATGTCTGCGGCTGGCTATCTCTTCTCAGGTCAAACTTCTTGATCACTTGCTTCGTCAAGCTACCATGACAGCCTTCGGCAAAAAGAGTGACACGTGCGTGAAATTCCATCCCTCTCTCAAAGCTTGGCTTTGGCTCGCCACTTCGTGATATGCCTACATCATTCGTTGCTACACCTTTGACGGCGCCATCATGGTTATAGAGCACTTCGCTTGCTGCAAACCCCGGATAGACTTCCACCCCGATGTCCTCAGCACGCTCACTCAGCCACTTGGAAAACTGATTTAACGAGATGATGTAATTGCCATGGTTGTTCATCTGTGGAGGCGCTGGAATCGGTATGGCGCTATTCTTGGTCAAGAAGCGCATAAAGTCTTTCTTTGCAGGTGTGGCATTGTCAAATCTGTTTGCATTGTCGTCTGATAACCAATCCGGCAGTAGCTCGTTTACTGCTGAGGGTTCAATGACATTGCCCGAGAGAATATGAGCGCCAATTTCCCCAGCCTTTTCAAGTAGTAGGACTCGGAAGTCTTCATTTCCTGCATCGTTGGCGAGCTGCTTTAATCGAATCGCTGCGCTGAGACCAGCCGGGCCTGTAGAGTATTAGTTGTGGGCAACTGATACTCGGGTTACAAATCAGCCTACCGCCGCCGATAATACACACGTCGACCTCATCATTCACCCGATCTTGCTGGCGAGGATCCGATGTCTCTTGAACGTCCTCGAGACTCCGCCTTAGTGATGTGGCGAATTGTTGTTGTTGACGCTGGGGGAACGCCCGCCCGTTTCGTTGCTGGAAAAGCGTCCGTCGTCTTGCGGGAGGGAAGTATGAGTAGGAGCGGGCGAACAAGCTGAACGAGATGCTGGGGCATTTCCAGCCTGTTCTCCCAGCCAGCGCACATGGCGTCGGTATAGCCATGGAGTGAAGGTTGAGGTTGAAAGAACGCCGGTCCCTTCAACGTCTTGATTCTGGATATTTTGGAAGACCTCGGCAAATCTGAGGAACCAATCAAATGACGACATTACCAATAGCTTGGATGCCAGATTAAAATGACTTTTCACGCTTCAAGTTTCCACGATTTCTATACATCTGGCGCTTGCGAAGAAGGATTGGCAAGTCTCTACTGTGAGCTGCCTTAGCCAACTCAAACTGCAGCTTTTGGAAGGCGGGAGTCTACAAGTGTTCGCAATTGGCTGTTCTTTATGTGACATGAACGATCAAGTTTATTATAGACACATCACCGCAGGACGCTGTCCCATTTAGATGATTATACATGCCCTGCTACAAGACTGTGATCGGCTCCACGGGTACCTCAGTCCAATTGGCCGGCATCTCTGCTGGAGGCGAGTTGTACACATCGACAATGAATTTGTTTCGGTCACCAACAAGCCCAAAGCCTCCACGGTTAAATTCAAGTCTCTCAGATAAACAGCGATTATTGATCATCTCAGCGACCCAGCCTGCAAGAGCTAAAGAGAAAAGGTCGCTAACCCTAGGTCTGACCACACGTATATCCACGAAGCATCCTTGAGAACCGAATGGCCCCGGGAGATTGTCGTCTGTATACTCTTTGATTTCTTGAAATTGGGGCTGATAGGACAGGTATGCTATAATGGCTTTACATGCGTTAGGTCTGACTATTGATCGTCCAGCATCGTGAGAGTCGAAGCAGCGAGCAAAGCCTGTCTTGAGTGTCGTGCTACTCTCGGTGAGATTGAGAGGAACAGCTAAGCTTGTCGTGACGACGTAGGTCAATAACAGCTGTATAGTAATTACGCTTACGGGCTGCATCTTTGGCGCAGTCAATATTTCGTCGGCTAGAAGCAATAATTCTAAGGCAGTAAAGTGGATATGAGTGAAGGTTTGAAGCTGCGATGACCGACTTCAGACTTCCTCTTTTGTTGCTTGACCAACATGGTCCTTCTGCCGCGACCAGGTGAGTGACTTTGATGCGGGGAACATGTCTTACACAGGCACCCGCCACCTTGCCATGTGAGTCTTGCATTTTAGCCGTACTTTGGTTTCGGGACTCCGAATATGCCTAATAGTGGTTTACGTATGTTGCAAGAGACCGCACAGCAGAGACGAGCCTCTGGCTGGAGCTCATCAGCGACCTTGCATGATCTCAGGCGCATTTGCGCATATCAAACCTGGCTTAGAAAACCCCATAGCAATACAATGTGCCAGAGAATCTCTTGACTGTCTCCTATCCTTCCTTTTGTGGTGGCATACTGCTCTTCAGCTCCCCAACACCACGAGGAGTGCCAAAGTGACGGACTCTGCAGTCATATTACAGTTGCGTTTAGAATGGCGATGAGCTTCTGCGACGAGCCCTTCAACCGAAGGTCGTGTCTATGATCTGTGGAGATTGACGTTAATACGCAAAGATCTCTTACGCGTCATCCTCGTGCAGTTTTAAGCTTGTTTTCAACTCTTTCTCCTTATACTTTTCTGTACATACAACACGCCAAATCACATATTTCTACGCCTGTCCGCACATGCAAAAGTCGCGATTAATACGCACTTACATCAAGGACCATCGGTATCTTTATACTGCACACTATCCTATTCCAAGGCCCATTTGAGGTTTTAAGTGAAATGAATGCCATCCAACACTGACATTTCAAAGAACACGATTCGAATCGGGGGACGAAGCTTGCCCTAAACTTGTCGATGCCTCCCGTCGACGTGCTAGCCCTGATTCATTACCATGGGAACGAAATCTCTCTGGCGCAAGCTCACAAGGCATGCTTGGAAGAAAGCCCGATTGTTGAGGCGAATGCGATCATGCGAAGTGACTCGCGGTTGGAAAGTCACTTCTAGTCTTCTTATTAAAATCCGATGAACTCGGTATGTATTGTCAGAAGTATATGCTGGATACTGCTGTCGATGATAAGCCGCTGGCCAAGTTGGATGAACCAGAAAAGTTGTCAGTCAATGATGCGCATTTAAGAAGAACTATTCTTGTAGCCGTTCGCGACTATCTTGATTCAGAGCACGTACGTTTTCGCGACATCTATGCTGCCTCGCGCTAAACGGATTGTAGCGCATGATAACACAGCGCAGGTACTCCAAAATATTTCAGGAGCTTAGCAGCTGCCATTGGCGTTTTGTTCTGGCTTTACGTGACTGAAAAGAGGGAAAGAGGCGGACCGCGATGTGGTCTATGCTGTCTTTGCAGTGGGTTTCGGCCATCGCATGTCTTACGATTGCATCTATCGCTGCTCCCGCAAGCTTCGTAATCGATCCAGAGGATATCAACTTGATCAATTCCACCTCGTGAGTATTGCAACATCATCACTTGCGTTGTGTCCCCTCTAATCAATACTCCAGGGCCACCAATGCCATCCCCGTTCCAGGAACATACCTTGCGATCCGTGTCGAGATTCCTCCAGACTCAACCCCATTCGAAGAAGACCAAGAACACAACCTTCTCTACCACTTCAGCGACAAGCTCCGAGCGCACGGCACTTCCGACCTCATAAGACAAGAAAGTGATAATGAAGATAAGATACACGTGGAGGTTGGCCCTTCCAAGGGAGGTCCTGTCGAGAAACCGATCTCATACAGTGAAGCCGCGCGGGTGATAGATGCATTCAGAGCATACATCACCGAAGAGAAACTGTATCGGTCGTTAAACTTCGTCATCTACGACATCGGAACCGAGGACGAGAGAGCGGAAGGGAAGATTGAGCCATTGCCGGAGATCACGTTCCTACCAGGTGTTCTCGGCGGAGGAACAAATATAACCAGTGTCGTGACCTCGGCGCAGACACAGCGGAGAGCTAGAGATACACAGGAAGATCAACTTCCAATTGTCACCGGCTTGACGTTTCAGAATTATACCTCGCCCGTATCCCTAACCGAGTATGTCCCCTACCCCCGTCTCCATCTCCACCTTCCACCCCTTTCCCTTCTTGAACTTCTGCCCTTTCTCTTTCCCCCACTAACAAACCACCCAGAAAAATCCTGCTAACTCAGCTCCCAATCCCCTTCACCTACCCGCCCCTAACAGCAACGCTCTACACATTCACGCCCATCAGCGTCCTCAGCCCCTTCGACACCCTCAATGTGCTCTCGCAGCTCGCGACATGGCTGAGCGCGCAGATATCCGCCAGGCCAATGCCGGCGGAGGGAAGGTGGTTCGATGTGCCAACGGGGGGAAGGAAGGTTTTGAGGGCTAGTGTTGCGCCGAGGAGACAGGCGGAGGTACAGGGGGAGGGAGATGGAGAGGGGGGAGGGCAGGGGGGTGGTGGGCAAGGGGGGCTGGAGTTTGGTGAAGTAAGTGATGCTCTTTCTTTGAGGCTCTGTTTGTGGATGTGGGTGGGGGGGTGAAGAAGGGTGGGATGAGGAAGGGAAGGAGGGAGAGAGATTGGGAAGTGAGAGGGCAAATAATGGGGAGAATGGTTGGCTAATGAATGATTGGGAAATAGGCAGGCAAGACCATTTGGGCCATCAGAGAATACGTGAATCGTCACAGGCTATGGCGGGTGCTTTATTGGGAGATCGAGAGAGCGGGTGAGCACGTTGTTGGGGACGGGTTGCTGGGGACTATTATTCCGCTGCATGATGGGGGGCAGGTTGTTGTGGGAGCTGGTGAAGTGAGTTGAGTTCATTAGGATGGGGAGAGAGAGCACGTGCATAAGGCCTGGACTAGAAATGGATAGACTTAGATGGCGAGAGGTAGTGGCTGAGATTCTTCTCAGCTGAGACGAATTGACTTTGTCGAATCAATAATGATGGTGCTTTTGATGTGATGGTAGTAGTCTATCTACTTGATATGCCAATGACCTGGCCCAGTGGGTATCTTCGCTGTCATTCCTTGCTTCCTTTGAACGCCGTTACTGTCAATCCGATTTCCCATGCCCAATTCATTCCTCGCTAACGCGGTCCAAATATGCTGTGATCATCCATGCTCTGGTCGGTCCTCGTTTCCATCATTAAGTTGTCGTCAAGTTGTCTCGCTTGTCTCATTAATGCGCAGTAAACCTCATATCCACCCTCCCCTCGCTCAGAGGGTATATGAAGACATTTCGAATCGCTGCCATACGTCCAAGTCGCGAGCAGCCGGTTTGTGTTCTTGGAAGATATCAGTCGAGTCGTTAGTATATTGGTTTCATTCGGGGACATACCAGGCAGTTTGAAAAGCGGTGCGCCCACAGAGATACCGACGATACTCGCAACGGCAAGTAAGAATTGGATCCGCATATCGCGCGATATTTGGCTGGACGCGATACGGCTTGGATAGGGCGGGAAACAGTCTAAGTATTATATCAGCAAGACTGGATGTTCAAAAAGTAGAGTCGGGGCAGCTGGGATCTATATAATCAATCTATCAAGGTGGCGAGGTCAAAGGTAGTAGGCGATCCAACAATCAGGCGTACAGTGCTGACCGACACGCTGACCGTCAGCCCACGATGGATGATTATTACGGGCTGCCTGATGTTCCCACAGTAACGCTGGCAAGCCACCATGCAACCCCGACCCTGGTCCGTTTTACTGCCTTAGGGAACGTTAGATCGAAAGCTGGTGCACGGCCTAGAGCGGGAATCGACTGTTTTGGGCGATGCTTCATGCATGGTGATGATCCGGGTGCCTCCTCCCGCGGGCTTGCCCATTTCCGAGCTGAATCTGCTGCTTTGGCGTGCGTTTTCCCCTCATTTATCGTGTTCTCAAGGCCAATGAGATCGTGCATGTTTCTCGTTGAGATGGTGATTTGGCGTGTTCCTGAGAGAACCGTTTGAATTGCTTGCATCATTGCACGATATCGATCTTGATGGGCATTGGGCTATGCTGCTCGTGTTCCATTGTTTATGGTTCGTCACGTAAACTTAGCGCTAAGTCTGGCCTCCAAGCCCTCTATTAAATCGGGGCTTGGACTTTCTATTTCTGCGGCCGTCCCTCTTAGGCTTCGTTCAATTCACATCATTGTACGAGTCGACAGACATAGCTGTCAAATAAATTCTCAAGGTCAACACTGTTGTGTGCAGTTGTTGGCTGCCCAAGACTAAGTAATTCTATGGTGCAAGGAGCGGACGAATTGTTCTCCCGCTTTCAAAGCTCCGCTCCCTCCGCGCTCTTGAAGGAGGTCTCCCTCTCCTTTGTACTTATTCTCTTTACGGTCTGAGTGAAACCTGATTCATTGTGACTTATTTGACATGCGATTTGGCTTGATACAACCCGATTCGTAAGCATTACCGTCGGTTCTTTGCTATCATAGGCTATTCTGTCTTCACAACCCAATCATCAGGCCATCCAAACTAATAAAGTTACGCTGCTTGCTCCACAGGGCTCACTGAGTGCCTGAGAGGGTGGCATCTGTCCTCGAAATTGCGATTTTGCTTGCCTGAAGCCTTTCAAATTTCTTTTGAAACAGTCATACTGTCGGGCGAAGTTACTTGGTCCTTACATTTCAAGCTTATCAGAACTTCAGGAATAGTCTTTAGCTTACAGATAGCGCGGAGTCCATGGCAGAACCTCAAAAGAATATTGTGATTCTTGGTGGCTCCTATGCCGGCGTGTCTACAGCCCATTATCTCCTTAAACATGCTGTACCAAAGCTGCCCACCAAAGAATCCTTTCGGGTCGTCATTATCAGCGCCTCATCGCACGTCGTGTGTCGCCCTGCGTGTCCACGTGCGATGCTAGCGGACGATATGTTTCCACAAGATAAGCTCTTTGTCAGTATTCCAAAGGTTTTCGATCAGTACCCGGCACAAAAGTTTCGCTTCATTCATGGCACAGCCACAGAGCTTGACCACGCCAACCGAAGCGTCTCCTTCATCTTGAACACTGGCTCGACTGAGACGATCAATTATTACTCCCTCGTCATTGCCACCGGCGCGGCCACTCGTTCCCCCTTTTAGGCCTCAAAAGCGACTGCGACTCTCTTCGAGCAAGTTGGAAGTCATTCCGGGAAGCACTCCCAGCTGCCAAGAGTATCGTCATTGCTGGTGGAGGTCCTGCCGGTATTGAAACCGCTGGGGAGCTTGGCGAGTACCTCAACGGACGCGCTGGTTGGTTCAGTGCGAAACCACCAGAACCCAAGGTTTCCATCACGGTCATCTGTGCCGACTCCAAGATCCTGCCCGCGCTCAGGCCCGCTATCGCAAAAAAAGCCGAGGATTATCTCGCGGACGTTGGTGTGACAATCATTAGGAACGCTCGGATCAAAGCAGTGTCACCAGAAAGCGCGGGGACGACGGATGTCGCGAGCAAAGCGACATTGGAACTTGAAAATGGGGAGAGACTTGATGGAGATCTCTATGTCCCAGCAACCGGCACGAGACCGAACACCAGTTTCATATCTAAGGAGTTACTGAATCCCAATGGCCGTGTCAACACTGATGAATCGACTTTGCGTGTGGACATAGCTGGACCTCGCGTTTACGCTGTTGGTGATGTTGCATCATATGCACGGCCTGCAATTCATCTCGTCCTCGAGGCCATACCTGTCGTCTGTGCAAATATTAAACGTGATTTACTGCTGGCCTCTGGGCAGGATGAGGGCTCTCTAGGTGAGGATCGAATGTTTAAGGAGGACAAGAGAGAGACGCAGTTGGTGCCAATTGGGAAGAGTAAGGGCGTAGGTGCTGCTATGGGCTACAAACTACCGAGCTGGCTCGTGTGGCTGATCAAGGGCCGGGACTACTGGTTGTGGACGACCGGAGGCCTTTGGAGTGGGCAGCAGTGGGTCAAAGAGGCGTAAACATTATATTTTGAAATCAAGCACTAAGGTCTACATGCGCCCGTAATCATTTCCCCCAATATCACGACTGACGCTCGATGCACGAGAAGACCGTCGTGCCTGTCGCTTTACAGGATGTAGAAACTCAGGAGAGCCTACCAATCAGCCTAAGTGCACCCGACAAAGCTAATGCACCTGCTGTGGCTGCTCCAGCCTCTTCAGCCTTGTATGGTCATCCTTCGATTACACAAGACTGCGGCACTTTCCTTGGGGACCTTGGAGTCTGTGCAAATCGTCTATGCGTCACAATGTCCAGCTCTAACACTTTGGATCCTGTTTCCATAGCAATCCAGCAGTATCAGAATGCCCTGCTGCCGCAACAGAAAAAAGACTTCTTGACCTCGAAGGTAGCAGCACCACTCAGTGCCGATGCAGTACTTGCATTCACCGCTGAGGTCGACGCACTGAAATCAAGACGGACATCGCGCTGCGTCGCCAGCCGCCTACAAGGCACGCTACAATCGGTACAGCAATTCACCTCAATCATCGGCACCTTCGTTACTTCCAATCCAGCAATAGCAGCTCTCGTGTGGGGGAGTCTACGTTTAACAATTCTTGCAGCATGTAACCTGAGTAGCTTCTTCGACAAGCTTACTGGCTGGTTCATGAAAATGCAGGACTGCTGCCCACGTTATAGGGAATATCAACACCTTTTCCCTGAGTCTGTGAGACTGCGTGAAGCTCTATCAAACTTCTATGCGTGCCTCATTGACTTTTGCACGAAAGCGATGGAGGCGATCAACAAACCGGGTAAGACTGCAGGGAGCCGCACTTGCTGCCATCTGATTTAATTCAAGGCATCTCAGACACCTTCAAATGCGTACACTCCTATTCCAGATGCTTGAAGCTGATCGTTCTCGCTTTGTATACAGGCATTTTACACTACGCTAAAACTATTTTTGTTTCATTCGACGTCGAGTTTGTCCATTTTACTGATTCAGTGCAAGAAAGAAGCAAAATCGTCAAAGAAGAGATCCGTCTAGCAGCAGACACATGCGCCGAGCGTGAGCGACAACTGCAGCTTGTTGAGCGCAAAGATGCAGCCAAGCACAGAGTCTCGTCCTTGGTGTTCCGTAGAACAATAGCGCAAAATAGTAAGGAGGAACACTTTTGGAGACAGCAACTACAAGTCAGTGAGCACCGCACTCGGAAACAACGTCTCCTAGACCAGCTTTCATCCTTCGATTATCTTGCTCCTTGGAAGCGTGAGAGTAAGAAACGATACGGTGAAACTGCCAATTGGCTATGTGCTACTGAAGAGTATAGCCATTGGGTCACGAAAGAAAGCACTTCAATCTTTCTGCTATCTGGCAAGCTTGGCTCTGGTAAAACGATATTGGCCACAGCTGTTGTTGATGACGTTGTACGATTTCATCTACCTGGATCCTCTAAAATAGCATATTTCTTCTGTCGACACGATCAAATCGACTCGTGCGAGCCAAAAACGATCTTGCGATGCCTACTTCGCCAGTATCTCTCATCTAACGACCTGACTCGATCGTCTGAAGAAAGGCTCTCCGGGATGTTGGGGATGAGCCCAGACTTTGAAGAACTCCAGTCATTATTTCTAAACATATGTGCAGAGTTTGACAGTCGAATCTATCTGTTGATCGATGGTTTCGACGAAATTGAGAGAGCCCACCGCCTCAAAATATTGGGATTGCTTTCACGGCTTATAGCGCTTAAGAGATCTAAGATTAAAGTGATCTTGGTAGGGCGTGACGAAATCATTCAGGATGTGCGCTGTGCTTTGCAAGTGTAAGTCTATCCAAGTATTTCGTCTGTTTCATATCTCTCACATACGACCTCCAATGCCTGCCCTATATTGCCTTCAAAGCACACATTTCACTTGATACAGATAGAAGGAGGCAATGAACACTGATATCCTGTCACCTATAAGGGAGATGCACCACCGGACCACTAGTTGTAGCGAAGTGGAAACAGATATACATCGCTACATTGACCTCTCCATCGAGGAGAAGCGAGAGTCGAAGAAATTGACTGTCGGAAGACCAGACCTGATTGACCAGATTAAGGCAGCACTAAGGACTGGAGCTCATAATATGTTCTTGACTCAGCGATAATCCCTTTTAGTAGTCCATGTTTGTGTGCTGACCTTGGGTTGGTGATGTGTTCAACAGGTTTCTCTGGGTTTATTTCCAGATAGAAGATATTTGCGATCAAGCGACAGACGCAGATATCCAAGAAACTCTCATTAAATTGCCCAAAGATTTGCATTCAACATATGAGCGGCTTCTAGCTAAAATCATCAAGAGTCCGCAAAAGATTTTCGCCCGCAGAATGTTTGCTTGGGTTGCGTGCGCTAGACGACCACTCACTCTTCTAGAGCTGAGAGAAGCGATTGCGATTGAAAGACACCAACAATGGATGGACCCTAGTCGTCTTGTAAATGACATTGATCAGATGGTACCTTGGTGTCGTAATCTTCTGGTGCTAGATGAGGAGCAGTCACTCGTCCACTTTACGCACCCCACCGTGAAAGAATATTTACTCGAGTGTCAAAAAGAGCATGTCTCTATTCTAGGAGACTTTCGAGATTCAGAATCCATGGAAAACATTATTGCGGATGCCTGCTTTACCTATCTTCAGTACCGCGAGTTCGGCCGTGGGCTAATTTCACAACAATCTATACAAATTGATCCGAAACGCTTGACACATACGGCCCTGTCTACAAATTTGCATCCTAAGCTAGCCACATCTTTACGACTCCTCAATAAAGTTGTGACACTACGTCAGCTGGAAAAAGGCAAGATTGCCTTGCCTCCTCCAAAAAATTCACCCTACAAGTCTCCTTTCTTGGCGTATGCGAGTCAGTTCTGGTTAATGCATGCCTCTGAGCTCACACCAAAGGATGGCGACGTATGGCAGCACTTTCAGCAATTGTTTCCTTGGGGCAACGCCGTGGCTGTACTACCTTTTTCCGTTGCCCAATGGAATCGCCTTCAACCAATAGTGCGACAATACGTAGTAGAGCATGACCATCAAGCGCTGCTGAGCTTGATCGTGGAGAGAATCTACCGAAATTGGTGGACACAGGAGCAGAATTCAAACAATCGCCAGCCTTACGTTCCTGCCGAAGACGTGTTGGCTGCAAACAGTCAATTAATGCCTTTGTTGCGAATGCTTTTACGAAAAGGGTCATTCCGTTCTTTTTCACAATTAGCATTTCCGATTACTCTAAGAACGCACTTATTTGACCATCATGAATCAGTGTGGCGAGAATACACGAAACTTGCATTACGGCGGAGGAAGATTGACTTCGCGTTTTGGTTGCTTCGATATGGTGTGACATGGATAGATGGCGATATTTTCAAAAGTATCACTAGTCCCTTCCAGGATACCGAGATACAAGAGACAGTCTTCGACGCAATGACTCACGGGAATACAGCCCACCGTCACGGGAGACTTGAAGAAATCATAATCATGGCACTGCGGGATAAAGCCACCGACTTACTTGCGCAGCTTGTTGCGTGGGAGAATCAGATCCCCTATCCAAAGCCAATGCGAGCATTGCTCGAGAGAGCGTCAGCTAGGGGTAAGCGAGACATTGTGGAGGGACTTCTGGAAGCCGGCGTGAAGTACAAGCAGTCTTCCAGGGTTCATCTTACTCCTTTACAAGAAGCATACTTTCATCCGTCTTTGCCGTCCAAGCTTGATATCACAGAAGAAGTGGCAGAAGGAAATCAGAGGAAGAGCTTCCGTAAGTAAGAGCATGGGAAAATCATCCCAACAAATAAAGAAACACTCGAGAGCACTTGCGTGGATATCCCACAGTGGCTGTCAACAGATGCCCAATCTAGGATGCACAACACGAAGAATTAATGCATACATGCAACGGCTCTCTTTGAGACTCTATCGACGAGCACGGTGGGGACGATTCAGGTGCATCAAAAGCAAAAGTGGCCGTAGACGATGGTTGCAACGACAGCCAATCGATGCCACTATGCAAAGTGATTAGTCTTGGTCACAGACAGATCCTTCGGATTCTGCAAATGGGAGGTGCATTTGTAGATGATAATGAGGCCCAGGCTGACTCCTCTGGTGAACTACATTGCCATTCCTCAAGGTGTAGCGGGAGCCAAGTCGATTCGTCTGCTCCTAGCTGGCACGATGACACGGACACCGATATATCTAGTACGTAAGTTGCAGAAAAGCACTTGGAGACTGCCTTGACACCTTTTTACCGTTGATTCACCACCTCATGATGAAGACGCCGCGGCCTCGATTCCGCTTTGTTATTGAAAAGTTTTACCGCCACAAATCTCCTTTCTTTCCCTCGTCGGCTACTTTCTATATTCAAACGCGCTATACCGTGATTGTCTGGAAAGTGTGTGACCCTCAGCTTACCATTGCTGGTCGAGTTGAATTTATCTTCTTGAGCGTCTCTTTACGGGTGTGCTCGCAAATCACAAAACCGAAGTGTTCGATCACCGAACATTTCTCTTTCTCATATTCACTGTCTCTCGTCACATCTGTCTTCTCAAACCTCTCTCAAGACAGGACATAGGTACGCGTATGATGTGATTGTTGATTGTAAGCAGCTGAAACTTACAAAGATCAAGTCTTTCTCATTTGACATGGCGCCTCCTACTGCCATCGAAATTGGCGAGCCCATTCTGTGGTACCACAAAGCCGGAGATCAAACTTTCGTTCAGCTGCCGCCGGTCAAAAGGGGCATTGCTGTGATCAAAAGTGCCGTTTTCCAGAATGGTGCCCTTACGCTCAGGCAAAGGGGCAGAGGCGCGTGGTGTGAGCTCGCCTGGTCAAAGTAAGAACCGAATTGCTAATGAGTTGGCCCATCTTCACGCTTGATCTGACATCGTTTTTTAGGGAGCGCTTCGGTGGGACAAGCATGAGCTGCACGAAGCTAAGGCGGCATTCTCTGTGTTTCTCGATCGCTCAAAAGCCCCAGAAGCTACATTCGGAGCTGAAGAAGTATCGAAAGACACGGATGAGGCCATCGCTAAGGCCAAGGAATTTCCGCTCGTCAAGAACATGGCCGATTTCTTTGCAATACGGCTCGACGTAAAAAATGTGAGAGTCGTGTTCAAGAATAGCAATGAGCTCGTCACCTCCAGCAATAGTATCTTTCGGATACGCCATCTTATAAACGGGAAAGTAAGCGATGATGTCGACTCCCAGGTTGCTCAAAAGTTCCGGTTAGACAACCTTGCAACCCGCTGTGAAAGTGACGAAGAGTGGAAGCAGACTGCGGCTGAATACGCCACGGATGAGGTTGCAGCCGACACCATGGCGCGCCTTCATCAAGAGGCGTATTACTATGAAGACGATGAAGGGGATGAGGACGAGCAGATAGACTTAGATGAGCAAGAGAAAGAGGCCCTGCAGATCCATGACGCAGCCGTTGCCAAGCGTCACCAAGAACGTGAGCAGAGGAGGAAGTTTTTTGCGGAGGCGGAGGCTAAGGATGCTGAGGAGGATGAGAAAGACGCATCGACTCGCCAGGCCGTTTTTGATATTTTCGTGAGATTGAGGGAGAATGAGGACGAGCCTGAGATGGGGTTCGAGCGACCTCAATTCAGAGGCGGGAGATAATGATATCATAATCAACTCCCATCAATATATCGGACCAATTCAATTTCAATTCGTTGTCTCACAATACTGTGGCAATTCAACATCTGCTTTCTTGTCAAAAGGGGACAACAATGGGGGTTCAAAGAGCGTACGCAGCGAATCAGTCACGAACGTAGCTCGGCAGGAGGTTTCATCTTATCGACCACGTGCAATTTCAGGGTCGATAGTGAGTCGCACGTGGAACAACAGCCCAATGATCATACTGTATAGCGATCTCTACCATACGGATGATCAATCTTCTGCCAGATCGTTGCTCTATAACTTCATATAGCCGCCAACCTAATCATTAGGGCTACTCTCATTGGACTCCCGGGGCCCGGAGACGGGTCGGCAGGATGAAGAGCGGGAACAGATGCAGACTCTGACAGCACGAAATCGACATGAAAATCACCAGCCTGAACCTATCATGTCAAAGCACCAGCACACGTGGGCGGCTGCTCCCTCTCTTTATGCTTACCTGTTATACAGTGAGAGAGCTAGAGTACTTGATGTGGAGAGTGGAGACAGTGTCGCGTGCCGTCCTTCTTTCTTCTGAAGCACGAGGAAGTTGAAAGCTGCGCATAGCAGTACCTAATGACTCAAAATGGAACCAAACATGTTGAGGAGGAGCAAGCGATTACCCACAATGAGACTGCTTCACGCGAAAATACAAGCTGAGATAGGTGTTCAGACAAGTTTCATAACCGAGGTCACCTCAAGCTAAAGAGATAAAGAAACTCACCTGAAAGATGTTTCAGGATCGATCAGCCGTTCCGGACTCAGGCGGGGATCCATCTCTTCATCAACGGCGTGCGCTCTTGCTCCAAGCGCGGCCATTTGGATTTCCGCTCCAATGGCCATCCGCTCTCCGCACGCCACCCTCCACATTTCTAAGTGATATTGGGTAACGCTAACGTAACCATTCGTACCTGCATAGGCCCATGTGCTGGCCGTCAAAACACCGCTTTGCGGCCCCGGTCGCCATGTGCAAGGTAGAAACATCTTGCACACCACCACACCACCTCTCTCACCAATGCTTGCTGTCGTCTGAGTATCAGACTTCTGGGGTAAGACCATGGGCTTCTGGCAGGAGAACGCCTACACGCGGACTGATGAGCATGGAGATCCGCTGTCTTTTGTAAGCTCCATGAAGCTCCACCACAAGTACCACTTTAGACAGACGAACGAGACTGACTGGATCCAAAGGATCGCTACCAGCGACGAGAGCAACAGTCACGGTCACGGAAATGGTGGACCTTCATGTCCAAATCTGACCTGCAGCTCTACTCCGTAACCGGCATTGGCTTCTTCCTGGACTCCTACGACCTCTTCATTATCAACCTTGTCTCGCCAATCTGGGAATACGAGTACTTTGGCGGCCTTGCCTCTCGGCCCCGAAAACCTCACTATCCTCCTCTCCTGCGTGGTGCGTGATCCATTTCCTCTATCTCAATCCTGTCCTCCCTTCTTTCCCCCATCAATAGAGATAGAAAACTCCTCTAACTCGACCCAACCATCCAGGCTTCGTCAACTCCTCCGCCAATATCGGCAACATCCTCGGCCAACTCACCTTCGGCTACCTCGGCGACATCTTCGGCCGGCGCTTCGTCTACGGCAACGAACTCGTCCTCGGCACTCTCGGCCTCATCCTCTGCATCTCCCTCCCCAACTCCCTCACCTCCCCCACCCACAAAATGCTCTGGGTCTTCTTCTGGCGCGTCCTCCTTGGCATCGGCATTGGGGGCGACTATCCGATCTCCGCCTCCATCGTCGCCGAACGCTCACATCTAAAGTCCCGCGGGCAGATGCTGGGCTGGATCTTCAGTAATCAGGGGTGGGGGAACCTGGTGGGGTGTGTGGTTAGTCTTGTGGTTCTCGCGTGTTTCTCGGGCGCGATCGGGGAGAGGGGCGAGTATGGCCAGCTCGACGCCGTGTGGCGGTTGCAGATTGGCGTTGCGCTGATTCCGGCGCTGGCGACGCTGTGGCCGCGCTTGACGATGCCGGAGGGGAAGAAATTCTTGGAGTCTAGGGAGCTGAGGAGTCCAAGACCGAATAGCGTGGGGAGTGTCTTTTCGATGAGCAGTCGGAGTGAGCAGCAGCAACGGAAGAAGGCGAGGACGGGGAGTAAGGAGGTTATTGTTTCTGAGGGACGGGAATTGCAGGCGGAAATCGATGCTGCGAGGGCGGAGATCGAGCGCCAGGGTGAACGGGCAAGGTTCGATGTTTTTGTGCAGTATATGAAGGATTGGAGGCATTTGAAGACGTTATTGGGGACGATGGGCTGCTGGTTTTTGTTGGACGTGGCGTTCTATGGAGTCAATTTGAATCAGTCAATTATCTTGAGGGAGATCGGGTTTACGAAAGGGGAGAGCGAGTATGAGAGGCTAAGGAGGAATGTTATCGGGAACCTGATCATTGCAATTGCGGGATATGTGCCAGGATACTTTGTGACGATTGCGTTGGTGGAGAAGCTTGGGAGGAGATGGATACAGCTTCAGGGGTTCTTGATCTGTGCGTTAATGTTTGCTGTCATTGCCGGCGGGTATAATGTCATTGGCACAGCGGGCAAGTTTGTATGCTTGGGAATTTTACAGGTATGTCACCATATGTTGCGTACGCACTCGAACGCAGAGAATGGGGATTAACTGGGTGTTTAGTTCTTCTTCAACTTCGGACCCAATTCCACAACCTTTATCATCCCCGCCGAGGTGTTCCCCACACGAGTCCGAGCTTTTGGACACGGCATCTCCGCTGCAGGGGGAAAGTCGGTGCCATTTTTTCCGCCCTGCTATTCAATTATCTCAGTCAGCCCGAGCAGATTGGCTTGGCAAATGTGCTTTGGATCTATTTCGCTTGTACTTTGTTAGGTGCTGGATTGACGTGGTGGCTGATACCTGAGACGAGATGGAAGGATGCTGATGTTAATGACTATGAGGAATGGTTCGATCGTTACGTGTTGCAACGGAGATGATCACTCGAGAACGTTTTCAGGTCGCTGTTGGACGACATGAAGGAAGTCTTGTGGGACTAGAAGAACAACGGTTCAATGGCTTTAGGAACCCAACTTTGGCGGTGATACCGTCAACACCGAGCCAAGACCAGCATTACTTCATCTTTCGCCTGAAGAAGAAAAGGCTTCGAAAAAGGCTGCAGCAGCGCCTTATGCCCTTTGAGGATATGACCAGAATTTGAAAGGAAGTGATAGCCAGGGTTTACAGAGTCGCTGTGGGTCCTCTGCAGGCGGTAAATCAGAAAAGGCGAGGAAGTCAGACTCTCCTACAATAGGATGACATGTATAGGTTGCGAACGGCTCGGGGCGGCGGAGATTGTTGCCACATGATCAGCGTCAAGTCATAACTCAGACAATGGACCTGGACGAATCGTCACGTTGAGGGCTGGGGAAAAGCACCCACTTACCCAGCAAAATAGCCGAGAGCTCCGCTATTTTTAGAAAATGTACATATTCTGTCGAGCTCAGCCATGAGACGACTGCAAACACGAACAAGATGGTCAGCAATTTTGTATCCGAAGCTCAGGATGACAGGCAGAAGGCTAACGATTAAGCTCAGCCTTGGAATCTGATGGCTGCCAAGCCCCCTGGCTCGGCCCGGATGCCCTCAATTCCGTTACAACAAGGGGCAGGTGGCAGCTTAGGGCGCGTGGCACATACCACCACTATTTATGTTTTGCCATGACAGCCTGCCTCGAAGACAAAGGCTTCAGATTTACTGCAGCCTGTTTCAGCTGTAGCCATGCCACGAAAAGGCCAGGTAGGCATTGGCTGAAATTACCCCTAAGACATGGGTTAACAGTCGTGCGTAAGCGCTAAGTCATTCTAAGGCTCGTGTGTACCTGAAAGCCGGGATATGAGCATCGGCTCAGGATGTCGTCAAGGATGACATCTCTTGAAGTGCCGAGTTGCACTCATAAAGAGGGGGCAGTCCCAGGACATGATATGCAGCGATCAATTCGTGACTGCTGGCACCAACCTGAGTGCCAGCCATGGCTGCCGATACCGAAAGACTCGTCTCGCAAGGCGCTGAACCTGGGAGAGACTCTGAAGAATTCGAGCTCAAAGATCGTGCAGCTCAACATGAGCCGGCAGGTAGGTTACGCGCTTTGGCCGTCGTATTCGCAGGTTTTCTAATATCATCTAGACCCTAATGTATCAAAGTTGTTCAATCCAACGAAGCAGACAGCACAGCTGGCCATCGAACAAGGATGGCGTCTAGCGATGACAATTATCCTTGTTGTTGCGACTGTCGTTGCGTTAAAAGCCTTTCAGCAGCACGGCAACATCAGCCATCAAGCGAAGATTGCCTTCAATACCATCATGACAGTCCTTACCCTCGCACTTGGTCTCAACTTTTTCGATGCCCTTAAGGAGATGGCTAAAACCCTGAGGTGGAGGATCCTAGCCGACCACCCCTTCACCGTGCGCGAGACAGACCTCATTCTCGGATCGGATAGCCTCCCAAGAGTGGGGACCTTGCTACTTGAATCTTACAAAAAGCCCCTTGTTTTCCTCTGCTGCCTCCTTTGGATATTGCTGAACATTACCGCTCAGGCTGGGGTTGCCGTGATAAGTTTGACATATTCTATGGACAGCGGCACGAATACTACAGGCACGTACACTGTCGATGGCAAAGTACAGACTCCGAAGCTTGATTGCTATTCCAATGGTACGACTTGTCCGGATAGCGCAGAAACCTCCATGAATCGTGCGCATTCATATGGCGTCCTCAGTCGGGATTTTGATCCTAGAAACCAAGAATGCACATACGCCAACGATGGTGATATTCTAGATGGCGATCAGCTATGCCAATATTTCGAGAAGAGGGATAATACAGAATTTGCGTATCGTTTTTCAGATTACAACCCAGCAGACAACACCACCGCGTATCCTTACCTCACCAAGCGAATCATCAGGGCCTCACAAGGAATCTGTTACCTATACGACCGAGACGGGGGCAATATACCAGTCATAGATAGTCCGGATGGTGGTGATTCTGTGTGGCTGTACAACTTCCACAACGACACCTACCACAACCACATCTTAGTCCCGAAATCGTATTCGGCATACGATTCCACAACGTTCATCTATAACGGTACAGAAACACCTCAAGATGAGACGGAACAGGCCTGTGGTGATCGCTGTCTTTGGATGTACGCGGTCCGATCTCTGGGTCCTCTGAGCGGCAACAGGCCCGAACAGATCTTCGCTTGTCCCATCACCATGACCGAAGTCTCAAACCCCAAAGACGAAGCCCACAATGTCACGAACGAAGTGGCGAGACAAGCCATAGCATCGATTGCGCTTAACGGCCGTTACTCGACTCCTGTGGACCCAGACAAGAAGGACTGGCATTCGTACCAAATCTATCCATGGGGGTCGCCCTGGGAGACTGAGGGTGTCGATGCGCAGGGGTTTGGCGCGATGGTCGCTCAGTTTGCCATTGGCAGTATTGCGAACATGGCCCCGCGCAACGGCCGTATAGAAGTCCCCGGCAACCTACCAATACTCGGCTATCATCTCTCAATTCATTGGCCGTATGCCATTACGCTGCTGGCAGTCGTTGCTGGAGTACATGTTTTGGTATTTGCACTCATGCTCTGGTTTGCGCGACCCGTTATCGTGATTGAAGATAGCAACCTTTGCACCGCCAAAGCACTACAAGACGTCGTGGCAAGGATCGATGGAGGTAAGGTACTTGATGGGAAAGAGCTTGCCAATGCTATACAGAAAAAAGGGGCAACAAATAATGGTAGGACCGTGTACGGGGTGGATGGCTCAGGAGCGAAAGATGCGCCGCTTGTGTTGAGCTTTGCAGAGCACAACCTGGTTCGAAGAAAACTGCCAGGAGCAGCGTTCCCTAGAGGCGTGTATGCTTGAGTCAAGGTGTACCTTGGAAGTTTTGATGGCCTGTGGCTGGGGCAACATCCCCGCAAAACTCAAATGGGAGAACAATTCACAGGGCTACAACATTCACAAAGCGACTGCAACACACTATTCAATGCATGATCGGCTGTGCATCGTAACATCTCTATATAGAGTGTAGAATTCAGTATCCGTCATCCTCAATACAGACCTAGATCGCAGATCGCGCAACGTGTACGGAATAATGGTGTCATTTTGCTGTGGCGCCTAAAAGATACGTCATAATAATAGAGTACCCCCTGCCGACCAGCCTGTTTACCGTCCCTTTTCCCTCCCGACAATAACTTTTCGTAAGACCTCATCACCTCTGTTTGCGGTGATCAACGGCTAATCAGTGAGCACATCAGGCTGATATATCAAGAAACTGTTGAAAATGAAGGTCGCATGGTCATCAGCTCTGCTGCTCGCTTTGGCGGCGGAGAGTACAGTGGCAAGCAGCTGGTTTGGCACCAAGGCTGGTGAGTCTCCAAATCCCTCATCACCTGCTCGAGCGACCACATCATCATCGATGACGAGGATTCTGAATATGATGCATTCATGACGACCAGTCCAAAACTCATCGCATGGGGACTTGCAACTGCATATGGTTCATGATCGCTATCACTTCCTGATGCTGACTTTACATTCACTTAGTCTACAACAAATGGCACGAAACTGAACTCGAGCGTTGGCTGTCTGACCACAACATTCCTTATCCAAAACCTGCAGATCGCAAAGATTTACAGAACACGGTCAAGCAAAATTGGAACGCCAAGATTGCGCAACCATACAACGACTGGTCAGCGCCACAGCTGCAGACCTACTTGAAACAGAAGGGTGTCCAGACCCAGAAGGTCTCTGATAAGAATAAAGATGGGCTTGTCAAACAGGTCAAAGGGTACTGGACTGAATCCGCAGATTCAGCCTCCAACGCGTACGGAAGTGTTCAAAATTGGATTTTTGATAGGTTAGTTCTCCACCACCCTTGTTCAACCAAATCGTGTGCTAAGTTGAGCGTGCAGCTGGACCGAGTCACAATTGAAATCATTCCTTGACAAGAATGGTATCCCTGCACCACAACCCCGGAGACGGGATACTTTGTTGGCAACAGCGCGTCAGAATTACGCCAGCACCGCGAAGAAGCTCAACGAGTACTCCGCTTATCCCGGAAGCTGGCTCTACGAATCATGGTCAGACTCTGATTTGAAGGAGTTTCTCGACGCTCGCGGCGTCCCTGTCCCGCAACCTAGCACTCGTGATAAACTGGTTGCGTCTGTTCGCCGCAATTCACGTCTCGCAAGCTTGACACTGTCAGAGGCAGCAGCTTCTGCTTCTTCGTCTGCTACAGCCGCTAAGGAAAGCTTGAGTGATGCCCTTCTCGATTCGTGGAGTGATAGTCAAATTAAAGAATGGGCGGACAAAAATGGTATCAAGGTGCCCCAGGGCTCCAAGCGAAATGAGCTGATCGCTCTCGCTCGTAAGCATCGCTCTCAATTGGTTGGAGATAACCCTGCGTCTTCTGTCTCAAGCGCATTTGGCGCAGCAACATCCAACGCAAAGAACGAAGGCTCTTCAGTCACCGAAGACGCCCAGTTGAAGTCTGAGGACGCATTCAATCAGGCTATAGGCACATGGAGTGACAGTCGCCTCAAGGCGTTCTTGGACGCTCGCGGTGTCCCTGCCCCACAATCGGGTAAAAAAGACGAGCTTGTTAAGCAAGTACGTCTCAACAAGCACAAGGCTGCTACCGGGTTTTCTGCTTGGACTTTTGATACATGGACCGTTGACAATCTTAAGTAAGACAATACTCCAAATCTATAGCATAACAGGCTGATATTTTACAGGGGCTACCTCTCCAACCAGAAGAACAAGGCAGCCAAGAAGTCAAGTGCCTCTCGCGAAGACTTGGTCAAAGCTGCACAGGATAGCTACTCAAGCGCTTCCAAATCTGGAGGCAGCAACTATGCTTCGGTGACCTCTTACCTCGCAGCATCCACCGCCACCGCAAAAGACACTACGTTTGACACCTGGACTGATTCGGAACTCAAGGCATACCTTGACTCATATGGTATCAAGACATATCAAGGCACGAAGACCAATGAACTCAAGGCCCTCGCTCGCAAAAATGCACAGTACTTCCGCTATGGTACCAATTCACCCGGTGGCTCCCTCTGGTCAAGCCTTTCGGGCAGTGCACAATGGGTGCTCAACCAGCTGAAGATTGGTGCAGCCAGCGGTCGCAAGGAAGGAGTCAAAGGAGGCGATGCAGTGAAAGAGGCTGGCACAACGGCTACACACCGTGCTGGAGAGGCGAAACAACGCGCAAGCGATAAGGTCAAGGAGGAGTTGTAGACAAACAGGCGGCGAGACATGCGTTGTTGGGAAACGAAAGGGGAAATATGTCTGGTGCGCCAGAAAGCAGGGACAACAGCAGTCTGCAGACGTATGTAGGTGCAAGAAGGAGAAAAGGGTGTTTTTTATTAGTAAAGATTCACTGCAGTCTGATCACGAGAATCTGCGGGTACCGGGGATATTTGAGACAATCAAGTTGCTGGTTCGTAGTTTTTTAGTTTTTAACCTTGAGACGTACCCTGGTGTATGTGACTACTGCACAGCCAACGCGGTCTTCCCTTCGCAGATCATGTCAGAAGGTCTGGACGAAGACTCGCCAAATAAGTTCTGCCAGTCAGTGATTCTCCCGCGTTATCCTTAAAAGCAAGCTTCGCATATCAATCCCTTTTTTGCGGACGAGGCTTCTGGCTTGTTTTTTTCTCCTTTCCTGAAGAAGATGATCCGAGGGCCTATAAGTGGCCGAGACGTGTTCAACGATCACGGATCACACGATGGCCTGGACGCTCGCCGGATGGTTCACACTGGTCAAACATACTATGACCATTTTCGCAAAGGTAAAGCAAAGACACCTAGCTTCGAGGTCTGATCACACCGAATTCTTAGGTCTCTTCCTCTCCATCTCGATCAGAGATTCAGGCTATGGCCGCTAGGAGATTTAGCCAACAGAAACGGGAAATCCTTTCTCGCATTTCTCTTACGCTCACTAACTTCTTAGACGAAAGCCATCGCTAATACTGAATCATTCTCCTCGTGTTTGTTCGCCCGGCGCTTTCCACAGTTTTTGTCAAGATCCCCCTTTCTCTTTTCCATTGTTCATTACTCACCGCCTTGCTTGCTGCCTCTGCCGCCCCTGCCTCCATTGATCTTCTCTCTTCTCTTTCCCCCACCTTCAGGCTCGGCCTCTACATGCCCGAATCCTCTCCCTCAACCCGACTCTTCTGTGGGCACGCGATTCTTTTCCGCTCCGGCCACTGACGGTGCAAGATCCGCGACTTAAGCACGGCCGCTTGTCTACCGCTACAGGCTACCCAGGCTACCTCTACTAAACATCGCTAGGCTTGGGAGGAACGTCTGGACCCAGAACTCTGGATGTTCTCCGACGAGCCTTACTGCTCGAAATTTTCATGAATGACGGCACAGCTACCGTGATGCAGAGCCCCCTCCCTGCAAGCCTGCGGTCATTCTCTTACTCAATGAGGCTCGTGCACCCAATGATGGCCGTGTGACACCACGAGGACAAGCTGCAGATTGACCAACGTAGATCAGCACTAGCCGGAAAACCTGGGGTAAAGGGTCACATTAATTCCAGGCACGCACGATCCAGCACTGGTCCGTATCGGACAAGGCAAACTTAATGCTTACGACGGAAAGGTTTGTGGCAAGACAAGGAACGAGGCATTTAATAAGAAAGTCATATATAATTGCTCGTGTGCTGCCATTTTGTTCTCAATTGCAATGCGGTCGAGCGTCTCGGAAATCGTCGGCTGCACTGATTTTGCCGGGATGATGATGGGATCAACCTCACCTTCTCCACCAACCACCAATGGCGAATACTACCACAACTCCTGCTCCACCAATCACGCCACCAGCAATGGCAGCTCGTCATCGCCTCCCTCAAAGCTTAGAATCCTCCACCTTGGCGACAGCATCTGCTACAACCAGGATATCGAAGCCCGGATCGCGTCCAAATTCGACATCATTCACCCAGATCCTGAGGACCTCCTCCGCAGTACCTTCATACAAAGACTGAAAGATAGAACATGGGGTGATTTCGATGCGATTATGAAACCCTTCTGGAGTTCAGGCAACATAGGTCGGTGGAACGACGAGGTCATACAACATTTACCTGGTAGGATGAAGATCATGGCTTGCGCTGGAGCAGGCTTCGACTGGGTAGACACTCAGGCATTAGCTGAACGAGGTACGAGCGTATCCCAAAGGAGACGCCAGGAACGATTCCTTGCAATTCATGACTAACATGGTGGTACTCTGTCAGGGATCATCTACTGCAACGGCGCCCATGCCTCGACCGAATCTGTCGCCAATGCCGCCCTCTTGCATATATACTCCGTCTTCACCTTTTTTATGTGGAGCACCACTGCCGCTCGCTCTGGCTCCCCAAGAATGTGGCAAGAAGCACACACAGACATACCCTTGAAGGCCCGCAATCCGCAAGGGCACAAACTCGGGATAGTAGGCTTGGGCAACATCGGCTTTGCAATCGCAAGGAAAGTGCGTGCAGCTTTCAATATGGACATTCTCTATACCGATCTCGTTCAGAAGCCCTCACAAGAGCAAGAAGTGTCCGCTACGTTCTACCCGAGTTTGAATGACATGCTACCTCATTGCGACGCTCTGCTTCTCGCCACGCCGGGAGGTAAGCCTATTATAACGCCCGACACACTTGCTCGTCTACCTGACGGTGCACGACTGGTCAACATTGCTCGGGGATCGCTCGTCCAAGAAGAAGCACTTGCTGATGCTATCGAATCAGGCCATATTAGTGCTGCAGCTCTGGATGTTCATGAGAACGAGCCCAACGTCAACCCTAGACTGCGGAAGATGGATCGACAGGTCCAGCTGACGTGTCATACCGGCGGCGCAAGTCTGGAGACAAACAACGGCTTCGAGCGGTTGGTTATGGAGAATGTTGAAGCCGTGCTGGAGGGACGACAAGCTAAGACAGCTGTAAACTTGCATTTCATGCATCAAACCAATGGTGAATCCCATGTCAACGGGGCAACGACCAATGGTGTCGCTGCTAACGGACAAGTCAACGGTCATTGAGCCAAAATTGAACGAAGAGACGTGCTAATGATGCGGTAATGGAACAGGAAAGGTAAGCTTATGGCATATATAGGAGCATACTGTTTGATACCCTCCTTTTGTATGATTTTCATGGGTATGTGTATGATATACCAGGGAGGGAACTTTATTTATCTTCGGCGTGTGCTAGCTATGTCTCGGCATTCGCTGATGGTGAGTCAAGTCATGGTCGCAATGAAGAAGGCCCACTTACTCTCTATACAGATACCAAGTGCCTTCCTAATACCCCTCCAGTCCTTTCAAAAATCATCATCCCCGTTCGCAGTCAAGGTCTGGTTTTTCCGAGTCTACTGCCAAGCGTCACGAGAGTCGTCTCGCCACGTGACCAATTCCCGGTTTTGGTAGTTCCTATCGTCGAGAACCATGAAACACGAAACACCCAGTCTACTCTCTGTTCTCCAACTTCCTTACCTGATATTGTATGTGAAATCCTATTGTCGCGACAAATACTCGGATTGCTGTTCTTTCCCCGCGTTATATGAATGGCTTACTCTGCCACGTACCTCCTCTTGCTTCTACACCACTCCACCTCCAACCATCTTTCTGTCATACCACTCACAAGGACAGCACCGCACTGTTCGCTCCTAATCGCGCTTCACCGTCTCTCATATACGATAAATCCCAACTCCCCACCTCAAAGCAGCAGGCCGCTCTATTCCCGCTCTATACCATACCATACCCATCATGGAAGTAATACCTCCCTAACCCTCCCTCTGTTCATCCCCGCCCCCGCCCTTGCCCCCGCCCTCGTCCCTACCGTCAGGCCATCCTCCCTCCTCGTCCCCACTCCACCTCACCGCCATCTTACTCACCCACATCCCCGTCATCGCAGCCCAAGCCCAAAGGCCCTCGCCAGATAACCACCATCCGTTACCGCCGCAAGCACTCACGGCATCCATCACCGCCATCTGCACACTCTCATCGCCCGTCAATATGCTTGTGCTCTCTAAGCGGTGATGTATATCGCTTCTGCTCGACCTCCTGACCCTGTGGTGGGAGCGGTGGGAGTAGTGTCTACGTCGGCGGCGCTTGCGTGGGGGAGGGGAAGGAAGTGAGAGCTTCAATCCTGATTGGGTGGGGGGATGGGGGTTTTGGTGGGATCGATGGGGCAGGAATGCGGTAGGAAGGGTGAAGAGGTTGGTGGAAGTAAGAGAGGTTGGAGGGAATGATGGTGGAAGGGAGGGAAGGGAAGGGAAGGGGGAGGGAAAGGAGAGTAGACGGCTTGAGTATAAGGGGGTGGGTTGGATGGTTGGGAGTGAGATGGGGTGGTGTGAGATAGGTGAGAGAATCATTGTCAATAAGAAAAATAGCGGATATACAGTGCGTGCTGGTTCCCAGTGGGAGGGAAACCAGAGAGGGAGGGTTTGAGATGCCTGTGCTATGCATGCTAATGCGTTTCAAACTTCATGTTCGACTTCATAATTTTACTTTTCGCCAACGCCTTCGTATACGATGCCGTCTACGATGCCTCCTAGCTCGTAGGGGGACGATGTCCATTGCCTTCTCGCCTATCCTGGCAATCCACCCTCAAGACCCAGAATCATGGCTGCCGATCAGCTCCACCTTGTCCTGTACACGAACATATTAGCAAAACTGTCAAATAGCTCCTTGCTTCAGTTCGCCCTTTCACCCCTCCCACCCCCTCTCCCTCGGCCCCCCTCCCTTGTCAACAAACTCCAAAGAAAAGGCACTCACCCTTCCAAAACCCCTGATCAACTTTATCCTCCTTATCCCCACTCCCCTCGGTAGCCCTATCATGTCGTTGTTCCATCTCCTCATTATGCCTCTTCACCTCCTCGCTCTCCACCCGGTCCTGCTGCTGTGAGATATCGTGCTCTGATATCTTCGGCTTTGCTCCGCTTTTCTTCGTTCCTTCGCCACCCTCCCCACCGCCAGAGGATACTTTGCCTCCTGAGTCTCCGGGAGCGCCTGTGGAGCCGCCGGATTGGGCTTCTCCGCCGCCAGATTGTGTGGATGAAGAGGAGGTGGAGGATTTGTCGGCGGGGGAGGGAGGTCCCGGGTGTTCGTGCGTGGCGGTTGTGGGGTTTGGGCCTTGTTCCTGCGGTCGCTCGCCTTTGGGGTCGCCGGCGCCGGAACCGTAGTCGCCTGGTCCTGCGAGAGGTGTGGGGGTGGTGCTGAAGGGTTGTGTTTTGTAGGCGTTGTTGGTAGAAGTCATGGGAAGACGAAATCGTAGTAGTGAAGGGAGGGATCGAGGTGTGCGTTTGGTGAGAGAGGTGGTCTGGCGAAGAGAGCGAAGGAGTGGGAGATTGGTAGGAGGCATGTTGCGGGAGACGCTTGTGGTAGAATTGGGAGCAGTGACTGAATATCTATGGTAGTAGGTGCAGCATGGGTATTGAAGGATAACAATGACTTAGAGCAATGAATATTGGTAATGACAATTGAGCAAGAAGCTTCTCATGACGTATTTGCGAGAATTTGGAGCAGTGGCTACCCGGCTTCAACTCCCGAGATTTTGCCGAGTGGCTTCAGCCACCATAGCCACTTTTCTCCCAAATCCAAGTATAAAGAGGGGGCAATTCCCTGTTTTCTGTCAGGGTCTTAGAACAGTAGTTTGGAAGATTAATAGAATTCTAATTATAAGTAGAAGTCTATCTAAGAATTAGACAAAAATATAGATAAGTATATTTGCTAAGCCTAATTGGGCTTAGCGCCTGCTCTAAGCGAATACCTACGCTAAGCTAGGCCTAAAGCTATTATATAACCCCCTTTTCTAGAAGTAAGCTCTATTAAGCTATTTATTACTTATAACTTAGTATATTAACTATAATATATAAAATACTTCCTTAAGTAAGTGAATTTAATAGTATAGCTTATAAATTAGGACCTATAGCTATTATAGTTAATTAATAACTTAGCAAATATAAAGCTTTAATCTTTTAAAACTTTAAATAAATTATATAGTCTAGCTTTTTCTAGATATTTATAATAAAAATTAGCTATAAACTATAAATAGTTAATAGTATTTATTTATATTTACTATTCTAGGTTTATATTTTATTCTAAATATTTATAGTAGCAAATATAGTATTATAAATAGCTTTTTCCTTTAATAATAAAGTTGTTTATATACTAATTAATATAAGAGTTAACTACTTCTAATACTTTATTATTTTTAAACTTTTTACCTATAAAAACTAATAGTAGAAATAGTATAACTTAACTAAGTAGAAAATTATAGCAATTTAAGTAAAATAATTATAAGTAAAATACTAAGAAAACATTTTCTATTAACTATAGAAGTTCTAACTTATATATTATATTATTAATAACTTAAATAATTTTAAATAAACTTAAGTTTTTATAGTTTAATATTAATAATAGTCTTATTATTTTAATATTTTAAGTATTTAATATTATTTTATTATTAACTTTAAACTCTAAGTATAATTAGTAGTAATAATTAGTATATTTTTCTTATATTACTTAAACTTATTTTAGCTTTTCTTATAAGTATTTATATATTTTATTTAACTTATATACTAGCTAGTCCGCTGCTCTAACTTTATTTCTTTATAAATGTAATATATTATTAAATATCTTTTTTAAAGCTTTTAAGCCTAAATAAAGTAAATAACCTTTAATAGCTAAGAATAGCAATAATTCTATTAAATAATTAATATTTAAGTTAGCTTTAAATTTAGCAATAACCAAAAAGTCTACCTAGTTATCTTAGTTATAGCTAATATAAACTTTTAAATATTATTTTAAATCTATATTTATATTTTTAATTTATTTATTTATTTTAGGGTAAAATACTAAAAATAACTTTAGTTATATATTAATTTTTTTATATAAATACTTTTAGAAATATAATATAAATTATATTCCTTTATTAAATAAAATATTTAATAAATAGTTTTTTTTATATTAAACCTATTTAATAAATACTTATATAATAGCTTTAACTTTAATTAAATTAAAAAAAAATTTACATTTTTTAAATAATTAGTTTATAATTACTATAATATATTTAAAAAAGCATTTATAATAAATATATATTAGAAATAAAATAATAGAATTAATGAATATATTTATTTAATAATACTTAAGTATAAGCAATAGTTTAAATAGTTTTTATTTTCCTTTATAGCAACTTTTTAACCTATTATATATATAATAGCTTCTTATAAACTTTATAATAGTATTTATTATTTTAGGCTAATAGTATTTTCTACTTATATAGTTATATATTAATGCTCTGCTAGAATAATTTCTTACTAGTAAATTATAAGCTTATTTTATAATATAAATATAAAAATACTTTTTATTATCTAATAAGAAAAGTTGGCTATTAATATATAATAAATAATTTTTAATTTTATAAAATTTTAACTTAAGTTTTAATAATTTAGTTTTTTTTAAATTTAAAGGTATTTAATAAATATTAGTTTATTTTATATATATAATTACTTAAACTATTTTATTTAATATATATATATATTATAAATCTAATATACTAACTCTTTTCTAAATAAAGTAAGTTCCTTACTTAATAATTCTTTTTAAAACTCTTTACTAAGCGTTTTACCCCTAGCTCTAAGTAATAAATTTTCTTTAACTTTTTATTACCTATAGTTAATTTAAACTTATTAGGTTATAAATCTTCTAATAACTCTTTACCCTTTTTTAATTTTTTTTTTACCTAAGTAATATATTAGTATAGCTAAATCTATAATTATTTCTTTTAATTTATTTAATAAAAAGTATACTAAGTTAATTTTTAATTTAAAGTTTACTTATTTATACTTAATAATAACTTAGTTTTAATACTAATACCTTTTATTAATATTGTTTATTAGTATATTAGGCTATTAGGCTTTATACTTTACTTACTTAGTTTATAAATAATTTAGAAGTTGAATTTAGAAAAAAACTTAGCTTATTATACCTATTTACAATTTAGTTACTTTATTATTATAAAGTATTTTAAATCTTTATAATTAGTAACTATATTAATAGGATTTTTAATTAGCATACTAGCTAACTTTAAATACTATTTTTTAAATACTTTTATAATAGCTAAAAGTTTTTTATTATAAATTTTATAATTATATTTTTATAAAGTTATCTTTTTTAATAAAAATATAATTAGTTATAAAACTTTAATATTGTTTTTTTATAATAAAACTATTATTATTATACAGTAAAAGTATTTATTTTAAGCTATAACTTATTATTAAGGTTAAAGTATATAAAAATAGGTATTATAGTAAAAGTATATTTTAAGTCTTTAAAAGCCTTTTATTCTAACTTGTCTAAAAACTATAAATACTTAAAATCTTTCTATTATAATAACTTTATTAAAATTATTAAAAGCGTCGCGACTTTAGAATAGCTAAATATAAAGCAATAATAGAAGTTTTTAAAATTTAAAAATACTTATATATCCTTTATATATTTAGGAGTTTTTTACCTTAAGATTGCTTTTACTTTCTTAAGGTTTATATATAATTTTTTAGTTATAATAATTAAGCTTAAATACTTAATTTCTATTATATAAAACTTATATTTATCTATATCTAAAAACAAGTATATAGTATATAGCTTTACGAGAATCGCTTTAATATATTTAATATACTTTTATTTATTATTACTATAAATTAAAATATTATTTAAATATATTATATAGAACCTATTAAAGTATTCTTAAAGAATATTATTAATTAAAGTTTAAAATATACTTAAAGTATTATATAAGCTAAATAGTATAATATTATATTTATAAAGACTATATCTTATAAAGAAAGTAGTTTTTTCCTTATAGCTTTCTTTATCTTAAATCTTATTAAATATAGCAATTATATTAAACTTTATAAAAACTTTAACTTAATATAGCTTTATTAAAGTCTCCCTAATTAGTAGTAAAGCGTTGCGATTTTTTATTATTAAAATATTTAATACTTAATAATTAATATATATATATATAAACTATTATTAGGTTTTTTTATAATTACTATTAATATAGTATATAAAAAAATACTTAGGCGAATATAGCTTTTACTTAATATATTATTTATATACTTTTTTATAATTAATACTTGCTTTTAAAATATATTATATACCTTTTTAAAAGGAAATACTACTTTTTTTTTAGTTAATATAATAATTTACTAATTATTATAAAGATAATTTATTAGCTTCCTTTGGATTTTAAACTTCTAGCTAATTATAATACTTAGCTAGTATTTAATTTTATAATTCCTTTTTAGTTAAAAAGTTTTTTTAATTTTATTAAAAAACTTTTTATAATTTTTAATAGTAATAGCTATTATATTAATAGTAAATATAGTATATATCTTCTTATTAATATCTAACTGCTTAAAGTACTTAGGCTATATAGCTATAACTTTATTCTTAAAGTTTATAAATATCTTAATAAAAGTATTAATTAAGATTTCTATAATATTATATTATATAGTATTCTTTATATCCTAAGTATATTTTTTACTTAATATTATTACTAATCTATAATACTTTAAATAATACAATATATAATAATTGGAATTAAATATTAAATATTAAGTAGAAAACTTAATATCTAAGTTATATAATTTTAGCTATAATATACTTAAGATTATATTAAAGTTCTTTAAAATTATTATTATATACTATACTTTATTTAAGTAATCTTTTAACTAGAATATTATATAGGCTATATAAGTAATATTTAGTGCTAACTTATTATTAGTTAGCTTAAATTTATAAAGCTTTACTAAAAGTATAATATTTAGCTTATATCTTTTAACTAATATAAGGTTTATAAAACTTAAAGTAAATACTTTAATATTAGTTAAGTATTTAATTAAAGTACTATTTATTTTTATAAAGAGTTTTTTTTAAAAATTAAACTATTAACTATATTATAAAAGTTAATTAGGGTTAATATAACTAAAAGAAAATTTAATAGTAGCTAGCTTGCTTTATAATTCTATTTATTATTCTAGTTCCTTAATTTTTTTTTATATTTGTTTTAGCTTTTAAAGGTATTTTTTCTTAAAAGTATTTAGTTTAATAATTCTTTATAATTTATATTAAATTTAATAATTTCAACTAATTTTAATTATATAGCTACTTTTTTGTTAGTAAGCTATTTATCTTTTTTATAAAGTATATTTTTATTTTTTATAATATATCCTACTTTCCTATACTTTTAATAGTGTTTTTCTTTATTTAGTTATTAAATTATAGTTTAAAAATAATATATATTTATATTTAAAATTATATTAAACTTTAAAGTATTAATACTTTTAAACGTAAAGC